CAGCCATTACGAGGTTTTCCATCCGTTTTATCATGACATCCAATGCGTCTTCAGTGAAAAACGTGGAGTTTTGTCAACGTTTGGTGTGGTTTTCCGTGGCGATCGACCTAAAATCGCGAAATAAATCGCCGTCGATTTGAGCAGAGGTGAGTTGGCTTGGAGCACGTACAGATTCAAAAAATATGTGTACATGCGCACCGGGAAGAAGATGAAGATGCTCACCATTTTCAAATAACTAATTCAAAAAACTACATGACTATTGTACTGCAATTGTTGTAGTTACTTGTTTGCAACTACAATGGTATCAAGTAGATAATCAAGCGAGGTACAGACGGATTGATGGCTGATCAAAGCCCAAGGGACCAGCCCGAGGGCTTTGATCAGTCATCAAGCCCGACTGTACCTCGCTTGAATATGCTTCAGACGATCCCCAACAATTCTTTTTATTTTGAATTCAATCGCTTTATTCTTTGGGTGATCTCGAGTGTGGTAGATAGTACTTCGAAGTAGTACAACTGTAACTGTACTACTACCTGGTTGCAACATGTTCAAAGCAGCCTTGCCTTTATTTCAACTGTTTGCTGTCAGCATCCAGAGCCATGGCGTTTGCTAGTTGGTCGTAATGGAGAAGAGGGCATTCACTCGATGTACAACATCCATCGCCGCAGATTCCTTACTTTTAGCTCTCCACGTTCCTTATTTTTCCAGGTATCAGGACCTTCCCGGGGTGATTCCATTCAGGGTGGAAGCGTAGATCACTTTTGCCAAACAGTAAAAACTACGCTTCAAACCTGCTTGACATGACTCGGGGTGCATACTTCGGAAACCCGAAGGTGGATGATGTTCAATACTAGCTCATTGTAATCCTCCTGAAGGCATGTATTCGGATGCTCAATTAAATAGAACAGTGAAAGAGATGTGTAATGGAACAACACTCTACAAGTAGGCGAACAACAATTTTATTGTAATTTGAATCCAGGCACACGTGTAATACGGAAACTGCAATGGTTTACACTGCAAATCTTCTCGATTTGCAAGATTTTTCCCGTAATTCACAAAAATCTGAAAGTTCATTCCTGAAACGCGCATGGCACTGATTGGAGATTGGGTTTAGGTCACAACAATGGCTGTCGATGAAATGCCAAAAATGGTCACTTTGTCGGCTTCCCCCTGCAGAGCGTGCAAGTCGTTTACTCTTTTTATTTGCGGATTCGGTGTACAGGGTACCTAAACTCCCCATTGAGGCCAAAATCAAGTATTCGATTTCTAAGTGCAACAGGGTGCTTGAATTTGACGACTTCTGAGTTCTTGGCTGATGGACTAAATTCCAGAATAACACAACTGACCCTTGACTACTAAGTACTCCCCCTTTACTTGCGTTTAGGCACGAAACTCTTGAGTTGAGATGACGATGAGTTTATTGGATGGCGAGTGGTTTTCAAAAGACCACGTGGATTCATCCAAGGAAGGAGATCGTGCTGGGTAGCTTTTTTTCTGTATTCAGTACTTCGCAGTACGCTGTACTGCTACAACGATTCATGATGCCCTGATGAGTCCCTCCTGGGTGAACATTTGCAGAAAATTGGTTGGTTTGCGTGGTGTAGCCAAGGACGTAGGCGTGTGTGTGGTACAGCTTGGACGTTAGTAAAGAGAATTTAGTAGTACCGGTACTACAAAATGCAAAATGCATTTATCCAATGCATGTTGTTGTGCATGGCCTACGCGTCAAGGGACCCCAACTTCCAGCACTCGATCATGCACTACTATCGGTACATGTATTCGTTATGTGACGAACGTGGTAAGGCAAAAGAAGTGGACAGATGTAAGCAGGAGTGCTCCTAACAATAGAAGAGGGCCTCATTCCTCTGATGAGAAGGTTCTTCGATGTTATCAAGAGTACATAACCCCCAGTTATGTACTCTTGATGTTATCCATATTGGAGAAGTAGGCCTACACGATGGAGTAGTCAGCTAGCTACCCGTATGGATGTGTTTTTCCAGCACTCCTCTATCTGGAAAGATGAAGCATCTGAGCTCAGTCCCCGTTTTGTGTCTCATCCCAGTATGCCATCTCCCGACATTGTTAGGATGCGCGAGAACTACAAGATGCCTTTCATTGTATTCAAGCTGCTTGTGTATGGAAATCAGGGAGTAGTACAATACCATAATATATATTATATATTAACTGGTTTGAGGGAAAGAGACAAATGGGAAAAGTCTGAAGAAAAAATTGACTGTCACCACCAGGACTCGAACCAGAGACCCTCGCTTGTAGCCAGCGATGCTCTAACCACTGAGCTATGGTGTAGTCGTCATCCCAGCAGAGGCCGTTCAACATTTGATATAATTATATATATATATATATATATATCATATTGTACTACTCCCTGATGGAAATGGTCATCGGACACTGACGATGCAAAGTATCCAGTGGTTGTCGTATATTACTGTATACTGCGTACATGTATGTGTACGTAGGAGTTAGGTACGTTATGTGTGAAGCGCAGAGAAAATGTGTGTACACACAGGAAAGCGCACAATGTGCGATGCAAAAAACAAATTACAAGAAAAAATACCAGAGCCAACCGTCCTGGTTTCGATAGGAAGAGACGATCTTTGCTTTTCGTCTCTGTCTCCTTCTCTCTGCATTGATCCCAGCGAGAAGAGATGTCTTCAACATCGCCTTCGAAGAACGCTCCGGCTGACGCTGCAGCCAGTGCGGTGGTTGAGTCGACGCAGGGCACTGCGCGAATGTCCGGAGCGGCAGAGCAACGACCAGCGTCAGTCAACGACTTGGCGGCGAAGTTGCGTGAGGCCAGAGAGAAGATTAAGGCAGTCAGAGTGCACCTCGGACTTGCGGACGAGGGCAAGCTGAGGCCATTTATGAAGTTCATGACTCAAGAACAGTATGACAAGTTCATTCACACACTCAAAGTTGAGCATAAGGAAAATAATGCTATAGCCGCGCAAATAGAAAGGGTGAACAACGACAAGCAGCGACTGGAAGAGATCATTGAGAAAGTGGCCACAGTCAATCGGAAGCTTCGGGCGGCTGAATGTGCTGAGCCCGTTGGGGCTCTGAGTCTTTTGCGCGGCTGGAGTGGTCCGAAGCCTGAGGAGCGGATTGCAGACCTTCAAGTCGAAGTAAGGAAATCACAGGAGGAGCATGACACACAGAAGAAGATTATTGCAGATCTCACCAACCGTCTCGCGGCACTGGAAGCTACTTACAAAGAGCTGAGACAGTTTGCATGAGACATATCTTCGAGGGATTGCACTGGATAACTATACACAATGGACTACAAGCTGCCAATCTGTCGAACGTGACCTGTGTCCGCCCGGTTTCATCTCGTGTCGGTTTATGTGTCCGCGACAGTGATCGATTACAGAAACAGTGCTGCAGGCTTGTACTGCAGGAGGCGTTTCGCATACAGTATACAACAGGAATGAGCATTGTCATCGGCCAGTGGTCGGAAAATCGGAAGATGCTTTTTCCGCCGACAACTGTCCAAAGCATATACATGTACATGTACATGTACGTGCAATAGTGTAGGCCTAGTATACTGCATTTCTTTATTACACACTGCGGGGCACCACTCTCAGCATGCTTCGATGCATTGCTGTAAATATTATCAAAGTAATAGTATAAATGTCAACTTCACAAGCAAGAATTGTAACAAACAGGTAAATGGATCTCAATATAATTGTCACAGGTACTGTGTGGACCACAGCTATCTCTTCCGGACTAGATCCTTACATACGTTGACCTCAGTGAAGGTTTGGAGGCGCCTTGGATGGGGTTCGTGAAGCAGGAGGTCTGCAGGCAGGACGTTCCAAGGCGTGATGGTGACTGCATTGTCAAAGGGGAAGGATTGCAGGAGGTAGTCAGGGGCTGGCATGGTGTTATTCGGGGGGGGGGGGGCTGCAAGTAAGTTCCATGGGCCATGGGCAGTGGCAGCAAGGGCCGTAAAGACGGAACAGGAGGCCCACACATCAGCTTGTACAGGAAGCAGAGGCCACTGGTCAAACGTTGCAGCTCCAGGCTGTCGATGATGGCACCAGGGCCAACAAGAGCAAGTGCTCACCTTTGGAGTTTGTTGAGGGGTATTCCATCAGTGGACGGACAAATCCCTTGTAGGTAGCCAGGAGACGGCAGCTGTCGAGGACTTTGGAGGTCTTCCTCAGAAACGGCCGAGGCGCTGTGCAGCTTTGAGAAAGCCGTACGGTAGGTGTTGGTGGTGGGGGGGGGGGGGGGGGAGCTGGCTGTCGAAGGAGAGAGACGCCGAGCAGTTTTATGGCAGATGTCAGCTCTGGAATTTCGGAGACAGTCTCCAAAATTTCAGAGCCATCAAAATGGAGGGGAGAGAGATTGGCCATTGGGTTCGCTTGCGGGTGGCAGTCATTGCTTGAGACTTGGTAGGCTCTAACTCAACCTGCCAAGTAAATCGTTACAGTCTACACGTAGTAGCAAGAGTATAATACGTGTGTGTGTGGGGGGGGGGGGGGGAGGGTTGCTCTTAATATCTGGAGAGCACCAGTCTGCAGTTGAGCGCAGCACCGACACACACCACAACGCCCGCCTAGTGCTGCCGAGAAGCAGCACTAGGCGGGCGTTGTGGCCGGATTCCTGACCTCACTGTGATCAAGAGTACATAACTACAGTGTAGTTATCATCGTTATGTACTCTTGTCATGATGAGAAGCAGCACTGGGGGATGGTAGACTGTCTACGAGGCGCGTAGGATAGTGAAGAGGGCACATACTGTCCCAACCAGGGAGTCGTAAAAGCCCTTTCACGACTCCCTGGTCCCAACCAGTACTGGCAGTAGACCTACAATACTATAATCGTCTTCTGCCAGGGCATGGATCCACCATGTCCACGGGCCGGGCCACGGGCCCACGGCCACGTGATGTACCCGGTCTGTCTCTGGGAGTCGTATGTTTATAACTCCTAGGACAAAAAAATTGTGAGGAGGTGAAAGTGTTTGATTTTTGGTTGTTCTTCGGAAACTTTTGTTGTTGGCTGTTTGCACTTTTTGTTTGGGAGCGAGTGCGTGAGCTAAGACCTGCTTGGTGGCTTGGCGATCGCGATGGCGGCAGAAGAGCAATCTGATAATAAACCTTTGTTTCGTAACATCGATGCTGATGACGAGACTGAGCAGGTCACTGTGGAGAGTTTGTGTTTAGGTTGTCAAGAAAATGTAAGTAGCACAATTTAAATCTGTGCGAATGCTATTCAAATTCATGAATGATGGCGTGCCACTGAAAGTGTATTGAATTGTTCTACACTGCTCGTCTATTTCTTCATGTTCAAATGATGCGTTGGGGATATTCAAAGTATACATCGGAAGCCCGAGAATGCGATCATAGGCTATTAGCCATCACTATAATCGTAAAATGGATATGACGCAAAATGCAGAACTAGGTTTTGGTTGCTACTAGAGTTTCACGCTTTGCGATCCTCAGGCAATGACCTAGCAAAATGCGTACATGATGTATTGCATAAAGTGAAACTTGAGTAGCAACCAAACCTCGCTCCACAGGTACCCTCCATCTCCGTTACTCTCGTCTTTGCGCAATTGTTAAAGGGGAAGTTAAGGCAAAAATTAAAATTTCACCAGTTGTAGTCTTCGGGGTGCTGAGTCGAATGGTCTTGGTCCGAGGAAGCTGAGACGCTCCCTTCCTACTTGAATCCCAATCGAACTCGCGCACTTCCACCGAAACTGGGTGACTGCGCCCTACTAGATGGGGATTTATATGCAAAATGTCACTAAAAGCGCCATTTCGTTCTTATAAAAGCACGGATGACCGCGATTGGCCCATATGTTGTAGTCTTTTGGACGCTGAGTCGACTGGTTTTGGTCCGAAAAGGCTGCGATGCAGCGTTCCTCCTTTATTCCCAATCGAATATGGTTGAACAAGCGGTCACGTGCTCCTGGGTGCCCAAATCACCTGATCACCACGCCAGCAGGCGAGAACTTTCACACCAAGGTTCAACTCGAGTTCAACTCGAGTGACATGATTGCACCCAAAAAAGGTCAAACAGGCTAGTAAGTTGTACCCTGCAGGCACGGTGACCAGGTGACTGGTGTACGCAGGAGCACGTGACCGCTTCTTCAACCATGTTCGATTGGGAATAAAGGAGGAACGCTGCATCGCAGCCTTTTCGGACCAAAACCAATCGACTCAGCGTCCAGAAGACTACAACATATGGGCCAATCGCGGTCATCCATACTTTTATAAGAACGAAATGGCGCTTTTAGTGACATTTTGCATACAAATCCCCATCTAGTAGGGCGCAGTCACCCAGTTTCGGTGGAAGTGCGCGAGTTCGATTGGGATTCAAGTAGGAAGGGAGCGTCTCAGCTTCCTCGGACCACGACCATTCGACTCAGCACCCCGAAGACTACAACTGGTGAAATTTTAATTTTTGCCTTAACTTCCCCTTTAATCTTGCTCCTGTATTCTCCTCCCTGTTACTTTGCTACCTTCCTCCTCCTTCCTGCACCTCTTTCTTTAACTCCATTATCACATTCGCTTCCATGTACATTTGGGCTTGTAGCCCGTGTGTACTTGCGAATAAAAATACAAATATACGTAATGACAACAGCAAAAATGAAGAAAGTCAAGTTCCATAACGTTTTCTTGTGACTGTCATCAGTAGAACGCCGTCACATAAAAATGTAATAACTAAAACACACACTTATATACATGTAGCTAATATGGTTTCAGGTAGAAATACAGCAGCTAACAAGTACAAAAAGCGAAGTTTGCACCTTTGCAATGTGTGAATATAGTGTATGTGAGAAAGGTAGTGGCAGATGAATGTGATACTGTGTGAATGAATGTAATGGTGCGTGTGTATTACTTGAAGAGTGTGAGTGATACAACGTTTTCTTTCTGTTTACATAGCACAGGGTCACGAGTACGAATATACACAGCTTCCAACACCTGCAATTGCTTGAAGAAACGTGCGCAACGAATAACACTAAACCATGTGACGGCGTTCCACTGATGACAGTCACAAGAAAACGTTATGGAACTTGACTTTCTTCATTTTTGCTGTTGTTATGAGTGCACAATTTATCTTATTTATTGCCATTTTACGACTATTGTCTCCTCGTCGATTGTTTAAATACGTAATTACGTATATACATAGCCTCGTGCTAGGGTCTATGTAAAGGAAGCTATGCCCACTGTGATGTTTAGTACTGAGTAACGGTTGCTGTGAAGAGAAGGGCTCAACCATGTAGAATGCATATGAAGGGTTGTCCAGTACAAATTCTGTGCTGCAAGAAAATCAACCGATGTAGGAGGACGGGGCATCGACAGACATTCTGAAGCTGGATAGCGGTGGTGCTGGCTGGGTTGCATAGCCGGAAGACTCGAGTAGGTGACGAATGCGACACTGACCAGTGATGGTGCGTACGAACTGACAATCACGAGGAACCCAATGCTCTAGCAGCTTCCACAATGCTGCTAAAGCGGCTTTATGTCGATAGCGGCGCTGATGCATGATATTAGGTTTCTGAGCTGTGGTGACAAGACGCGTTGTCTTCTTCGGTTCGGGCTGAACGGCAGTGTTGTCTGGTTGCGTAGTCTGCTGCAGAGGCGATGATTGAGCTGTCAGATCACCCAAGCCGGTGAACCAGATTGAAGAGTCCAATGATTCTGCGACTGGGCAAGTCAGCTGGATTGCTGGTCGTTTGACAGCAGTTCCAACAAGTTGTATCGGTGTGTTGGACACCTGTGATCCAAGCTAGTGCTACCTGGAAGTCTGACCAGCAGTGAGTGGATTGTGTTGATACCGAAGTCGCTTGCCACAATGCTGGCCAGAGATGAGATACTCACAGGAACTGTACCATGTCACGGACACACTCATCAACGCCGACCATAGAAGTGCCTTTTCAATGTCAGCCATGAAGGCGATGGTGTGTGCCCGGGATCGAAGCGGGGTGTCCGGGATCTGTTCGAAGAGTGATGGACCGGTGTGAAGGCATTCGTTGAGGGATAGGTGTCCGTGTACTTTGGCGGATGCATCGTATGCGACACGCACCTTGGTGGTCGATTTGTCCCGGTGCACAACGGGATGATGTGGCAGATAGTAGACTGTGTTTTCGGGGATGCCAGCGCCATCAGGCACCTCCTCAAAAATGCCAATCTGACACTGATCCTGGATGGCAGCGTCATACTCCGCAAGCAACTCTGCGGCCTTCAGATTCGACTTCTGTAGCGTGCTCTGCCATTGATTGGAACATAATGCGAAGTTGTCAGGAAGCGGTGGGTGGAAATCCCTCCATGGCAGGTGGACAACATACTGTGTCCCATCATGACAGATCATTTGCGAAAGCGTGTCCATTACCGATGGATCCGGCTCGAAGGATTAATTTATTAGGCTAGACAGCTCTAATAGTAATATAGACCTTTTTGTGTCCTTTATTATGATGTATTTTCCAACTGATGATCGTCACAAGAAAACATTCTTGGAAACCTTTAGACATACGTACCTTACCTTGTGTGTTTGAAGTATGAGGGCGCAGACTATTTTATTCATAGCATTATTTAATTTTGTATCTCCACGTAGATTATTAATATAGATTTTAATTTATAGTAGTCGAAGTATGCTAAACTAGTATTAGGAGTACCCGTATAGAATAGATGCACGTGCCGTCACTCCGGAGAGAACAGAGACACACACTACATGTCTTGCAAGTCGAATGGCAGATGAGAACATACATGGGCTAGTTGGTGCTGTGCTGGCTGGATGGCATTTGATGGTGACTGTAGATACGGACCCTACGCCTTTCTAAGCTACAGTGAAACCTGTGACTAACGACCACCCCTTGGGGCCAGAGAAAGCGGTCTTTAGTGGCAGGTGGTCCTTAGTTAGAGGTTTGCACCGCCCAACCATGTATGAATGTGAGACCGTCCATGCCTGGCAAAGTGGTCTGTAGTACCAGGCTGGTCGCTAGTCACGGTGGTCTTTAGTTACAGGTTTTACTGTATGTGTTTGTTGCTGGCGTGTTCTTTGTTGAGTCACGACATAAACACCTGACCAAACTAAACCTGATGTGTAACCCGACCACAGTGTCCTTGTAATACACAATGAAGTCACGGGGTCACGTTCTGGACAATCGAGTGGTCGGGTAGTTGAAGTTTAGATATTCCAATGTTCTACTGTACGCCAACCAGGGGTCCACGTGGACTGGTCGGTGATAGGTTTATCTAATTGTGTAGAAGCTACGCAATCGGTGCAATGACTCTCATTATGTTCCGGTTCTGTGTTTCTGTTCTGTTTGATATGGTTTAGGGTACAACACGACTTCTATTGACCAAGATCCCGTATTTCAAGGAAATTGTGATCTCATCATTTGAATGTCCACATTGCGGATTTGCGAATAAGGAGATCCAGTCAGCTGGTGAGATACAGCTTCAAGGCTGTGTTTGGACGCTTGATGTCAAGTCTACCGAGGTCAGTGTCTGGATGTGTGTGTGTGTGGGGGGGGGGGGGGGTGCGTGTGTGTGGATGTGCCTGTGGGTGTGCGTGTGTCAGCTAGTTCACTTGATGGGCACACTCATGCCAGATAGTGGCTGGGTCTGTTGCCATCAGGCTTGGCTCTTTGAAGGTGTATCGTTGTACCTGCCACTATTGGTGCTTTCAGGATCCATAGTTTTACTGTCTATTCGAAGGATACATAGTTACATACCTGTTGGCCAATGGACTGCTTCTGGCTAGATTAACTCTTGTGCAATCAGTGATGCTAGTGAAGCCAATAAATCAGATCAACTCTGATTTTAGCAATCCACACTAGTATCAAGTATTACCTTCAACTGGGGCAGGGGTAAATGCAGTTGGATCCTGGGACGGATATCTTGATGCTGCCAATCCTTTTTCTGCACCTTGCCCTCACCCACTTACTGTAGTGTGGTGAGCCCATAAGTGGAATCATTTCCAAGTCCACCCAGAGTTTGGGTGGTATCAGGCGCTGGGCAGTTCAATAGCCAATTATCTTTCCGAGGTTCCTTTTGAATATCTCTCCCCTCTTCCAGGGAGAACCTGGTGACCAGTTTTGGCAGCGAGCAAGCACCACTCTGTGTGTGTGTGTGTGTACATGGTGTGTGTGTGTTTGTGTGTGTGTGTGTGTTTGTGTGTGTGTGTGTGTGGATGCGCATGTGTGTGTGTGATGGGCGTGTTAGCTTGCGTATGTGTGCACGCATGTGTGTGTGTGTGTGTGTGTGTGTGTGTGTGTGTGTGTGTGTGTGTGTGTGTGTGTGTGTGCGTGACTGTTTTATGAGCCGGCCGCTGTTTAAGATTTAGATATTGCATCTTCCAATGTTCCCTGAATCGCCAGTATAACAACATTAGTACATTATATTCAGTGTTTCTAGCGGCCATGTGTGACCTGTTATTGCTTTTTTCCTTTAAATAATTCTTAGGATCTTGGTCGGCAAGTTGTCAAGTCAGACTCAGCAAGTCTTCATATTCCTGAAGTAGACTTTCAGGTCCCCAGTCAATCTCAGCCTGGCAGTAAGTCAACGTTTACTGAGTATGACTGTTGCCGATTTGTCCCCAGACAGTAAAAGCTTTTTTTGGGGGGGGGGGGGGCACCAGTTGCACAGGATCCAAGAGTATCACCTTCACTCTTTTGCCCCTGTATAAGAAAGACTCCTGTGTCTGACAAGGATGTTCGTTGACTGGCTCATGGCACGACTAGGAACCTGGTAATTCTGCCAATTTTGACACAAAACTAGTGTGTGCTGATGCCGGACGCGCACAGACCAGATAGAATCACTTCTTATGCATGCCGGCCAGCGCTCCTGCACAAGGATCACATTTGGGCGCCCTGTTGAGCAGCTTGGACTGGTTACACCTCTGTACATGTATGTACATGAGTTCCACATTCTCTGTGTATGCTGTATATGTAGCTGGTCTGGGCTGGATGTCTGAGAACGTATCAATGGTCAGGGAGCAGAATGTTGAGCGGTCCATTGCCTTGCAGTGTTGTTGAATGCTAGTAAATCCTATTGTTGTTCTGGTGCTGTATGGTTCTGCACAGTCTTTACCACCGTGGAAGGTCTAGTACAGCGTGCCGTAGATGGCCTAGAACAAGACCAGGTTCTGCGACGGGTGAGGTCACCACTAGCACTGCTCACTACACTGCCATGGTCTCTCTCTCTCTCTCTCTCTCTCTCTCTCTCTCTCTCTCTCTCTCTCTCTCTCTCTCTCTCTCTCTCTCTCTCTCTCTCTCTTCCACTGCTCATGATGGTCTCTCTCTTTTATTTCTTGTTTTTTTACACTGACTTTTTGGTTACACTGACTCTGTTGCCTGATGATTGCATAAGCATGAAACTCAGAGTAGTGGCAAACTAGCATTGCTTGCCCTTGTGCTGTGCTATATGCTCTGCCTCCGCTGTGTTGAACACTGTCAGCACACTGGGTGCATCCTCCGGTGGTTACACTGACTCTGCATGGTAATAGAGAAACCTTGTGTTTAGTTTGCATGTGCATGTACGCATGTGCACGTATGTGTATGGAAAACCCCTGTTGAAATTCACATTGATAACTCCGAGATATCAACACAGGATTGTGCAGAGTAGGCAATCTACTTTTCTTTGTGTTGGTATTGCAGCAACGTGGGTGCTTTGTGTGTGTGCCTATGTTTGTGTGTGTGTGTGTGTGTGTGTGTGTGTGTGTGTGTGTGTGTGTGTGTGTGTGCAGACGCGTGTTTGCACGCACATGCACATCCGTATGTGCATGTACGGTAAAAGCATGTCCATTGTGGTTTATTCTCTGACTCTCTGTGCTGTTTGCACGTGTTCCCATTTTGCAGATTCAACAGCCAGAGCTGGCTGAGAAGATTGATGAGTTTGTTGTCAAGCTGCAAAAGTTGCTGACTGGCGATGAGCAATTTCAAGTGGTAGGTGGTATAGTAGTGATACTCCAGTGGCAATGATCTTGGTGGATATCTCCCCTCTCTTACCTCATGATCTCTCCGCTTTGTCTTCCTTTTTTGTTTGTTGACAAAGTAAGAGGATATTTTCTGAATTGATATTGCATAACGTCAAGAGTAGATAAACAAGAGTGTGAAACTCCCGGATTGGTTGGCCCACGGCGGAATTTTTTGTTGACGTAATCTTTTCTACGACCCACGCGCTACGAGTCTTTTGGAAAGTTTTGCCTCGTGCACTTGGCCGGGCTTTACACTACAAGGTCGGTGCCCAGCACGTGCTCTCACACTGCTCTGCGGCAAGATGCGCGTTTTTCTGAAGAAAGGTGACGTCAACAAAAATTTCCGCCATGGGCGGGGGTATCTGCAGATTGTGGAGGAGAGATCCGGAGTTGCACACTCTTGGTTATCTACTCTTGGTAACGTCCTTCTGTCTGTGTACTGTATAACATGTAATTTTAGGTGTACATAGTAAAATTTCGGTGCCAGGGACCTGATTGGTTTCAGGTGTAATGTAGAATTAGGTGACCAGCAATCCCTGCACTGCGTATTGTAGTGCCTTTTAGGTGTAATCTAAATTGATGTGCCTGGTCCCTCCACCGAAAATAAAATTATACCCAAAAATAACTAGTGTTAATATATAGTATACTGTGGGCAGGACATTCAACACACAGAGCACACTGTCGCAAAAAAATTCAGGCACTTTAAAACGATTATTGGGGAGGAAACAATAGAAAACAATGCCTTTGTGAAAGAGTTGCTTCGGTTTTCGGTAAAATATCTGAACGTGATAAGGAGAAAAGGCCTTGCAAAAAAGATCTAAAGTCATTGCGGACGGAGTGAGGATGATATTATTACTCAAGTATTTGTTCATATTTTACAAGGGCAATCCCAACAGACCTATGGTCTTCTTACAGGGTGCCCTAGCCACGTGAAGATAGCAGAGCGAAATGCAGCAGGCAGGGATATGGTGCGAATCGCGGCAGGGAGGGAGTTCCATCGGTCAGCTCCAAGATAAGATACAGAGTGATAGCCAAAATACAATCTGGCATGGGGCAGTACCAGGCCGAGCGATTCCTGAGAACGGGTAATTCTAGCAGTGCGGGATGATGAGACAGCACGAGGAGTGAAAAGTCGGCAAAGTAGGGGACTAGCACGAGCATATGAAGTATAGAAAGTGATTTTGTCACTTGAGAACTTCTTCGTATTGATCAAACTCTTCTTAGGAACAATAAGAGCCGGTCCGACTGTATTGAAAACAGAAGCTAGGAAATCCGGCAGGTAGCCTCGAAGACGAAGTCTTGAACAGAACAGTGAGAGTGCCCCACCTTGGTTTACAGCTAGGGACACTTTATCCTGACACTTTATCGAGGATTAGCGCCAAACAACTGAAGAGACGAAACATTTTCCTTCTGAACACACAGTTCAGGGGTCAACAATACGAATATACAATGCCTCCGAAACATCCCAATATAATGCAGATCTGCCACGGGCCAAAACCGGGAAAACATCATCTCTGTACAAATCACGACAACTACCACTAACCGACAGAATGATGACGCTTGATAGCCGATTGCTGATTCGTCGACCGTCAGGTCTTCTTCGTCACCTCCAATGTCACAGCGCTCAACTCGTCCTTTCCACTGCGCTGTCCCTTTGTCGTCACCACCGATGTTGCAGGTCCTGACTCGGCCTTTCCACCACACCGTCGGGTTGTACCAGTTCGTATTGGTGTAGAAGCTAACTACATCAGCTGTAATTACTCTAGAGTTTGTTGGAAATAGTGCATCTGACAGTTTTGAAGTGAAACTACGCGTATCAGGGTTGTGGAACAGTTTCTGGGAGCGTGATATTTCTTCCGCCTGTTCCATTGGACGTAGAAGCCTGTGCAGTGTATCTACTATCTGGTCAGTGGGATCCCTTAGGAGGGTAGAATAAGTGGAATGGTCGTTCAAATGATCTTGAATTTTCTTATCATAGTCCGCTATGTCCATCAGTACGACCGCTTGTCCTTTGTCTGCTGGCATTGTCTTAAGGTGGCAGCCTGGGGCAAACCACTCCCGCTCAGTCAATGGTGACTAAATACACTTCTATATGAGCTATTGGCCTCAAATTCAGACCAGTGCTCCATAGAAGCACTGTCCACACATTGCATCTTTCAAATTGACCATTACAGCACATTTATCAGTTGGGGACACTCCCAAAGTAGGCCTTGCGATCATTTTGCGGCACTGAAACGGTTGAAAAGATGTAGCCTCAATAACAATAGAATGGCATCTAAAAATATTGAGGTACTGAACACAACCACCAAGACTACAGAATGAACCAAAAAAACTATGTGGAAAACAGCACCATAGTGGTGTTTATACTGGTGAAAGTTCACCTTGCGTACGTCCGCTCGTGGGCTTTGCAACCTTCACAGCTACAAAATGAGTTCCATACTAACTTAAATTGTTCAACAGAGAGGTTAGTTGCATAGCCAGGAAAATGCAGATGCGAAAAAACATCAAGTTTATGTATTTACAGCAAACTGTTCTCAAGTTATGGCTTCAACGGAGCTGCGAAACCACCAAAAAAGCATGAAAATAGGGACTCAGAATGCCCCAGCTTCATAGGTGACACCTTTCTTCTCCGTAGCTGCATCCACTAATCCTTTCCGTATTGCCCTTCTCTTTTTTCTGGCTTTCTTCTCCTTGTCTGTGGATTTCCTGGCTGAATGGTACAGACCTGATTTGTCCATTTCTTTAGCACCCTTGGATGACCAATAGCCCACATCACAGTGCAAAGCAGACAGCACAGAATGTATCGTTGTCGCACCATTGTTGAACAACGTCACGGCAAGGTAGACAGCAGTCTCAACAGTCGATGCTGAGCAAAACAATTCCTTTGGGCAGAGCTTCCACAGGAGACCATTGAAGCACTCATTGCTATTCTGAGTGGCACCACGCGTACATCTAGCTAGTAGGTCACGGTCAGTAAGGCGAAAATACAGCGATCGAATGGCATCCAGTACGGCTTTCGGTAGAGTATCGGTGTGATTGAACTCCATGGCCACTCCAGCTTGCTGCTTCTGCCATCCACACCAAGAGTCTTTGCCAACAGGACAATACTGATGCATTGGATTGTCATCTGAAGAAGCACGGTGCACCGGTGACAGACACTTGCCCAGATGGCCTTGTACATGCCCTGCAGATCACCGATGTTACTGCGAATGGCCTTGCCATAATATGTCTGGAGTCGGTCCATGTACTTTTCTGTCAGCCTGCCTCTTCCACTAAGAGGCTTGCTTGCATCTGAGAGGGGATTAGATCCAAGGCGTTGCTTCAAATCTCTCAGTCCTTTACCGACACGTTTCTGGACGTGACCGATGCATTCATCCTTGACGACTTCCGTTTCACCGTATGGCATGCCGGACACGGTTATAGCCCTTGTTGTCACCATCACCTATGAATGTAACATAGCGCAGTTTACGAAGTTCTTCTGAGCGTTGCCATAGCTTAACAACAGCTTCTGCTTCCTTGGCAGGTGCTGAACTGGATGTGTTAATGCTGCATTTCGACTCATGATTTACCTTCCACTCCGTATACGTCTCATCACTGATGCTACCCTTGCCATGCCTTGACTTCCAACTGACACATTCACCACAGTACTTGGACAACACTTCCACATCCACAACTTGATTAGTATCATGGGATAACACAGTCTGGACTCCATACAACGATGAATGGCCGCGTCTCATCCAGGTCCCATCTGTCGTGACTGCTATATCCGATGGCCTTTCTTCTTGCGCGCGCTTGTCGACAACAGCAGCGGCAGCTTTCGCCATACTTTCCTGCCCAACCCGTTTGGCTGCAGCATGCAACACACGGCGGTGGTCATCATACGCTGACTTGCTCATGGCCCTAGGCATGTCCATAGAAGAGCAGATGGTGTTAAGCGCTTGGCGTCCATGGCCGATTAGTCGCATAGCCAATACAGCTCCTCGGTTGACATCGTAAAAACGACTTTTCTTATGCACCTGCTTCGTTGCCAAGACTGGTGAATTATTGAAGCTGCAGCAGTTGTTACAGGACAACTGGACGTCAGGTGCCAGGCCAATTCGCTGCAACTCACTATTTACCAGACTTCCAGACTTGCATTTGTTACAAACACACGATGTGTCTATCAGGGTGCTCAGGGCAGCTAGAGATACAATTCGATTCCCTACAATCGATTTGTCGTGCTCCGCACCATCATCATCAGAGTCCTCACTGCTCTCCGCTGTGGGCTGGCTGCCAAGGAAAGAGAAATGTTTGATCTTCAGGAATGACGAGTCAGTGGGACTAGGTATATCAATTCCAGTAGTCACGTCAGAATCAGCTGATTGCTCAAATTCTGGTTCTGGTGTGCGTCTTTCAGCCAGAGGTGGTGCGGCCGCGGCAGAAGACTGCGAAAATTGATTTCCCTTGAACACCCGCTTCTTTCGATGGTACACAACATCAGATTTGCGCTTCCCCATCACAAAGCTACAGGTAGAAGTCAATCACTGACGAGGAAATGTCACAGAGACGAATAATTTCAAAATTATTTGAATGTAATTTGAAACTCGGATGTTGAGCCATAAATAAATGTAGAAAAGAAAAGGACATATGGATACGAGTTAAGAGTAACTCTCCAGTTACAGTGATGGAGAGTTACTCTTAACTCGTATCCATATGTCCTTTTCTTTTCTACATTTATTTGAATGTACTATCATTTATTTTTGTTGAACCAGCTCGCTCAAAACATAATGAGATGCGCATGATCAGAAGTCGCGCGCGCTGAGCTAGCTGAAGCTGCTGCTGCGTAAATCTCGATAGCAGATTTACACTGAAAACCTGTTCGTTTGGAGTCGTAACAGCGAAGGAAAACTCGGAAACAGCCACCTAAACGTGACATGTCGTGCATGTAAAGGCTCTTGTACGGGCAAAGCAAAATAAAAAGAAGAAGAGAAGAAAAACTAAACTAAAAAGGAGCACCCATTTTGTTAAGCCAGGGGCTGGCTCACGCCTGGCATGAAAATGAGAGATTGAGAACTTCTCAGAAACTAGACATGATGACAACTGTCTAGCTGACCACCAGCTGTGCCTCTGCTCGGACCAGGTCGACAGGGGTGTAATGTTCTGGGACATTATTATTATTACAGTACTGGTCAAACCAAAGCACTAACAAAGACAAAACTAAAGACCAAGAACCAGGAACATAAAGCACAGAGAAAGGGAACAAAATAGATACACATATAAATATTGTACAAGATACTATAATAGTATTAACCAGGAGGCCTGCAACATCACATTCCTCCTTTTCTCGAAAGTCTACAACTACAGTCCATAGAAATACTGACCATAGCAAACTTCAACGTAGCATTTCAACAAACTAAATAAACCAAAATAGGCTGTCCAAAACGCGACGAATAACCAAAAGCGTGCTATCAATCCATGTCATAAAATATGTAAATATACAGTATAATGCAAGCTCATGCATTGTTAGCCGAACGACCAGTCAAACACAACTGTCACACAGCCTAGTCAATGCAGAACAGAACAAGGGCCGGACAGGTTCCTTAGCATTTCACGCTTAACCTGTCTGACCTGCGGGGCTCCGCACGATGCTGAGGTACGCCGTGCACAGCATTCACACTTCCTGGTGCAGCTTCACCCGTACCGTACGAACTGGACCCATGCCCATCATGGCTTGCACTGTGACTTGCACTTGTCGATGTTGACATATCACGTGCGTGCTGCTCCGTTGTTTCATACTCGCGACCTTTTTTGAAGGCCACCGCCAAAGTGAGGTCGTCGACTTCTAACAATTTCTTTCTGAGGCGATTGTCCGATATCCCTATGAGGAGCTGGTCGCATACATGATCCTCCATATCGGTGCCATAGTCACAGTATTTGCCTTGCCCAAGCAAACGGGTCGAAAACTGAGATACTGTTTCACCAGCCCGTTGTGACATCTGACGAAGCTTATAACGTTCGAACCTCTTGTTGGCCACGAACTCAAACGCCTTGTCCAAAGCACTCACAGCTCGCTCGAATAAATTGTCGGTGTCCTCATCTTCTGTTAGCGTTTCGAATTTCTCCTGTACTGGCATACCAGCCAAGTACAGCAACAGACTCCTCTGCCTCTTCGCGGATGTTATGTTCTGCCCATCCACATAGTACTGGAATGATCTCTTCCACCTGCGCCATCTTGCAGAAACTTCATGGGCAGGACCCTCGAGATCGAACGGCTCCAAAGCCGGGCCTACTCCTGTGAGCGCCATTGTCACTGAGGCCTACTCAGGTCATCTATATGACTAACTATTAAATCCAGTTCATCTTCGTCGCCAATGTAATGTTCTGGGACATTATTATTATTACAGTACTGGTCAAACCAAAGCACTAACAAAGACACAACTAAAGACCAAGAACCAGGAACATAAAGCACAGAGAAAGGGAACAAAACAGATACACATATAAATATCGTACAAGATACTATAATAGTACAATACTATAATATAGTATTAACCAGGAGGCCTGCAACATCACAAGGGCCATGGTCAAAGTGACGGCGGCGAATTGAGCGCGATCCACGGACACAGCGAATAGCAGATCTGGCTAGCGAAAAGCTTAGCATGCATCTGAGCCAACACATCATCTGGCTGTACGGCACATGCTTCTTCACGGCTAAAGCACTTGCCAGCCTCTTTACCATGATGGCAGCTTCGTGGCCCATCCCCCCACAGGAAGAGAAGACCAGAGGGGTGAAGGAACCATGCTCGACGTGGAGAATTCTCTCCCCATACGCACGCTTCTTCTCCCCTTCAAAGCTTCGGTACAGAGAGGAGAGGGATCTGGAGCGGTAGCTTGACGCATGGGGATAGAACACCCTTGTATCAAAGAATGCGTTTCTGCTATCCGTCCAGAACCCCTCACTCTCAGGTCAGTGCGGGCATCCGGATCGGTGTTGGCGGTGCGTCGCTGGAGGACCTCACCGGTGAGAGGTTGGAGCTTCGGCTCCACCTCAACGTCACAATGCACCTCCTTCATGCATGAGGGGATAAAGTCGGTAGGATCATTGTGACGCATATGGATGAAGCCGGAGAGTTTACAAATCTGCGCATGATCCACCGAGTAGCGTGCTCCACATGGACAAGAAGCCGGCAGGTTGTCCAGTGGCCAACAATATCGCATGCGCACGTGGTCATGGAAGTCTGACTTGACGTCGAAGCAGAATCCGTGCTCAGCCACCGGTATTGTTGTTAGCGTGCTGGAGGCTCCCTTCTCTCTTGCCAACGCCATGGCCCGTTGTTGTGGCTCGGGCAGCCGAGACTGGATTCCGTTAGCCTTGGTGTCGAGGGTGCCGCGGTGACGCTGTTTCACGGCAGTCTTTGCTTCATGGTCTTGTCTGATGCTCCCTATCAGGTCCCCGTGGCGATCTGGGTTGCAAGATTAGCGGTGCACTCAATCGATGCCGTGTGTTTGCGGGAGGAATCGATGACGGGGTTGTCCAACGACAGACCTCCATATCGAGCTGGAAGCACAACCATATCCATCTCGACGTCACTGGCCTCATGCTTGGTCAGGGCAGGTAACAAATGGCTGCGAATAGCACTGAGCAAGGGCTGCATATGAGTGCCCATTGTAGGCATGGTACGCTGGAGGAAGGTCCAACGATGCCGGAGGCCAAAGACATAGCCAGCAAATGCAGCATGGGGGTATGTTGCGGCAATGTCGGCGAGGCGGTCCACTTGTGCTGTCCATGCATCAACTTTCGAGTCGAGGTACCTCTCGATGAACGCATTTGAGTCTATGGCTGCACCCAGATGACGCTGTCCAGCTTTGTGGGCCAGGTTGTCACCATCACTGGCTATCTTGATGCCTGTACCGGCAAAGATTCGCTCTGCTTCGTCGCGATGCTCGGGCTTCACTACCAAGAATGCTTTGCTGAGCTTCGGAAAGTAGCCATACGCAGGGCCTGCAGATATAAGCTTGCCCCAGAAGCGGCGTAGTGAAATCAACCGGCCTCCGGCGGCGGCATCATCAGCAAACCACACCTGGATGGCTGTACATCTACGGAATCGCTCCAATCCTTGGCAGGTTTTGTTCTGTCCAGGTACTTTGGTGTCACGTTGCTGGCCTTGCAGTTGACTAGGAGTTGCATTTTGCCAATGATTTTTGTAGAGTGACCGTCGATCTCCGCCATCGTTGTAACAGTTGTTGAGACTGTATGGAAAGTTCTTTGTGGAGTGTTGGTGGAATGAAACTGGACATCGTGGCCCTGTGCGGAGAGTAGCAGTGAGAACATTCTCTCAGAACAAATAGGTCGTTTCTATCTTTGGAGAGTTTTAATGAAGCTTGTGGAACAGTAAAGAAAGTTAGGAAACTATTTCTAATCCTGTCTAACAAATACTTCACAAGTAAATATTGCGACAGAGGTTTTGGCCATATTTCCAAAATAATTATGTGGTTTTAAGAACCGTTTTATCCATGGACAATTTAAGAGGCTGTGGAACAGTAAGGAAACCCCGTTTTTACTCCTGTCTAATCTTACGTGAAAGGAAGTTGGATCTTTACAATGTAGGGGTGGTTTGGACTTCGCTGCTGTCATAGCGAAGCACAGTATGGTATTTGTAAGCCTTGTTTGATAGGTCGGGGCTCTGCCAACCTATGATGGTTGTAGTCAGGAGCACTGTTTTTCAACATACACAGTGCATCCACCGCCTTGTTACATGCTATCCACCAAAATAACCATGTCTCTACTAGTATCTGATAAGTGATCACTTCATATGCTCTCTCTCTCTCTCTCTCTCCCTCTCCCCCTCTCCCCCTCTCCCCCCCTCTCTCTCTCTCTCTCTCTCTCTCTCTCTCTCTCTCTCTCTCTCTCTCTCTCTCTCTCTCTCTCTCTCTCTCTCTCTCTCTCTCTCTCTCTCTCTCTCTCTCTCTCTCTCGCTCCCTTATGTGCTCAGATTCTGGATGACCCCTCTGGCAATAGCTTCATTGAATTCCTGTATCCTCACTAGTAGCTATCAGGCCAGTTATCATAATACATTGATCATGCAAGTTAGATTCTTTTATTGAATATCTTAGAAGTTAGAAGGTGGGTTAGAACGTGGCAGTTTCTATGGGACAATTTGTCGAAGACTGTATACAGCCACTTTGTTTTGTTCCTCTCGAGCGTGGTTATGTGATGAGTATGTGTCATTCGGTTGTGTCTGTGAAACTGCTTCTAAATCTGCGTATCTTCAATGGCTCACTGACAACCAGGCCACAGGCGACTGTGTGTGTATGTGTGTGTGTTTACCCTAAGACCATGTATCCTAAAGTATTTCTTAACCTTGAATACTTGACAGCAACCCGCCTGCACCCGATCCTCTACTGAAGAAGAGTGAGTACACGCGAAGCAAGGAGCAGAATGAAATGCTCAACATTTCCAGTCCAGTGAGTACACAGTTGTAAGCTTTGGTGGAGATCACTGTTGCCACTGGCGATACCATGGTGCTAGTGTACATGTATGGGCATGTATGTGCCGCCACCTTTGCATCATGGCCACTAGCTCGTACTGTACTGATGAGGCCTACTTGGTCGAAAAAGCTTGCTGTCTACAGCAGTATGACTATTGTATGGGCATCTTGTATTTTCCTTTGCTCTGTCAACTTCATGAACTCCACCACTAGAGAAAGCGCTCATTCTCTCCTGTCACCGTCCGGTTTGTTTTTTTGACAGTGCACCAATGTAGTTGTTTGCATGTCTCGCAATTCTGTGACTCAGCTCCATTTTCTTTTTGCTTTCTTTCCTATCCTGCCCTGAAGGAAACCGTGGCAGATGTGCCAAGCGGCGCGGAAGACTTGTCATCCACTGCAGGTATCATCATACAGCAAATACTGATGCCGATCTGCTGTTGTCTGTGTGTGTGTGTGTGTGTGTGTGTGTGTGTGTGTGTGTGTGTGTGTGTGTGTGTGTGTGTGTGTGTGTGTGTGTGTGTGCGTGCGTGCGTGCGTGTGTGTGGAGTAATCTCTAATGTACTGGTGCTCATTGCCCTGGTCTTGTGTGGTGCTTTGGCTTGCTTCCTGTTCACAAAGCATTCTTGCAGCATGCTGTGCCACGCTGGCGGGCTGTTGTGTCTCCCGTCACTCACTACTGTTAATTCAGGACTAGAAGTAACTGCGAGTACTTGGAAAAACTAGTAGTGATGCTTTGAACAATGTGATATATGATAATATAGGAGTATACCTCACAGTGCACGTGTAGTGTATTAGAGCTGACGGTTTTAGCTGGCATTTTAGTACTGAAGTAAACAAACAGTACTTATTGTGCTTGTTGACCAGCTTGAGAAGTCTAGGTTTTCTACGTATTCCTTGTTGCTGAAAGGTTCATCGAAGGAAAGGGGGACCGCTGACAGCATTGGTGATGAGGAGGTAAGAATGTGGCATTTCTTGTGTGTGCGTGTGCCTGTGTGTGCATGCATGGGTGACTGTGTGTGTGCACACGTGTATGAGAGCGAGAGAGAGACTGCAGTATTGGTACCACTGGCATGTGGCAATGTAGTATTTTGTGCTAATTCCGTATGTCCAGGCACTCTTTATACTAGTACAATATACTGAACATGGCACATTGCGGTCAGCCTGCACACACATGCTAAGTACTTGTATGTCCTTGCTATATACACATGATGTCTGTCTCTCGCTTTCTCTTTGTGCATCTCTCGCCGTCTCTCTCTCTCTCTCCCTCCCTCTCTCTCTCTCTTTCTCTCTCTAGCATAAAATCTAGACTGACAACCTGCTTGTTAAATCATGCACCTGCTTTCAGGCGTAAAAACCCTGTTGTAGAGGTCTCAGTCCTCATTTGTTAGACTTACCTGTTTTATAAATGTAACTTACTCTCTCTCTCTATCTCTCTCTTTCTTTCTTTCTCTGTTCAGATATTGTCATTTCCCAGTAACTGCCCCAACTGTCAGTCACCAGTGGAGAATCTCATGAAGCCAGTCGGTATCCTTTGCTGCTGTTCTATTCTGTCTTGGTGCAATACTCATTGCCATCTGCACAACTGGATCTGTTTGCCTACGCTATGAGAGCACGACTCCTTCTCATGTTGAGAGTGAATGAAATCCCAAATCATAGAAATAAAGCAAGCTGTTAAACGAAATGTTTGTTGGTAATGAGTGTGTGAGTGTGTGTCAATCGAGAAGACGTGTAGCTGGCTTCCTTGACTAGCCCTGTGACTTGTGATAGATATTCCGTTGTTCAAACAGGTCATCATCATGGCAGTAAAGTGCGACAGGTGTGGCTTTTCGTCCAACGAAGTCAAATCAGCAGGTATGTGGCTGTAGCAGTGGGCACGGGTGTAGGTATGGGTATGTGGGTATGGCCATGTGTGAGTATGGTTGTATGCTTGTGTAGGTGAGCCCATATCATCACGCACTGAGAAGACTTGCCCAAAGGTGACCATGCTTCAAAGCTTTTGCTGCCGGGTGCTGAAAGGCCATTGTTATAATATACATGTGTGCACTACAGAAAAAAGAAGTACACTGTACACGAATCATTTTGTTGTGTGTGTCCTTATTTATTTGTTTCAGGTGGTATTGAGCCAAAAGGAGTACGGATATCACTGGAAATGTCTGAGGAGGCTGATCTTAGTCGAGATGTCCTTATCGTAAGTTCTCACGTCTTCTCGGTCCTGTATACGTACCTTACTTCCGTGCAGGGGGGGGGGGGGGGGGTTGCTGCACCGGTGTATAAACCGCACCTCTCTTCAAGGCAAGACTTTCATTACTTAAGGCCGGAACGGCCAAATCTTACGGATTTTCGTTGTGCACAACCTCTCTGTTATCTTAATGTGCATTTTCACTTGTTGATGTTGACCACGTTTTACTTCTGTGTGTTTGCATGTGTCATCTTCAGGCTGAAACGGCATCTCTCTGCATACCGCAGTTGGAGCTATCTGTAGATTCGTTTGCTGCCTCTGGCAGTTTCACAACACTGGAGGGTGTGCTAACGAACATGAAGGACCAGGTGAGCATGGTACTTGAGTTTTGGAGAAGTACTTGTACTAATAACAGCTGAATGACAGTAAATTCACTACTAAATTGGTACCTGGGACATATTCTTCGTGTTTCTTGTTATTGTATGCCACAACTATATTCATCATTCTCAGAGATGCCCCTTGATGTAGGCAGTCTGCTGGGAATCCCTCGAATATGTATTGGCGGTCTTGCTGGTTGAAGGACACTTGGCGTTGTAACTAGCTATTATTCCCTTGCATCTTTCCATTTGGCATTGGTGAGACTGATGGGCGTGCATCCCTTGGTGTACACAGACTAGGCCATTCGCTTGCACTCAGCTGGGTTTTATGATGCTTTCATTGGAATTCCGTTCTCTTTCCTTGCTTTGCAGCTCACCAAAGTCCATGCACTCTCCCTTGGTGACAGCTCTGATGCCGGTCGTGCAGACAAACTAAAGGACTTCCTTGGTGAAATGGACTCGGTAAGGCCCATAACCTAGGATTCCTTCCTAGACCCTAGTGTACGTGTTGTGTGTGTGTCTGTCTGTGTTGTGTTTGTGTGCGTCTATGTGTGTGTGTGTGTGTGTGTTGTGTGTGTGTGTGTCCGTGGTGTGTGTGTGTGTCTGCATGTCTGTGTGTGTGTTTGGGTGTGTGTGTCTCTGTTTGTGGGTGTGTGTGTCTCTGTTTGTATGTGTGTGTATGTGTGTGTGTGCGTGCGTGCGTGTGCGTGCGTGTGTGTGTGTGTGTTTGGGTGTCTCTCTCTCTCTCTCTCTCTCTCTCTCTGTTTGTGTGTGTGCGTGTGTGTCTGTGTGTCTGTGTATATTTTGCTATCTGGTGTCATACATGTCCACCCAATGGCACCCATCAGCTTTGCGTAAACTCTGCATGTACAAACATTCATCTACGTGCATTTCGTTAGGTGAGAAAAGCTAGCGGAAGTTTGTCTCTAGCTTAAGTTCTTGACAAGACGACATTTCGTGCACACCAAGGTGGGCACTTGCCTGTGCTCTTTCAGTGCATGTAAGTAGAACTCTATGTTGGAAGTCCTTTGTGAGGTAGTTACTGCCTCATCTTCTGATCTGATCATCAGCCTTGTCTTCTCCTGTTTTCAGGTTTTCAAGTTCAACCCTAACAATCAGCTCATTGTGCATGTCCTTTGATGCTTTGAACTACCCCATGTGTTGCAGATTATCAGTGGAACTCGATTTGTCACCATCCAGATCGATGACCCGGCTGGTAATAGCTATGTTCAGGTAAGTGCAAGGGTGAAACTCCTTCTCAGTGAGGTCGTTAACTTTGCTTTCACTTCATGTTCTTGCACTTTGAGGCACTAGTTACCTTAAAACATTCTGCTTCTGTGTGTTGAATGATATTATCAACTGCATGTAGTAGTGCTTTGTCTGGCACTGCACCCAACAGAAGGAAGGCTGTACATAGTTTTGAGCAGCCTCAGGACAGTGCTGGGCCATGTTTATGGCTTGTCCTTAGCAAGAGCTCAAGTGACGTAATGAGCGGCGCTCGTACTTACCAATGGTGCTGGTGCTGCTGCTGGGTATTTGCCTTTCCAAGGATGACAAATCTGCTGAAATCACGTACCTTAACCCTTTACTGTCCGTACATACAAGCATCGATCCAATGGGATCGATGGGGTAGGCATTTTGAAATTATCGTAACTTGCTCAAATCTAGGTCTTTTGGAGAGATCGAAATATGTAGGTCGAAGAGAAAAGTCTCAGCTGTCGCCTCGAACAATTCCCGAAGCGATACGAACAGCGGTTGCCGGTTGCTGAGTTATCGCACTCGTAATTCTGGTCCTGGGAAAAGTGCGTTCAGAGCGCGACGCGCATGTCGACGGCTGGGATTTTCCCTGTTTACGTCACCTGTTGGCAAGGCTACACCGATTCAAATTCAAAAGTAGGTTCCCGGGAGTCTCTACGAAAATATTTGAGCTCGATACGAGCAACAGGGGTGACATGGTGGATTGAGATCGATCTCGAGCGTGGGCTCATTGCGTTCGTCTCGTCAAGACCTTACCAGGATGCCCAAGATCGTGGAAATCGTCAAATTCAAACCAAAGTTACGTCTCATTTTAGTTTCAGATTTTGTGGTTGCGTGGGCTTGTATACATTTTAATCGGACAGTAAAGGGTTAACCTTACACGTGTATTGTGGTGTCTACATTGTATAATTTAGATGATTGGTGATTTGTAAACAAAGCTACAGTACTGTCGGGCATCGAAGACCGAACAGGCTAGGGTCTCACCAAGCACGGCATGCCGATAAACTCACGTTGCTGTGCGTAGACTGTAGTGCATGATGGATGGCCTAGGCTATGAGGCTGATCCCCCCCCCCGGCGGTACTGTAGTTTTGCAAGAGCCGCGTGTACGTCACAATAGATTACTACTGTACCTGTAGCATGGTAAATGTTACAAAGTAGTGTCCTGGTAACGTTGGTATTATGTAGTGTTTCGAACTTTCGGTGCAACTTTACTTCAAAGAAAGTGTGCTCTCAAGAATTCCATGCCGCACATGTTCGCGGTTCTTTGCGCAGATTATAGCGGAGATCGGGAAGTGATTCATGTGCACTGAACTGAATACTACTACAGGAGTGCTTCAAATACATGTAATATTGCTCGTCGTCTGGCATTTTCCGTGATGAGGAAACCTTAAAGTCACCTCCAAGAATGCCTTTATGTTGTATGAGTTGCATGCGATTTGACGTTCCCTTTGCTTGTGTTTTGCTGACAGAATCTGTTTGCGCCTGACCCTGATCCTGGTCTTACGGTGGAACGTTACGAACGAAGCCAAGAACAAAATGAAGAGCTGGGTTTCACGCAGCTGATGGATGAAAATAAGCTTGCAGCGGTTGATGAGAGTGAGGAGAGCAGCACCTCATGACGACGGTAACATCTGATCTGCCTGTCCGAAGAGACCACTCTTATCCTAGTGTAGTGCTATGGCCCAGTCTAGGCTGTACTGTGCTGTACTGTACTGTACCCTCTGGTAATGCTATGCGTACAGTGCACTGTACACGCTGCTTGTGGATAGGTGCATGGCGTTGCTAATACTGGTCAGTTGGCACTGAGCATTGTTGATACTGTTGCTGTTGTAACATCACTGCTGCTGCTGCTGCTGCTGCTGCTGAGAAGCTTGTACTGCACTTGCAATGGGCCTTGCTCTATTACGGTGGCTGCCTCAACATTGCATTCTTGTGGAGTCCTGTGCTACAGTCACCAGTGTTGCACTGGTTCTCCGCTACATACTATTCCGCTCGAGCTGTACATGGCTGCAGCTTACTCTAGCGATAGCAACCAGGTGACTCCGGGGTCCGTTTCCGGTTCTGGCGTGCAGGTCCACCCATTCCTCCGACACCTCACGCTCTGCGTGCGTGTGTGCTTCTCACTCAGAAATTTGCCGTGTGCCGCGTGTGTAGCATGCGATCCATGCTGATTTACGGCACTCCCTGGCAGAGTTTTTTTATATTTTCATCTCGAATTCTACTGATTATGATAACGAAGCATGTTGACTGAATCAGCGACCTTGACTCACTCAAATTACAATCCTTAGAACTGACAGGTTGTTGATGCTGTTGATTTGCTCTTTCTTGGCTCTGTTACCATGATTACTGAGGTATGAACGCTGATCACTACACACTGGCTGATTTCACTTTACGTTATAAAATGTGCAGTGTGCAGTACAGGGGATCCAGCTAGGCTAGTGCACACACGCCCGCGCACGCGTGCACACACACACACACACCATGTACCAGGTGTATGCCTGTTGCAAAAGAAGCAAGCAAATCTGCAAATGCACTGGATGTGCACCCAAAGATTTTCACATACATAATGCGCGCGCACACGCACACACACACACACCATGTATACACACACACAAACGCAGAGTGGCACACACACACCATGTATACACACACACACAAACGCAGTGTCACATACACACCATGTACATACACACACACAAACGCACAGAGTCACAGAGTGTCACACACACACACAACACACACACACATACACACACACACACACACACACCATGTACCATGTATACGCCCGTCGCAGGAGAAGCACGCAAATCTGCAAATGAACTGGATGTGCACCCACAGATTTTCTCTTATAGTTATAGCAACGATGGCGAACAAGATCTGAATGAGACAGATCAAGACTTGCGCCAGATAACTGTCTAACACACACACACACACACACACACACACACACACACACACACACACACACACACACACACATACACACACCTCAGACATACCCATCGCGGAAGCGATGATAGCGAACAGCTATGTTAGACATAGCAACTTGTACACACACACACACACCTGTCCTGTCCTGTTGAGCCACTGCCATGAAGGTTACGTGGGCCCCGGAGGGGCAGCTGAGAGAGAGGAGGAGCACACAGACCTGTGACGATCCAGGTGATGCGGTAAGCGAAATCGGCGGGAGCAGGCGCAAACACACGTGAAGCCCTGACGGTCCTGAACGGTCGGACGACTACAAGTCCGCGAGCAGCGATGACGGGCGCGGCCACGTGTAGACGCAAAGCAGCGGTCACAAGCCTGGCAGTGAGCGACGCAGCACAGCGGAGAAGCAGGCAGCGGCAGGGGCGCACCGACTGCTGACTGGGGGTAAGTACACTTGTGCCTTGCCAGACCTCCACGGGACTTCAGCCAACGGCCACACTCTCCACACTGGCATGCACCTTTCTGCTCCGCAACCGGCTTCGCACGCTCAGCCTTACATTTGTGGCGTGCGCGATCACTGGGGCGCGTAAACTGTCGGTCGCAGGTGTAGCAGGTGACGGGAGGGGTATGCTGGGCATCTACCGGTGCTGAGTACGCCGAGCGCCAGGTGGAACGCGACTCGCATTCAGCTCGCCATTCCCCCTCGAGGCCGCGAGAACGAAGGTCAGACATGATACAATCCTTCCAGCGCCGACGAGGGCCATGAGCTGGGCGACGCGACGGAAGCGTGCCAAAGAGAACTTGCTTCGGCAGCCGGTGGTCCTCCATCCGAGCAACATGCTCGAGCCATTCAAGGCGGCGGTGCTCCACCTTCGTGCGGATGGTGTCGGGATCACCCCACCTCACACCTAGTTGGTGGTTGGTGATGTGGTCATCCCAGCATTCTTGGCGAGACACTCCCATGATTGAGCGGATGCATCGGTGGTGGAAGACAGAGAGCCGCTGCAAATCCCGTTGAAGAGGCGTCCAACACTCCGAACCGTACAGCAAGAGCGACAAGACACAGGCGTTGAACACACACCTCTTGATGTGGAGGTCCAGGTGCTTGTTGCCAAAGATGGACTTTTGCAAAGCGCCACACGCTCGGGAGGCATTCGCAATGCGGGAGTCAACATCGCAGGATGAACGGCCGTCGCTGTGAATAACCGAACCCAGATACTTAAATTCGGTAACACAAGCAATGTCGACACCAGCTAGACTGAGGGGTACGCGGTCAGCAGCAGACACATCAGCACCAGCAACCAAAAACTTGGTCTTTGTGGCACTAACCGCGAGGCCAAATTCGGGCGCCGTGTTGTCAAAGGTTGTCAATGCGACCTCGGCACCAGCTCTTGATGTAGCGAACAATGCCGAGTCATCAGCGAACTGAGCCTCCGTAGCGGTAGTGACAGGGTCGGTGCGGTGAGACTTCCTGTAGAGGTTACCAGTGTCAGAATTGTGCGAGAAACTGAAACCAATACCAGGTACACCACTAACGCGCTGCTGCCATCTGCTTACCACGGCCCACATGAAAATGTTAAACAGCACGGGCGCCATTGAGCAACCCTGGCGTAGGCCATTATGAACGCTAAAGGGATCTACAGTTGTACCACTCAAGCGTAATACAGCAGCCATTGAGGTGTGAAACGACTTGATCACCGCCAGCATGGGTGAAGGGACGCCAGCTCTAGCCAATACCTGCCAGAGACACTCACGAGGAACCGAGTCGTAAGCTTTGCGCAAATCGATGAAGACAAAGAAACCCTTGGTTTGATGTTCTACTGCCTTCTCCAAGAGTTGGCGGATGGTAAATATCATGTCGGAGCATGATCTGCCACGGCGGAAGCCACACTGCGATTCCGGGAGGAATTCTTTGGCCAGAGACTGGAGGCGTAGCTGAATGACTCCTGCTAGTGCCTTGCCTACGACATCCAGCAAAGATATCCCCCGCCAGTTATCGCACCTGGAGAGGTCACCTTTTTTGGGTATTGGCACCAGCATGGCATCTACCCACTCCTGGGGGACACGACCCTCACGCCACACATCGCCAAACAGCCCATGAAGGCTGAGGAACAGCTGCTCGCCACCAAATTTCAACATTTCCGGGAGGATACCAGAGGCTCCAGCCGATTTCCCGTTCTGGAGCTTGCCAATAGCACGACGAACTTCCTCCAGTGTCGGGGGACTAGCGAGATCTTGGGCTACCGGCAGTTGTGGGATGGAGTACAGTGCACTAGGTGACCACGTGCTATGGATGTTCAGCACTCCAGAGAAATGTCTCCGAAAACGGTGACCCTGCTCTTCTGGTGACGTGCATAGATTTCCGTTTTCATCCATGACTGCAGTTGTCCGAGCCGGTTTCAAACCTTCCCCTGCAGCTTGGAGATCGTGAATGCACTTCCATATTAGCTCCGTTAAAACGGGACTCTGTAGCCGCTAGCGCCTTGCTTTCTATCCACTTCACACGGGCTGCATCAATAGCTGAGCGTGCCCTCGACCTGGCAGATTTAACACACACACTACTACTACTACTACTACTATTGACAGCTGCCAGGATTGGCCACGCCGCTCCCAGATGGGAGGTACTGTCAGAGAGGTTAGGGGGGAGGAAGGCAATGCTCCAAGTGGCGTTCCAGATCTTGCCGCCTCCGGAACCGTCGGTTGTGGCAAACTTGGCAGTGAAACTTGAATTGTTGGCGTTCAGCCACAGTAGGGCGCTTTGGACAGGTTCCACAACGGTGACGCTTGAGACCCGCAGCCGATTTAAATGAACGCTGACAGTTGGTGCAAGTTACACCAGGAACAACAAGAGGAGCAGGGGCAGGGGCCGGCGGCTGGTCGACATCGCCTAGCCGACACTTATGCACCGCAAAGCCTCCTCTGCTACGTAGCCATCGGTTGCATGTTGGACACTGTACTGATCCAGGCTGCTCCGATACCGGGAGCTGACGGATTGCTGAACACTTGTGCCGGACCATGTCGGAACTACGGCGGAACAGACGGTTGCAGGTTGGGCACTCGATGCTCTTCGGGGCGGGGTTCCTTGTCCTCACCTGCTGCTGTCACCACTCCACGCCACTCTCCACGATCGCTTGCCAACTCAAACCAGTTACGCACTCCAGCCACGGATAGGTCCGTGTGAATGGTGTCCTTCCAGCGACGACGAGGTCCACAGAATGGCCGAGACTGAGGGAGACAGGCAAACAGCAACTGCTTCGGTACTCTGGTGTCATCAAGACGAGCCAGGTGCCCAAGCCACTCCAACCGTCTCTGCTGCACCATGCGTGACAATGGTGTGGGATCACCCCACTGTGCTCGCAGTTCCTGTGAAGAGGAACTGCGAGCACACACACACACACACACACACACACACACACACACACACACACACACACACACACACACACACACACACACACACACACACACACACACACACACACACACACACACACACACACACACACACACACACACACACACACACACACACACACACACACACACACACACACACACACACACACACACACACACACACACACACACACACACACACACACACACACACACACACACACACACACACACACACACACACACACACACACACACACACACACACACACACACACACACACACACACACACACACACACACACACACACACACACACACACACACACACACACACACACACACACACACACACACACACACACACACACACACACACACACACACACACACACACACACACACACACACACACACACACACACACACACACACACACACACACACACACACACACACACACACACACACACACACACACACACACACACACACACACACACACACACACACACACACACACACACACACACACACACACACACACACACACACACACACACACACACACACACACACACACACACACACACACACACACACACACACACACACACACACACACACACACACACACACACACACACACACACACACACACACACACACACACACACACACACACACACACACACACACACACACACACACACACACACACACACACACACACACACACACACACACACACACACACACACACACACACACACACACACACACACACACACACACACACACACACACACACACACACACACACACACACACACACACACACACACACACACACACACACACACACACACACACACACACACACACACACACACACACACACACACACACACACACACACACACACACACACACACACACACACACACACACACACACACACACACACACACACACACACACACACACACACACACACACACACACACACACACACACACACACACACACACACACACACACACACACACACACACACACACACACACACACACACACACACACACACACACACACACACACACACACACACACACACACACACACACACACACACACACACACACACACACACACACACACACACACACACACACACACACACACACACACACACACACACACACACACACACACACACACACACACACACACACACACACACACACACACACACACACACACACACACACACACACACACACACACACACACACACACACACACACACACACACACACACACACACACACACACACACACACACACACACACACACACACACACACACACACACACACACACACACACACACACACACACACACACACACACACACACACACACACACACACACACACACACACACACACACACACACACACACACACACACACACACACACACACACACACACACACACACACACACACACACACACACACACACACACACACACACACACACACACACACACACACACACACACACACACACACACACACACACACACACACACACACACACACACACACACACACACACACACACACACACACACACACACACACACACACACACACACACACACACACACACACACACACACACACACACACACACACACACACACACACACACACACACACACACACACACACACACACACACACACACACACACACACACACACACACACACACACACACACACACACACACACACACACACACACACACACACACACACACACACACACACACACACACACACACACACACACACACACACACACACACACACACACACACACACACACACACACACACACACACACACACACACACACACACACACACACACACACACACACACACACACACACACACACACACACACACACACACACACACACACACACACACACACACACACACACACACACACACACACACACACACACACACACACACACACACACACACACACACACACACACACACACACACACACACACACACACACACACACACACACACACACACACACACACACACACACACACACACACACACACACACACACACACACACACACACACACACACACACACACACACACACACACACACACACACACACACACACACACACACACACACACACACACACACACACACACACACACACACACACACACACACACACACACACACACACACACACACACACACACACACACACACACACACACACACACACACACACACACACACACACACACACACACACACACACACACACACACACACACACACACACACACACACACACACACACACACACACACACACACACACACACACACACACACACACACACACACACACACACACACACACACACACACACACACACACACACACACACACACACACACACACACACACACACACACACACACACACACACACACACACACACACACACACACACACACACACACACACACACACACACACACACACACACACACACACACACACACACACACACACACACACACACACACACACACACACACACACACACACACACACACACACACACACACACACACACACACACACACACACACACACACACACACACACACACACACACACACACACACACACACACACACACACACACACACACACACACACACACACACACACACACACACACACACACACACACACACACACACACACACACACACACACACACACACACACACACACACACACACACACACACACACACACACACACACACACACACACACACACACACACACACACACACACACACACACACACACACACACACACACACACACACACACACACACACACACACACACACACACACACACACACACACACACACACACACACACACACACACACACACACACACACACACACACACACACACACACACACACACACACACACACACACACACACACACACACACACACACACACACACACACACACACACACACACACACACACACACACACACACACACACACACACACACACACACACACACACACACACACACACACACACACACACACACACACACACACACACACACACACACACACACACACACACACACACACACACACACACACACACACACACACACACACACACACACACACACACACACACACACACACACACACACACACACACACACACACACACACACACACACACACACACACACACACACACACACACACACACACACACACACACACACACACACACACACACACACACACACACACACACACACACACACACACACACACACACACACACACACACACACACACACACACACACACACACACACACACACACACACACACACACACACACACACACACACACACACACACACACACACACACACACACACACACACACACACACACACACACACACACACACACACACACACACACACACACACACACACACACACACACACACACACACACACACACACACACACACACACACACACACACACACACACACACACACACACACACACACACACACACACACACACACACACACACACACACACACACACACACACACACACACACACACACACACACACACACACACACACACACACACACACACACACACACACACACACACACACACACACACACACACACACACACACACACACACACACACACACACACACACACACACACACACACACACACACACACACACACACACACACACACACACACACACACACACACACACACACACACACACACACACACACACACACACACACACACACACACACACACACACACACACAACACAACACATATTGCTCCTCACTTCTGACTGGGGTGTAGCCCAATTGGCTAAGGGCACTTGTGAAAACGCACCACACACACATACACACACACGCATACACACACACACGCACTGACAGTCTGACACGCACATCCAGTCACCCGATCTGAGACTAGAGTCATATTTATACGACTTCTTGTTCCTTTGTCAGAAAAGCTAATCAAATGGCAAAAGTACTTTTTGATTGAATTAATTTTGTGTTCAATTCTCAGTATGCTTGTAGACTACAATAGTCAATTGTCGTTATTTTCATTGTAGTACAGTCATGTTCTAAAGACCTTGCTAAGGAGTGATTTATCTCGTTGTAAATTGAAATAGTTATGGACCACGCTGAAGACGATGATGGAGTTTTGGATAATTGGGACGATGCAGAGGACATGGAGGTAAAACGTGAAATTGTGAGAATTGGCAATTGCACTCGAGTATTGATCTGATTTGGATTATATCGGCTGTGCGAATTGCAATTTTCAAGGTGCTGGAGCGTCGCATGGATAAGAGAGTAGAGAAGCAGCGTAAAGAGGAACAGGCAAAATCAACAACAACGGCGGCCGAAGCAACGGCTGCGGACAATAGGTACATCTTCATGTTTTGACATTTGGGAACGAAATGAATGGTTTGGCTGAGAACTATTAATTTTTGTTTATAGAATCGTTTCCTAGAAAGGGAGCGATGACCTTTTTTCTCCCTTGGTGTTTGAAATGAAATACGAGCACGGGTTGTTTTCTAAAGTGCACAGGCTAGTTTTATTTCGCAAATAGGAGCCACCATGTTGCTACCTTGCTGGATCGTCATCGAGCATTCACATGGAATTGTACAGCAGTCGTACACGTACACATACAGTGCACACACGTACACATACAGTGCACACACGCCACACAGTACTTGCAGCGTACGTATTTTGCCACAACCCTCAATATTACTGATGGCATTGCAAGGATGCTGCCTTTGCATGCACGTACACATGCACGCGCGCACACGCACGTACACACACACACACACACACACACCTCAGACCTCAGACCTGCCCATCGCGGAAGCGATGATAGCGAACAGCTATGTTAGACATAGCAACTTGTGCTGGGATTACACCATTCAACAGCTTGCAAGGCTGATGAATTGACCGCCACTAATTTTAGCCTTACACACACACACACACACACACACACACACTCACACACACACACACACACACACACACACACACACTACGTGTGCTTGCTCACTGCCGAACTGGTCACGTGGGTCTCTCCGGGAGAGGGGGAGAGACGAAAAAGGAATCTTGGAAGGACGACTCATTTGGTTATTAACCCTTTTACGGTCTCACATTTGAAAATCGATCACCGGTGATCGATTTTTCAAACTATCGTAACTCAGTCAATTTTTTAGCAAATTCGAACATCTAAATATCTGGGTTGAAGAGAAAGCTCCAGGCTATCCGTAGGAACAATCGCCGAAGCGATAGAGTGAACGGCTGCGATGCTACGAAGCTCGCGATCTGCGTCACGGCTCATTTACGATTTGAGTGGGCGAGCTGGGTCTTGAGGACGGGTTTTTCCCTTTGCAGCTAGCTGTCACCATAGAGACACGGATTCAAATGAGAGTATGGACTCGCAGCACTCCTCACAAAAAATATGAGCTCGATGTAAGCAAGGAGAGGGAAATGGCTGTTGAATCTTGTTTCTCGTCGTGAATCAAGCACTGGGGCGATGTCGCTGCGCTGCAGCGCTGGATCCACGGCACGCTTGGTGTCGAATTGTAGCTCGGCGTGTTGCTCTTGTCCAGAGCTTTCCAGAGAGCCCAAAATCACGAAAATCAGCGAAGGGAAACTGAAGTTATGGATGAATCAAGGTACGAAATTGTTGAATTCTGTAAATAGCCTCATTTTGACTGGATTCTGAGACCGTGAAAGGGTTAAACCGCCCAACGGCCAACGCCCTGGAAATTCCCAAACTCTGGGTGGACTTGGTAATGATTCCACTTATGGGCTCACCACACCTCAGTAAGTGGGTGGGGACAAGGTGCAGAAAAAGGATTGACGTCATCAGGGTATCCGTCCCGGGATCCAACTGCAGTTACCCCTGCCCCCCCCCCCCCCCCCCCCCAGTGACGGTAAAACTAACTTTGTTACTTGCGACTAGTGTGGGTGGCTAAATCAGAGTAGATCGGATATAAGCTTCACAGGTATGTGTACATGTACTTCAAATAGAAAGTATATGAACCCTGACCCACGCACAGTCACACACACGTGCACACGGACGCATGCGTGCAACCTTGCAGTACACCAGTTACTCCAGACTGACGAAGCTGAATTGTAATATGCACCTCAGCTGGTGACAATCCTGACGTGGGTCACAAGAACATTTGTACTGCATGCTAGCTCTTTGCCAATTTGTCTTGTAAAATTTAGCCTAGTGAGCAGGAGGGACTACAAAAACTTTTATTTTATTTTTTGGTTTAGGCCAGGCTACAACCTCACCCGACTTTAACCGCTGCTAGTACATGCCAGCTTATGGTATTCCTTGATGCTCGTGATGAATATGAAGACAAGGAAGGGTTCCCATCTCAGCAGTACTCGCACCCTTCCATGACCTAAGCTAAGCTGTAGCTTCCGGCTTATCAAGTATAATGACCTTGTTGTCTTGGCGACACGCTCTTCACTTCTAGCAAGAGTACATGAAACCCAGAGTGTGCAGCTCGGATGGGTTGCTGTCACGGTAAAATTCCGGGGTTACATCATTTTAGTGATGTAGTGCGTACATGTACAAGTAGGATTCAAGCAGATCTCTTTCTGCCCAACTGCAGCTCAACTGTACGCACTACGCCACTTCCCGCGGCTTAGGTACCAACTATGATGTAACCCTGGAATTTTGCCGTGACAGACACCCATGCAGAAAAAGTCATAAGCTGCACATCATGTACTCTTGCTATTGTGGTAACTATATTCCTGACATGGCCAGTCTCTTTTCCAACCAAAAGAAAGGTCATTGTTGGAAAAAGCTTTTATTTATATAAATTAAAATTGTTGCATTCTGCCTTTGACTAGACTGGATTATCATTGTGTGTGTGTGTGTGTGTGTGTGTGTGTGTGTGTGTGTGTGTGTGTGTGTGTGTGTGTGTGTGTGTGTGTGTGTATGCATGCATGTGTATACACATACATGTGTGTACACGTGCATGTGTGCATGCATGTGTTTTTGACAACTTTTTGTGTTTGTGTCGCTGTTCTTCCTTGTACAGTATGTTTACACGCGATGGCCAGATCAGACAGCCCATACAGTTATCAGAAGAGCGCACACACTACACCCCACAGGTACTGGGGACATGCTGTGTGATTACATTGTGCTGCACTTGTGCATATTGACCATGGCATCTATGACCTGGGATTGGGGAGGGGGGTGTCATTCACATAACATTGTACAGGATTGTGCATTTAGCGTTGTGCCCCGGCTATTCACATATTCGTTGGACTATGATTGTAATGCTGCCATTTTTTGTCATTTTTGTCATGGCAACGTTTTCCTGAATGAACGTGTCCCATAGGTGGCTGTGCCGATATCCGGGACATCCAAACCTTTGGTTTAGTGTAGTACTGTATAGGTGTATAGGCTGATTTGCTAAAGCTTCTACATTCGACTGTATTGGTCCTGTAAGGAGTCTTCCACATCTGTGTTAGTGTGCGAGCTAGTGAGGAAGCTAGTGTAGGGCAGCAGTGGGGTATTTACCGTATTTCTGCTATTTCAGATTCGCATCCTTGGGTGATAGTTGATGTAACGCGAACCCGCGGCTAACGCTACTCTTTGTGTATGTGCGGGTGAAAACTGACGTCATGAATTCATCTGTTATGTTAGTGTGTGAAAACTGATGTCATGAATTCATCTTTTTATGTTAGTGTGTGAAAACTGATGTCATGTATTCATCTTTTTATGTCAGTGTGTGTATTACTGTAGTCACGTTCTATGCCTACGTGCATGTACGTGTATTGGGTGTTACCAAGGGTCCATAACCCCCAGAGTGTGCAACTCGTGATCCTTCTCAGCACAAATCAGTGCCGCAACGAAATCCAAACTTCATACGTCATGTAGTGAGTAGCTATGACGAAATGGGAAGTTTGGCCCGGACCTACTTCGCCCGTTTGCCCAATTTGGGGTCTTTCTTTACGAATCCACGGCCAGGTATTGTACGTAACACGCCTGGAAAGGCTCAAGTACACAAAGAATTATTTTAGAGTTTTCGAACAGTTTTCTCTTTTGAGTGTCTCTCCGATAAGAGAAGAACAATGGCCACTGTTGAGCCTAGAGCAAAGCGCTCCCCATTGTCGCCGGAGTGCAGTGTCTTTGTGGACGATATTCGTCAGTTTTTGCTCGATCTGGGCTCCTCATTTTCTTGCAAATCTATATCCATGCCTATTCTTGCTATCCCGGAGTCACGAACTCTCCCAATACAAGCTTTTCAGACAACGAGCAGAGAAACTCTCTTCAAATAAAAAAATTCTGTGACTGTGAAATCAAAGCCGTTCTGCTGACACTGCATAGCCCGTGGAGCAAACGTTTTACGTGACACTTCCGTGGCTTGCTTCAAAGCAACCTTCAACTTGGTACCCCCGCCGGATGTACCAGATATGCACATGGCCCCATCCGCCCATGCTTGCCCGGGGACCGGATGACGCAATGTTTGGATTTCGTTGCGCCAGACCCCAACCTGGAGTTGCACACTCTGGGGGGTTATGGACTCTTGGTGTTAGTGCAGTCATGTTCTATGCCTACGTGCATGTACGTGTATTGGGTATCACTGTGGTCATGTTCTATGCCTGTGTGCGTGTACTAGTATATGGTATGTGTATTTCTTTCATTTGTCCACTCAGATCCGTCTGTTAACACGACCTGAAGGACAACGTCCCGATGCAGCTACTGCTGCAGCAGCAGCCGCCGAGCAAAACCGTGCGCCCACGAAAACACTAGCGGAACGAGAGCAAGAATATGCTTTAGCCAGGTGAGGGTAACTTCGGGTTAGCCCTGCCCTGATGTGTGTGTGTGTGTTTAGTTTGGTGGGGACGTGCAAAGAAAGCATATTTGCGTGTCTGGTGTGATACGGAATCACGGCCATTCCGTTTCCCTGGACGCAGGAACACAATGGACGAGTTTTGTTTGTTTACATTTTTGTACAGGGCACCTTCTCTACATTTCAGGGTGACTTTCACCCTAGTACATGCGCATATGCACACACTGGCACCAGTATTATTATGCACCCAAGAAGGTGCAACGCTGCATATGGGGTCTCTGACGGCGAAAACTCATATCATGTGTTGCAAGTACATTTCTTACAGCATGTATGTACAGCGAAGGCCAGCGTGTGTGCAATCTGGTTATTTGCCATGATCATGTTGTGCGCAATCTGGTTATTTGCCATGATCATGTTGTGTGCAATCTGGTTATTTGCCATGATCATGTTGTGTGCAATCTGGTTATTTGCCATGATCATGTTGTGTGCAATCTGGTTATTTGCCATGATCATGTTGTGTGCAATCTGGTTATTTGCCATGATCATGTTGATGCCGCGCGTGCACTGAGTGGGTTTCTTTCGGGGAGTGCTATTTTTCTACTCTATTGCTCGCTAAAAGCAGGCTAGGTACGTACGACGTGTACACTGTACCATGCGATGTGAGTTTTCGCTCTGTGTGCGTGCGTGTTTATGTGTGTATATGTAGGGCAAGAATAATGGGTGATTCAGCTAACAACACTACCAACTCTACATCACCATCGACAAAGAAATCAGCGCCTCATCGGTAACACTGGTATGTGCAGTGATGCGCTCCAGAATTGTGTGTGTTTTTTGTTGAATATATACCTTGCTAGCACTTAGTTTGGGGCAGAGTGCGTTTGAACTCGCGTGTCTTTGTCCTAAGTCAAATTAATGGTCTTTCCTATTGCCCAATGGTTGTCTTGAATCTAGGGTGCACAGCTGTCCAAACCCATAGGCTTTTTCTTTCATAATGGTGTGCTTGCGGGTGTGTCTGGTGATGGCCATGCTCTCTGCTCCTCTGCTACTACCTCAATCTCCTGCGTCTTTCTCTGCTCCAGTTCCTGTTCCTGCTCTCTCTCTCTCTCTCTCTCTGACTAAATGAATATACCTTGCTGCTTTTGTTCTGCTATGGGCTTGTGTCGGGAATAGGCACTTTTCTTCCAGGTAGCATCGATGTGGAAATTTTTTAATCACGCATTTAGGTCGTAGGAGCCAGTGCCTGCGTTGCTTCATGCTGCCCGCAAATGTAGTAATGTGCGTCTTGTCGTATTGTGCTGCTCGCCTTGTGGTATCTCTAACACACATGGGCACACATGTTCACAATTTCTTTCTAACTGGCTGCCCTGCGATTGTATTTTAATAATTTAAATTGCGCCATTTGCCATGCTCGTGTATATTTTTTCCCTTTCTCTATTCCCTCAACTAATGAATATGTCTCATGTTACTAGTATTTACAAGAACTTCTTCTCTTCTTGACTGCGCTGATATTTAATATTGATTTGCTACTGAAGTCTGCTAAATATCACCACACGTACACATGCATCCATTGGGCCATTTTGACTGTTGCTCTCAGCTACTGAACTAACTTTACGGGATTCTGTAGAACAGCTTGTTTTGGCGCCGTTTATATTTTGGCGATTATAGCGAAAGGAGTGTTTTGCCGCGCGACCCGCGCCAGTCAAACTTTTGCATGTACAACACACTCCTTGGCATCTTTTTTTAAATTCTGAAACTCGTAATCGCTAAAAGATGTCATCGGGAATATAGCTTTTTCAAAGACGCCGTTCCCGCCACCGCCCCCAGCGCTCACCCCGAGATTGTGGTCAACAGGTCGCATGTCAAAAGACTCAAAAGTCAAAACGCATTGAAAAGTATACGAAATCTGACAGGTTCGTCTCCACCAGCACTTGGAGCGATTCTGAAGCTTGTTCTTTTTCGCCCAAGCCATGGAAGGGCTTCCTGGCAACTTCTCTGACTCAACACGAGTGTCGGACATCAATTGGAGGCGCCATTCTACGGATTCTTTCACCTCCACGTATCCATTCCCATACAAAGTGAACATGAACTGGGCTTCGCCTGTTCACTAGCGATTCAAAAATTTCTCGCACGTGACCCCAAAAAGTGACTGTTGGTCCAACCTAGCTTGAAAAAGCTCTATTGGTCTAGATTCAGAAAACGCAAAAAATGTTACCAGCTAAAATTTGCCGTTCTACTGTAGGCTAATGTCACAATCCATTTTGTGTTTGCTTGTCCAATGTATTGAAAAGCATTCTCATGCTTCATATTGGCTGTTCTAAGGGCCAGATGCATGCCACGCTGTCTTCACTTCCTCGTGCAGCTACATGATCCATGGCACACTTTAGAGTAGGGCTGCAACGGGTAGGGGTTTGGCCGGCTAACGGGCTCGGGTATCTTTATCCGGATGGCACGGGTACTCTATCGGGTATTTTTTCGACATACTTTTGGAGTAGTTTGTACAGTGAGTGTGCATTTGCGCTACATGGAAAGTGTACAGCAAGCACATTACGGTGCCTTTTACATGCACCGTTGCAAAAACACTGTTCTCCATCTACCTGATCTGGTTCTCAGGAGCAGATTGCTACCCGAACACCCGATCTAATTACGGGTACTGTAAAGTCAGAAACTTTCGCTAGAGATTAGATTTCACTATTTTCGCGATCATCACACATTCGCGAATATAAATCACCGCAAACCTCTCCATACATTGATTGTAGACAGTACAAGATCCGACTGAAGAGATAGAATCGCAAACGCTTCTCATCGTGAACCATTGCACGCCGCGAAAGTTTGTCGCTTTACAGTACCCTACTATCTGATGACACCCTTACTTTGGAAAGTCAAACACAACGCTATGCCTGTGGTTTGGAGCCAACTTTCGTACAGAACTGAAGTTTGTGCGTCCAAAATGGAAGAGTTCGTGTCCAGTGTACTCGAACGAATCAAGCAAAACCGGGTGTGCTGGTATGAGAAATTATGTACTATTTTGGATTCTTTTGGCGCATGAGTAGAGGGCGTGATGCAGGCAAGTACTGAAGGAAACCCAAAAGTTGATAGCCAGGTTGCATACTCTTCTTGAGAGGCGATTTACACGACGGCAGGATTCATCCCGTGCGTGATGCTGCCATGGAGATTCAGTCACATGTACTCATATTTTGGCGCGAACGTATCCCGCGAGCTATTCCGGTATGGTTCAGGGACGGGGCTGGGGGGGGGGGGGTGTGCATACCGTGGCATTCCGTGGACTGTTTCGTACTACAGGTGCTGTACAGTTGAACATCGATTATCCGCACATCGACTATCCGACCATTCGATTATCCGTAACAGTTTTTTTGGGCGCACGTGCCGTAGAGTACGCACTGTGCATGTAGTGAGCCATTCAAAAAATACGAAAATTTTGAAAAGTAAAAAGTAAAAAGGTCGTGCGGCTAGTAATAACCACTGAAAGTGTGTGAGTGACAGTTTTTTCTTATCCGGAACATTTGCCTTATCTGAACACCGCCTGACAGTTGTCTGCCCATAGGTGGTCGGATAATCGATGTTCAACTGTACGTGCATCCTGCCATGTGAATTGATTTTTGTTTTTTCCGTATCACCGCAAGCTCACGGGACCATGTGCTTCACTTCCCGGCGGGAAACACTGCTGTCTTGTAAATAAATCGCCTCTTATGGACTCTTGATAGTATTGTCATCATCTGATGATTGTCGACCCGGCATGAAACTCTGGCCCAGTCTGGGTTGTGACGTCATCTCGACATTCATTGCAATGAATTACCAGTATGTGGGACTCTTGATAGTAGAACATACAGTACGTGCCATACAGCAAGTTGTGCATCGCATGACTGTTACCATGGTTACCATTGACATAACCTTACAATGTACATGTACAGTCTTGCTCAATGAAATCCAGTCGTGTCACTTTTAAAGTTAGCACCTATATTACACCATTTCGCAGCCCAGTGTTCGCAGGTCTAGGGCTGCGCAACGCCCGGCGTGTACTTGAGTGACACGGCTGGGTTTCATTGAGCACTGCACTGTACATCACGTGTCAATGATTATGATTGTACAGTCATGTAGTCAGGTTACATGTACAGTTGAACATCGATTATCCGACCACCTCTGGGCAGACAACTGTCAGGCGGTGTTCAGATAAGGCAAATGTTCCGGATAAGAAAAAACTGTCACTCACACACTTTCAGTGGTTATTACTAGCCGCACGACCTTTTTACTTTTCAAAATTTTCGTATTTTTTGAATGGCTCACTACATGCACAGTGCGTACTCTACGGCACGTGCGCCCAAAAAAACTGTTACGGATAATCGAATGGTCGGATAGTCGATGTGCGGATAATCGATGTTCAACTGTACATGCATGTCAATGATTATGTGAATGGCTCAAGACAAGAGCTGAAGTCTGAACTACAGTTGTATAGTATCATTCAGGATTGCTAGTAGCTGCTTCAAAGAAAAGCTCTCACCTCCGCTCAAGACCGCAACACTTGGTTCTTAACATTGTCAACAGATGCGATCAATTATGCGATTCCGTCATTATGAATAAAGGGGAAGTATACCCTGAAATCAATTTTTCACCAGTTGTAGTCTTCGGGGTGCTGAGTCGAATGGGCTTGGTCCGAGGAAGCTGAGACGCTCCCTTCCTCCTTTATTCCCAATCAATGGTATTGGTCCGAGGAAGCTGAGACGCTCCCCCTTCCTCCTTTATTCCCAACCGAACTCGCACACTTTCACCGAAACTGGGTGACTGCGCCCCATATAATTATGTAGATGGGGATTTGTATGCAAAAGTCACTAAAAGCGCCGTTTCCTTCTTATAAAAAAGCACGGACGACCGCGATTGGTCCATGCATTGTAGTCTTTTGGACGCTGAGTCGACTGGTTTTGGTCCAAAAGGCTGAAACGCAGCATTCAGCTCTTATTTCCAATCGAACACGGGTGAGTAAGCGGTCACGTGCTCATTCGTACACTAGTCACCTGGTCACCGTGCCTGCAGGCTACAACTTTTGTCACTCGAGTTGAACCTTTGAGTTGAACCTTGGTGTGAAAGTTGTAGCCTGCAGGCACGGTGACCAGGCGACTGGTGTACGCATGAGCACGTGACCGCTTACTCACCCGTGTTCGATTGGGAATAAGGGCTGAACCCTGCATCGCCGCCTCCAAAACCAGTCGACTCAGCGTCCAAAAGACTACAACATATGGACCAATTGCGGTCATCCGTGCTTTTATAAGAACGAAACGGCGCTTTTAGTGATATTTTGCATACAAATCCCCATCTAGTAGGGCGCAGTCACCCAGTTTCGGTGGAAATGGGCGAGTCCGATTGGGAATAAAGGAGGAAGGGAGCGTCTCAGCTTCCTCGATCGGACCAAGGCCCAGATGATTCGACTCAGCACCCCGAAGACTACAACTGGTGAACATTTGATTTTTGGGGTACTGGTATACATGTGCTTCCCCTTCACTTAAAGGGGAAATTAAGGCAAAAATTAAAATTTCACCAGTTGTAGTCTTCGGGGTGCTGAGTCGAATGGTCGTGGTCCGAGGAAGCTGAGACGCTCCCTTCCTACTTGAATCCCAATCGAACTCGCGCACTTCCACCGAAACTGGGTGACTGCGCCCTACTAGATGGGGATTTGTATGCAAAATGTCACTAAAAGCGCCATTTCGTTCTTACAAAAGCACGGATGACCGCGATTGGCCCATATGTTGTAGTCTTTTGAACGCTGAGTCGACTGGTTTTGGTCCGAAAAGGCTGCGATGCAGCGTTCCTCCTTTATTCCCAATCGAACATGGTTAAACAAGCGGTCACGTGCTCCTGCGTGCGCCAGTCACCTGGCCACCGTGCAGGGTACAACTTCCTAGCCTGTTTGACCTTTTTTGGGTGCAGTCCTGTCACTCGAGTTGAACCTTGGTGTGAAAGTTGGCGCCTGCTGGCGTGGTGACCAGGTGATTTGGGCACCCAGGAGCACGTGACCGCTTGTTCAACCATGTTCGATTGGGAATAAAGGAGGAACGCTGCATCGCAGCCTTTTCGGACCAAAACCAATCGACTCAGCGTCCAAAAGACTACAACATATGGGCCAATCGCGGTCATCCATGCTTTTATAAGAAGGAAATGGCGCTTTTAGTGACATTTTGCATACAAATCCCCATCTAGTAGGGCGCAGTCACCCAGTTCCGGTGGAAGTGCGCGAGTTCGATTGGGATTCAAGTAGGAAAGGAGCGTCTCAGCTTCCTCGGACCACGACCATTCGACTCAGCACCCCGAAGACTACAACTGGTGAAATTTTAATTTTTGCCTTAACTTCCCCTTTAAGCTTCAGTCACATGTGACATTTCACTACACTCTATACTTAAAAATTAAAAATAGTATGATAAAAAGGAGTAATCAGTTATGACAGTCCACAGCCACTTTCTTGCGAGCACCTCTTGCTGGCTAAACAATCATGGTAAATGTTGATAGACTAGACTGGTGACTGTCGTCAGTGTCACAGACCTACTTACATTATAAGTCCTTTACTTACCTGTCCCTGACTGCCTGAGTCCTGACTCTCGTAGTCGAGTCGTGCAGGTCTGCTTGACGGGTTTTACTGGTAGATCTACATGGTGTGGTGGTCATGATCACAAGACTCGAGTCTAGTTGTCTGTACTGTAGGTCTACTCGTCTGTGCATTCGGCTCCACCACGGTCGGTGCTCTACAGATTACAGTTTTTTTTACATTCACACATGACCATGTGATGACCCTGATGACTGTACAGCTACAGACTGACACTACATACAGACAGTCACAGTCTGATAATAAGACTGTCAGTCATACAATGAAGTACTCGTACATCCAGTGTATCCGCTCGTCGATACGATACAAGAAGTGTCGAGACTCGATCAGCCTGAAGGAGAAAAACACGCTGCAACGAAAAATTTATAGTCTCCTTGGCCTTGTCACGGCCATCTACCGGTATTCTCTTCATACATATCATACGGGTTGCCCCCGCAAAAATCTAAAAGAAATACGGTAGATCTACGCGCGTGCACGCATTATCATTGTTAGTGCTCGTACTCGTACACAGAAAATAAAAGCCCTCACCTGCACCCTAGCCGCTAGAAACACTGCTGTCAGTCACGGAGGCACAGCAGCTACCGTCTGTTCTCCGCACCTAGCGAGTACGATACGAATATCGCGTGTGCCATGTGTACAGGATATTCATCTGCTTGTGTTCATTTCCCTCCACAACTCTAGTTTCCGCGAGGAATCTACGCGCTTTCAGGAATCGCAATCAGTTTCTTCTGAGCGTGTGTTGAGTGCGTTTGTCCTGTTTTTGCCGGTGTGTAAGCTAGAGTACTGGGTAGCAGTGAGGGAGTGCAGGGTTGGACGATCACAGGCGTACCAATAGCCGTGTGGCAGAGATGAGCGCCACGGCCGGTAGGAGAACCTTGGATTTGCTGAGCTGGCTGCAATCTCTTGACCTCGAGCAGTATGTCGGTCGATTCCAAACGATTGGGCTCTTTGAGCCACGCCAATGCCTGTAAGTGCACTGCTACGGTGAGATAATAATACTGTTCACGTTTGTTTACAGAGCACTGCCATGGTGCTACGCAGCAGTAATAGCATGTACCGTATTTGTTGGCAAGAACTAGACCTCAGTAGAAGCGTGCTCGCACACAAGTAGCCTACTTGAGAAGCAAGTTCAAAACCTTACCAGTTTACCAGTAGGCAGTACCTGCATGATCAATGCCACTCGGGTTTCTAAATGGTAAGCGTTTGTTCCTGTTCGAACACATATCGCCAGGGACTCGCCATTTCGGTACCACCATGACCATCCCTCTGTAGGAATTAGAACAAATACCCGACGAGAGGATAATCGGGTCTGGCGGTGAAGATCCCGTAAGAAATGGGAAGTATTCCGGGCCATCCCGATCGCAGGTCAATGCACCAGTGTGAAAAGTTATTCGAATGATAACACTTCCATTCGAAAACTATGAACTCTATCAGACTGGTTGCACGACTGCAAGAGCACCGACAACAGTGAAACCATTTGAACTAGCGTGCCTGCTGTGAGCGATGGGTGCGAATGGGATCGCGACTGTCCGACACGCTACAGCGTGCAAGTGCGATCGAGTAGAGCTCCTGGTCGTGCTGCTGGCGATGCTCCCATTGTTTTTCAGCCAACCTTGGTTCCCCATTCGCCCCGTTGTTTTGCGACACAACTGTCATCACCAGTGCAGTAGACCTACGCTTCTCTAGTGTAACCGGTGCCCTGACGGCTGCCGTGCGCTAGCCCCTTGGTCCCTATCGTTCTTTGGTCGCTAACGTTCTTGTAGCTGCGGTGCGCTATCACCACGAATCCCGGCATGATCACAGAACAAAGCTGCATCCTCGCATGCGGACCCTGGTAGACCAGGTAGACTTGTGCTAGGAGTTGATACAACCACTACATAGTTGAGCGGTCAGCGCCTGTTTGCGATCTTCAGCTACCGCAGTCTAACTAAGTAACTACTAGTAGTAGAGTCTTCCGTAGAGCCACTGTAGGGCCTTGGAGGCTCTCGAAACCGTCTTGCCCATCTTTTTCCTGGCCTGTTCATCCCCTTCCGTTTCCTCTTGCAGCAAGCTGCAAGCCATTGTTGTTCTGGTCCACCAAGCCTGTGGCTTCTGTATGAGCCACACATTTACTTGGACAACAAAACAGTCCTTACGTTGTCCTAGGATTTCTGTAGTTGCGTGTGTCATTCAAACCATTTATTTTCTCAACCCTCGCTTTATCGCAGAATTAGTATTTATGTTGGACTGGCTATCGGTCGTGCCGTGGAATTAGAGAGTTGAATAAGTAAACTGGGGCACGTCTTGTTACTGCCAGACAGCGCTGCTCAGAGGCAGCTTTCCCGCTGCTTGGAGTGACTTGGCCGGTGCACCGTGCCCTCCTGCCGATAGCTCTAAGTCAGTGTCATAGTACGGTCATAGGTCGGTGCTAGTGCAGTGGTGGTCGTTGTCAGAGGATTGCTGTGCTGGAGGCCGAGGTGACGACGGCCAAGACAGTACGAGCAGCAGCCTGTTGGCTTTGTACGATCGTGTCAGGTAAGAAAATGCGTCCGTCGTAGTTACATGATGACACCAGGATCCAGTGTGTTCCTCATAAAAAAATTAGCAATATCGATTGGTCATTCAACGCACCCTCTCGATCTAGCTAGCTGTCGACGGTTCTTGATTGTTCCTCTAACCATGTTTCGGACTTGACACAGCCGAAAAGGGTTACGAATACGAGTCTTACGACGCAACGGGCAACGCGGCACCCTGTACTGCTCGGAGCGCTAGTAGATCTACTAGTATACTGCATGCTCTGAGCTGACTGATCAGCTGCGTGGGTAATCTTGATCTTACTACAAAGTAAAGACAATGTGGTAGATCTACCCTGGTCATGCTGGTGACTTTACATGCACCGCCACCGCCTCCGTAAACACGACGACACGCACACAATCCGTCAATCGCTTGGAAAATAGTTCGCCCTTGCATGTTGCAGTCGTCATGGTAGTGTAGTACTGTTACTGTGTTAGTGATTGTTTTGCTGGTTGTTTCACTCATTCAGTCGTGAAAATAAAATGTTGACAACTAATTGAAAGTCCGTGCCGACACTCCAGTCGACTCCCGCACCGTCTCCCACATACAGTGATGTGATGTGAACCCAACTAAGTAAAGTTAGTTGGTAATCTACTACTACTACTAGTACTAGTCTTTCATTGTACTTATATTTGTAGTGACACAGACAGTCCATACAGGCCTGCGCGATTGATCACAGGAAAGCGAGAACGGTAAAACATGGAGGTGCTGCAGGTAGGGTGACGGCTCGATTTGATTATGGGAAGAAAATAATCGCTTATCTCTACATTGTACTTGTAGCATCGTTGTACCGTTCATCAGCATTGTTCTGTCGCAATTTTGACGGATTCCTACGCAGTTAGTTCGGGCAAAAATCAGGCTTCAAAACAAAGTAGCTGCCACGGCATTCCTTCAGCCCGACAGTCACGAGCAGTCGCCACTTGAGCTCGGGTCTAGTCTAGTCCTCTTTTGACAACAGGTCGCGACTACTAGCGTCGTAGCGATCGCTAGCTTACTTCAGCGTGTGCGGGGCAGGTTCTGCTGGACGACACCGTTGACAAGCATTGTCAGATCTCCATGTCAATGTAGCGATATTTAGGTTTTCAAAGGCCTTGCATCCCGGGTTTCTTCCCAGGCCGTCGCGGGCGTCCAGCTCCATCCGCACATGAAACACGTTCAAATGGGAGGACATCACGGGTACAAGCGCAGAACTCTAGTCTAGGCGGTAACCAGAACAGAAGAATAGTTTCTGCGTCTTGACTCTTGGTCTAGTCTGTGTAGAGAGATTACCAGATGGGAATGCTATGCATAGAATGCGCAGCCAGATAATGAGTGTCAGCATCCCAGTCTAGCAAGGGAAGGTACACATTTTGTTCCCATTGCAAGTCTGTGAGTGTGGTGTCTCAAGTTTGGTGGGCGGCCCTATGGTCTTGACTCAGACTGGTGTCCAACACCGCTCTTGATGTTACCCTGCCAGTTCAGATTCACTCCCTGAATTCTGGACTGTCTGGGGCTGAGCTGACTTGTAAGTGGGGGCAGGCATAAAGCTCTTGCAGCATGGATGTAATGTTAGCTCAGGTGTTCAGGATAGTAACAGCATTATTAGAGGATCATCAGTCACCATCACTTAATCTTCAGGATAATATCCTATTATAATTATTGCTGTTGTTGGAGTGAAGTGATCGTCTTCATCTATGCCGAGGGAATGTGGCTTGATCCATGATCTTCCATGGTCTTCTGTGCTACACCAAGCCACTAATGCGATCAAAAAAATTGCCGCCTTTATTACTATTACTCATGTTGCCATGGTGCATTTGCCTCCATGGCTGGGTTGAGGCTTTGCACAGGCTTGGAGAATAGGTGGGTGGTGGTGTGGGTGCATATGGCTGCACCTGTACATTGTGCCTCAAGTGGCAACCTTACATCCTGTTCGGACCAAGACTGATCTATGGTCATATGTATGGATACGTTTGGATCATCATGCCACTCAATAACACTAGGCATGTGTGACTGGAGGGAGTCCTCATGCCAGTTATGTATGCAGAAACAGATCTCACCAATGGAGCGTGCATGGAGGCTTTGATGCGTCATAAATTAACATTCTGTGCACAGCGTTGATAATGGGACTGCTTGACCCGGCTACTGGTAGCTTCGTCATCTGATGGTAGGCGAATCTATGCACTTGAAAGAAAAGTGCTTCTTGCCATTTGATTGCTAGTGATATGCAAGTGGCCTCGCCAAGCCCTAGGTCAAGGCCCTGCACGGCACGCATACAGTGATACAATAGCCTGAATGGGGTATTGAATGGGATGCATCATAGCGCTGTTGCCATGCTAGAAGAGGACTCTTGACTTAGATCCTGCTGTGCCTGACGTTTTCTGAATATTTCTGCTCTCGGTTTGTGTGGGCAGCACTGGTGGCCAAGCTGGCCAAGGCTTACCGCACTTAGCCTCTAAATCTAATGTGGGGTCAGAACAGTGACTTCTTCCTGTAGCCGGTGATGTGTCATGGCAAATACAGCTCCGGAGCTCTCAGCATGCACACAGCACCTGCTTGCAGGTTTCATTCACACTAGTATGTGGAATTTCTGAGAGGTGTGCTCAGTTTCACCCATGTTCAATTAGAGGACACTTCTTTCTTGCCTTGGTCAGGGAGAAGGAAGCAAAACGTTCCGAACTGGCTGCATTTAATGCTACTGTGTGTGCAGATCCCTGACTGAGATTGGTTTGACACACGACTTGGACATCCATGATCGGAGTCACCGGGAAACAATCCTTGCTGCCGTCCAGCGTCTGGCCAAGGAGCTTTGTAGTGACAACCTGAGTGACGACTCTTGGCCAGAGTCTGAGCAATCCTCGGGCAGGAACAGCGTTGTTTTCGGGACGAATCACGCCGGTAAGGAAACAATGTGTGTTCTTGCTAGGCCAGAGTTAGGGATTGAAGCTAGTGACATGAAACATCTCACAGATGGGTGTGCATAATGTAAGTCCACCTACATGTCTGCACCATGTGTTAATGAAGATGGCTGGTGCAGATTAAACATGTACATGTACCATCTAAGATCTTCAGCTTCCGAATTAATTTCCCCAGCAAATCGTCCACGCCTTTCCCAGCGACCCAGCCATGCCATGGCATTGTAGAATAGTTCAAGTCATTGCTAGACTGCGTGCCCTTATAGCTCGTCTTGTTGCATGCTAGTATTAGGAAGCCCTGTATGCTGCTCTGCTGCCATGCTGCCATGTAAGGAGCAACCAAGTCACCAATCCTATCATGTCGTGCTCGATTAGCCGTGCAATCGCATGATGCCTACAAAGGATCGCTGGGTGACTCTTGACTGTTTCCTAAACAGGCATGGTGCTAGATCTGCTGGTCTGGTCGCATGGCCGGCAGTGTGTTGGGACTGCGCTAGTGTGTATACTGCGGTATGACGGTGTGTGTATGCGTGCCCGGTAGTTGAACAGTCAATCGGTGTATTCCTGGGCAGCAGTACGCTTGACCTGCAACCGGCGCCTACTCTGCATGATCGGGTAGCTTCACTCACGTAGGCACCCTGTGCGTATGTAACACACCTGTATTGGTGAGGTACACTATATACAAGCACCTGTATTGGTACACAATCATAGAAGCGGTTAATAGTAACAAACTGTGTACTGTTTGTAACAGTAGTGAGCACACAGCAGTACGCCAGTAGAGCTGATTGGATCCAGGTACTAGCCACTGTACACTATGCTGGCGTGTACCATTTCCGCTGCCTGCCTGCCACTGCAGGTCAGAACTCAACAAGCCAACGTAGTATTATCCTGTCCAGTTCCTGTATGGCCTTCCACTCAGTTTGTAGCTAGGTGAAGACTGGCAGTGCTGCACTTTCATTATGTTCTTTGCCTTCTTCTTGGTGGAGTCTGACTGCTAGCTGGTGTTGCTGTTCCTGCTTCAGGATCACTGGTGTCTTCCCACGACCCAAGCCATCCTCCTGGTTTGGTAAGTCAGCTGCTTGTGCATGTGCTGCAGTATGCCTGATGGTCTGTGTGCATACTGGGTGTGTTACTTAGTGTGTGGGCACACATGCAAGTGAGCTGAACAGCTCAGTGCTCAAACCTTTGTGTGGTGTATCAGTGTGCAGTGCACTTTTGTTGGTGAACACAACAACTGTGCTGTGGGCTTTGCAGTGACCAGGTGACATACCAGACGCTGCTGATCTTTGCTCCACTTTGAAGAACTTGGGAATCCTTGGAGTATTGGAACACATACATGTAGCTCATCTTGTAGAAGTGATCAGCATGCAGCACAGCATAGGCCATAGGCATAGGCAGCTTGGGGCAATAGTGTCACGGTGTGGGTGCATGGAACTTCCAAGCAGCTTTTCAAGTACATAAACTGAGTGGGCTTCTTTGTGTGCTCCTTCCTCCTCTTCTGTAATGTGATTGCTTAGCAGCAACTACTTGAAAATCAAAGTGCAACACCAGTCACATGCAAATGATAATTCATTGGTTTAGGACAAAGCACAATGTGTGGTTGTGACACTCTTGCACTCAGCATGACAACTGCCTGCTACATTTGCGTCCATGGAGCTATGAAGCCGAGACCTCTGGTCGGCGGAGCTTAATGGGCCCCACCACCACACTCCATCATTCACCCCAGTGTCTGGAGATATGTGGATTTTGTAGAAAAAAAAAAAAAACATCAGTACACACTGATACACAGTGATTGGGTGCATGGTTGCCTGTAGCACCATGGAAGATGTGCACAAAGCAGCTGCACACTTTACACCTTGTCTGGATCTCTGTGGGAAGCACAAAGTCTTAGACTTAGTGCATTCCGAAGTTCTTTCAGCAATGGCACCAGCACTTGTAATCATAGAGCTCCGATGCCAGTGGGTAATGTTGCACAGATGCCATCTCTCTGGTTACCGCAATGTGTTTCTGACAGCTTCTTATTGATTACGAGAAATAGAATAACTGCTGCTTAGGTAACATGGTATCAGCAGTGTCAGGGCTGTTGGTTTAAGTCACCAGGCTGCATGACCAGTTTACTGCAGTGACATCACCAATCTGTAGGATTCCAATGCATGCCAGTGCAGGTCAGTACAGGCTGTAGCAGAATGATGAATAGGGACATATAATGGACTGAGACCTCCGGCTAAGGAGATGTGTTTCTCTGGGGTGTATTTTGGGCTAGCCTGTGGTCAGTGCTAATGTCAGTATTGCCCTTCAACAATTTCATTTTTAGACTAAACTTCTCTGCAAGCCGATACTGGCTGTGCACTTCTGTAAACCTGGCCCCCTGGCTCAGAGCGATGTTCGTCTATTGTCATATGAAGACACTGACCAGTGCCATTGTACATTCCTTTAGCGTTTTCGTTTTATTACTGCATACCAATGATCTGCTAAACAACTGGTGACACCATCCTACTGTATGTCTGTCACTGTTTTCATGTACACACCTACATGTATGTATGTAAGGCACCGTGACATGTATTGATAGAAGCCAAAACGGTTTACTTCAGTGTGAAGGTTGCCTCTTGCCTCTGGCAACTTCATGTTACTACCTACTTGTATTCATATAGCCGCAATGGATTTCCATGCACTGCTATTCATACAGCATAAACTACATGCACTGTAGTAGCATCTACTATGCTATTTGCACAGTCCTGTTCATGTGCCAGAACTCTTCCAGAGCATTCCTTGACCACATTCTATGCATGTCCGCTGCCATGCTGCATACATTCTCCACATTGTTATTTGTCTAGCCTGTTGAGTGCTTAATGATACTAAATAGTGACATTATAGTATGAAATACCCAATGCTGTAGACAGCAAGCTGTATGAAATATGAATGTGCACTCAGCTATGGCAGAACAGTGCACCGTTTTGAAGTGGTTATGTCAGCTTGTATATGCAAAGTGATGTATTTCACGGGGGGCAAAGTAGCCTGTGTCATGTGGATAACTTGACCAACGTACTAATTGTGCACGTTTTGCTTCTGTCCTGTTGATGCTGCCTGTCCAGGAAGTCGATTTGAACTTGCCACCACCCCCTCCCGACCTGATCGCCCCACCACCGCCACAGCAGGACCCAACGTCTTGGGACACGAACATGCCTCTGCCACCACCGCCACCGCCATCCATTATCAACGGGAGCAGCGCAACGAACAACAATGTGTCTGCATTCAGGGACACCAGCAACCAGCCCGTGACATCGTATAGTCCCACTAGTATGCAGAGAGTAAGTTCAGTCTAGTAGCTTTCAATGTACGTGTAGTTTTAATTGTACACATTAATCACAGTGATACTTGCAGGTTACTGACAGGGCAAAGTCAACAGACAATGCAATGGTATGCATCCAGATACTCCGAATCTTGTAAGTTAGTCGGTTGGATTAGGAGCACACTGTGAAAGTCTGTGTGTGGCCATCTTCTGATCCTCTTGTGATGCTATAGATGTACAAGCAACCTTCCTTGGTCAATGTCCAGCAAGGTAAGGCATAATAAGTAAAATGACTTCAATCGACAGTATGTTGTGTTTCATGTTGGTGTATTGTGATTTGAATCCTTTCTGGGTGGTGATTGCAGGCCATACAAGTAGTGTCCTGGAGTTGCTAGTTATAGCAGCCACCCAGGATAGCTGGAGTGTCAGTAAGCTCCCAGTAATCTGTCCCACGCTGCAGGAAGTAGCTTGCAGTAGTACAGCAGGTATGGAAATGACATTTGTTTACTGGTCTGCGTATGGTTGGTTCTCTGCAGATGAGTTTGATTTGGACATGCTGCTTGCCGATCTTGTGGAGATTGAGCAGAGCTCCATCATGCCAAACCTGCCCATGACGCAACGGAAGAGTCCAGTATCGCGTCCGGTCTCATCTCTGTCCACACAGTCCTCGTCCAGTAGTCTCAATGTCAAGCCGCCTGTCGTAACGATACGGAGCACAGCAACGCGCTCGGATTCGCAGAGCTCACCAGGTCCACTGTCCAAACCAGCAGCGGTATCGCCTGCTGCCAACACTACTGTCGATGATGATGACTTCTCAAAGATCCTTGCTGACCTGGAGTCATTGTCTTCCTCAACAGACATGATACAGTCTAGTTCTGAAAAGAAACCGGCTGTAACCGAAAACCAACACAGCTATGGTAAGAGCAACGGAGCTCCTGCTTCTCACGCACACTCGGCCTCGCCAGCTATGCTGCGGCAGCCCTCAGAGCTTGACTTGACGCAGCAGATCAACATCCTGTCAGGTGGTCTTGGAGCACCTGTGACGACTAGTGATATGAGTCACCATATGACTGTAAGTAACTGGGTACTACAGTTGTGACCTTGAGGATATATCCGAGCGTGTGTGTGTGTGGGGGGGGGGGGGGGGTGAGAACCCTGACCACTCTGAAGTGTTGGTATTTTTGCGAGGTCACATGTCACTTACCTCCACAATATTGATAGTAGTACGAAGTAAATATGTGTTGCTCTTAGCTCCTTGGGGGCACACTCCCTATGCTCAGCTGTCGCCGCAATATACAGCCCAGGCCATGATTCTAGAAGTTCAGTTTGGTTTTGGGCTGGGCAGGTCACAAGTTGAAGGGTAACGTTTCCACTTTGGTGGTGTTGTCAGTTCTCACTCCCCTTCAATCAGCAGCAAGTCCTGCATAACCTGCTTTATCAGTACAGTACTAAAGATCAACTGTTGAAACATGCATTCTGCATTGCTTTCACTTCAGTCTCCGACCAGTTCGTCATCATTGTCGTCTCCATCCTACAATGGCTCTCACTTCAGTGCTTCATCCACGTCAAGGCCTAGCTCGATGGCATCGTCTGAACCGTTCACCCCGTCATCGTCTGCAACATCCACCTTGTCCACGCCGCGCCATACGTCCGCCGTGTCGCCACATCCCTCAATCAGCTCCGCTTCATCGTCCTCGGAGTTGGACGAGTTAAATCAACTCAGTGCGCACCTGACGCGAGAACTCAACTCTGACAACGTATCCACCACGACGTCAGAGGATCAACAGTCCACGTCTGTCCGCACTGTGCCTAACGACAGTCTCGTGCGGCTGCCAAATAGCAAGTCACTGGTAAGGCGTTGGCCGAGACCGCTGTGGGCTGTGAACCAAGCTCGGCTTGGTGGCATGCCCACTCTGTGCATGTGATCTCTGATCATCAAATGTCATTCATGCAACAGTAGCAGCTATTCGAATATTTGTGTTGTGATGCACATGCACTTAAAGATCTGCAATGCAATGCGTAGGGGCACTGACAGCTATCCAGATTCATGTTCCACTGCAAGCTTACATAACTATGCCTTGTACTGGATCCGGACTGTATTAGAAGTATGCTGTAGCGTGCAGAGAGGTCGTTACTAAATTAAGTTTTTAATACGATACATGTATTCTGTGATTGTCGGGATGTGTTTCCAGGTTCGAGTGAACGAGGAGTTAGCACACTTGGAGAAGGACTTGGCTGCCGATGGCACCCTCTCCCGGGTAAGAAAAAGGTGATCCCCGGTGAAAAGAAACCTGCTGTGCGTATGCCAGCATTTCCCGGAATGTGTGCTGTGGCCTTGGGCAAGTCAATACTGTGCGCTCCCTTGATGTTCAGTAAACATACTATGTGCACATTGGGTGATTTTATGTACTGTACTATCGTTATACCTGTACTGTGATGGCCATTGTGTGTTCCTGAAGATTGACTTGTCTGTATGTGTACGCACCTGGTTTGATTTGCGGATGTAGACGGAGAGGGACAGTCGTCTGAAGCAGGCTAAGATGCAAGTGGCCATGGACAAACTGAAAGAAGCCAACAAGAAGAAGGTGAATAGTAAAAAGTTTAGCAGTGATGGAATTACTATATTGGGTGGGGCATTATAACTGCATGCACATGTGTGTATGCTACCTTGTTTGACTCATGCTTGTTTTCATGACTGGTCGGAATCACGGACACTCACGGTATGATCTACGTGTATGCAGTTCACGGCGTTCATAACTTGTTGCACATGCTTTATTCATTACCCAGTTTCATGACTGTGTTTGCGTCTGCCTGCCTGCCTCTGCTGCCTCACCCCACCCTTCACTCTAACGTTATGTCTGTGTCTTCGCCTTTCCCCTTCCCCACCCGTTGTCCCGTTTACAGCTGGTACTGAAAGCATACAATGATGACGGGAGTTCCAAAATGATCGTGATCGACGAGATGATGACAGCGTACGAAGTGACGCAGAGGCTGATTCGGAAAAACAGAGTCAAGGCATCTACTAACTACGTTCTGATAGAGCAGCTGGCCGAGCATTATATCGGTATGTCTGGGGGGTCAAAGCTTAGTGTACTCGTAATGTGTGTATGGTTTGCATGGTCTCTGTATACTGATCATAACAGATCATTGGCTGAGAATGCTAGATGGGGCAACAAGTTACCAATGAGTTAATATCGTTGAAAAAGTGTTTATCAAACTTGATTGGGTGTTGGGGAAGGACAACACCTGTGGTGTACTACAGGGTTTAAAGTGTTCCTTCGGGAGGGGGAATAGAGAGTGGAGAGTGGCGGACTGGTGCACTTTGCCGAAACCGTGGTACACATTATGAGTTCATTACACCTGCTGGGCACAGCAGCTGTCCTCACACTCTATAACTGAAGTGGCGGTGTGCATTTGTATTCTCCTTGCAGCTATTGTGTTGACTGGGCCATAGTGCCTCAAGTTCAATGTAGAGAAAGGCATGGGTGCCTTGCAGGGCACCCTGCACTAGATATACTGGCCATGGTCTAGCTGTTACATGACCACTTACTGGCATTTAGAGCAGTCATGCATGCTGACTGCCAGCATGTATGTACATGACTCACTGTGCTCGATTTCACGTTGTAGTCTAATCATCTTCTGTGCAGAACGTCGTATTGAGGATCATGAGGTGATGGTGCCCATCTTAGAATGCTGGGGTGTCAACAGTCCCAACACCATTCAATTCACTGAGAAGCCAGACAAGTACATGCTCTTCAAGCGACCGCAGGTAAATTGTTAATACTGCTTCTCTCTGTCTCTGTCTCTGTCTCTCTGTCTCTCTGATAGACGGGTTCCAGCACAAAGTAGCATTTTGCAGACCTTTTCACTGCACGTACCTACATGGTATAGAAGGAGTTCCTAATGGTTTGCTGGTTTTGCTCTTTTGTTGACAGCTGTTCATGCCTCCAGGCCATGACTATGCGCCTGGCAAGAAGTCGACAGTCTCAGAACCGAAAAAGAGAGATCTGATCTTGAAGGTAAAGGAAGCGGTTGTGAGCAGTTGGAAGGAATTCATTTTAATCTTTGCAGAGATGAGATGTTTTGCAAACCAAAATTTATTCCAGAACAAGGCTGAGTGGCTGCTTATTTCATGGTGCACAGGTAGGCTGAATGCGCTGTACGTAGAGAACGTGATTGTTTTCTACACACTGTCCTGCTGCTTCGAGAAATAGTATTCTATATTATTAAATTTAATATACCATTCCACTATTCTATCTGCTCCCCCTGTAGGATCTCTTTGTAGCACAAGCGTTGCCCGACCTCGAAGGAAACCTCATGGTGAAGGAAGGTCGTAAAGGCCCATGGAAGCGCCACTTCTTCGTGTTCCGCAAGTCCGGCCTCTACTTCTCACCGAAAGGAAAGACGGTGGTGAGTGTGACATGAGCAAGTCCGGACATGTACTGTCGTGGACATGGAAATCCAGTCGAATGACCGGGGCCGGCACCCTCAGTGCGTGCAGAACGTTGCATGCATATTCAGTGCACATGTTGATCCGATGCAACCCGCAGCACCGCATACATGAATGTGTGTACGGTATGCGTACTCACGGCTACTAGTACATGGCCAGCGCCCTGGGGCCGCTAGACGTGTGACCAAATTTCCATGTCCACGACAGTACTAAAGTGCAAGTGTGGAGGTATCTTGCAACATAGCACGCCTATTGTGGTGGTGGTGGTGTGGGGAGTGGTGTTGTTTGTGGTGGTGTTTGTGGTGGCAGCGGTGGTGATGTGTGCAAAGGCTCAGCAAGGCCCAGCTTACACCAGAATGTCTGCATTGTGATCCATGTTGCAGAATTGGTGTGAGTGCGAAGATGGTGCGGGTCTGGGAGCAAGATTGAGCAAATAGCATGCACTACAGAACATGCAGTCAATGGACACAGTGACTGGTCACACTTGTGTGCGTGAGTTACAGCTGCTTGCAGTTAGTAGCCTGTGCCCAAGGATGCCTACTGAAACGCTATGGCTCGTTCGTAGTTAACCACGGTATCACTTCTTGCGTGCTTTCAGGCCACTAAAGATCTACAGCGTTTCACCGACCTGAAGGACATGGTTCTTTACACGGGCGATGCGTACCGCAAGAAGTACAAGGCGCCTACGGACATGTGCTTCACACTGAAGGTACGCGCGCGCGCGTGCAGAACGCGCCTGTGTCTGTCTGCTTGTTCATGTGGGTCACGGCGTACGTGATACCCGGGTGCTGCTGGTGTTGGCGCTGCCTTTGGCTGAACACACTTCAAATACTGACAAATCGTATTATGATGTCTATCAGTAACAGATTACTAGTAATTGGGTAGACGGGACGGGTGCCGTATGGTTGATTACCTACTGTGAAAATGGGTGTCATCACCAGTGTTTGTATGCTTGAAATGAAAACTGAACGCGCCAGGCATGTATACATCTCCATGGCTCCAGCCGTGTAGGTCGTAACTGGATTCTTTGCAAGTGTGTCTCTGCTGTGTTGTCTCCTCTGCTTGCGCAGCGGTTCTTATCTTCTGACAGCCGCAAGATGCTGCACTTCTGTGCAGAGACCATGCAGGATCTGAATGCCTGGTCAATGATGATCAAGTTAGCACAGGTAAATGTCACATTGAAAGACATGATTTCCAGATCTCTACACCCAGGGTAATGCTGGTCACAATGCATGGGTTGTTCAGTTGCTGGAGTTCATACTGTCCATCCCTCAACAACCTTCCAGATCTATGGGTCATCATAGATGCAGCGAGTCAGCTGAGTAACAATTTGTTGCAACTCACTAAGCGTACCACGCTGATCTGTGGATCTGATGACCCCTGCATCTGTGGATCTGATGACCCCTACACCTGTGCTCCGATGTTATTCCTACAGCATGGCAGCACTCTTCAGGAAAACTACGACCGCACAAACCGTGACCTGCCTTGGATTGCAACAGAGACCGAGGAGGAGATTGATGGCCTGGTGCGAATGCAGCGTGAAGAGCAGTTGGAGGCAGCGCAACGTCAGCGAAGCGCGTCCATTGGAAATCGCCTGCGTCACGGCACAAGTGCGAACAACACGCTGAGAAAGAATGAGAAGGGTCCACGGACAACACGGGTAAGCTAGGCCGTCAACTCTGATTTCGCAGTGATGATAAACAGGATATTATTAATTGTACTTGAAGAAACAGCCTCTCAGTGGATGATAGCTGAAACATTTGTGATATGGGACTTTTCAGTTTAGCCGTCGATAAAGGTTGCCAACCAACCTACACTGCTTCACTGGAATACGTAATTGAAGTAGCAGACACTTGGCTGATGGAGGATCTAATGTGTTTCGCTGTTGTATTGACGTCATGGAAGTGTTGCTGTGAAGTTGCTTCCAAGTTGCTTGTAGCAAAGCTAGCATTCTGTGCTCATAACAGGTATGTTCATGCCTGATGTGTGTGTGTTTGATTGCTGTTTGAACTTGCAGTCGGCAACTGTTGCCGCAGCGGAGTTCACGCTACGCGCACGAGGTAAGGCCAACATCTCTCTCTCTCTCTCTCTCTCTCTCTCTCTCTCTCTCTCTCTCTCTCTCTCTCTCTCTCTCTCTCTCTCTCTCTCTTTCTGTGTGTGTGTGTGTGTGTGTGTGTGTGTGTGTGTGTCTGTCTGCCTGTTCATCCGTCCGTCCATCTGTCTGTCTGTCTGTCTGTCTCTGGCACATACACTTGGTTGTAGTCTTTGGGAGATCACATTGCAGTAGAACAGTACTATAGGGTTGATGGAGAAACATGCCTAGGGGTGGGCTGGTGTCCAGATACTAAGTACACAATCATGTTTCTACATGTACATTCCCTTCAAACCTAGTACATGTATGTATGCGTGTGTGTTGACGGCAGTAGATTGGTGCTACATCATCAGTAGTCATTACGATTTTCTATAAGCACAGACATGGAATTCTGTCTCTCGGCTGTAAATTTCCTCGTAATATACCTGCTCATTTCTTTCTGTGGCTTCTTTTACACTGTGTACAGGAGGTTCATTTCGGGCCGACTCCAGACCCAACTCTTCCTTCTCTCGCAGCATTGCAAATCCCGATGATGACGAGGACATTGAGGATTCTAACGATACAACGATGACGCCATTCCAGCAAATGTTCGGATCGGCGTGGAAGGAGGCACCGGAAAAGGTAATGAACAGCTCAAGGATGATACGTATAGAAGCTGCAGTGTAGTGTGTGATAGCTTGCAAGGGCAGTGAAAACTGAATTTCAGATTCAGGATATTGGAAAGTAGTACATGATGATTGTACAACTGGAATTTCATTACACACAATCTCTCAACTGGCTAGACCAGGCCGGTCACTCTGAACCTGGCACAATTTCTCCAGGCCGGCATCTGTCCACTGCAGCAAAACGGGATCACTGACCTGGGTGACTCCCCTCTGAAAGCACCTCTGGTGACCCATCAGCACTACATGTAGAATCTCTCCGCAAGTAGCTTGTGCTCCGTATAAGTATCTTCTGCTACTTCGAAAGAATTCCATGTACCATTCAGTCATTTGAAGAATGTGAAAAGCACAGGCGGGCAAGAGGATTGACACCTGACGTTGCGTATCCCAAACCCCATTATATTATCGTGTTTATATTCGTGATGCAGTGGTTGTTTCGGGTAGATTCTATGACCGTGGAATGCTGATTTTTCTGCTTCTGCTGGGCTTGATTTGTTTTGTACAGCCTGCGGTAGATGCAAGCGGAGGGCGCAAGATCGAGCTGATGGAGCCGGACTTCAACACAGCTGATGACTTCTCTCCAACGCCGATGGCCACATCACCATTCCTGGCTTCCGAGGATGGCATGTACAACCTTCGACTAACCTGAGCTCCCGCTTGCGCCGTTACTTATTTCATCTCTTCAATGTAACAGACTCTCCGAACTTGACCACCTACTCTCCATCTGGCAGCCAGAGCTGTTCCATGTCTGTCATCCTGGTGGCTGATTACGACTGTGGATTGCTCAGCATCCACTTGTCTCACTTGAATTTAGCAAGCAGCTCCGACAAGCGCTAATTTACAAATCCTCGTAGATCGCAGCAGGAGTGTAGCTGGCTATGCAGACTGTTCTGATTCGGGTAGCACCAACACAACGAGTACACGTACAGCCCATGAACAAACTGTACCCTTTTTTTGCAGTTTCCGGCACTTGATCCTCCATTCACAGCTTGACCGACAGCAGGCCAATTGCATTGTGCGTGTGTGAGTGTGTGTGTGTGTCACAATTGCGCAGCAATTAACGTTTGATATGGCTTTAAATTTGGTGACGTAGTGGCACCGTTTGCCAGTTTCCCAAATGGATTGTTCTGCCTTTTTGACAAAGATATATTCTATTTTTGGCTCCTGCTCTATCTATTGGTAATGCATGTTTATTACTTTGTTTGGCTGCTTTCTTTACTTAAAATTGTGTGCCACAGTTCCCTAAGCTATATTGAGCACTGTGTGTCATGGTGGATGCTTTTGTAACTTTTCTCCAGGAATATAAGTTATAATTTATAGAGTTGACTCCACATGGATTTCTTTTCCCCATACTTGGTTGACAACATGCAAGTTTATTTTCTTGATTCCAACACCATAGTCGATCGCCACTCCAAACAGGAAAACGTAATGCCTGCAACAACAGGAAAACACTATTCTTGCGTTCGGTTGTGGTTCTAAACAGGGAGTAGTACTGCTCCCTGGTTCTAATCTTCTCCAGGCAGCAGCCAGCCGGGGAACACAACAATGTACCTATGATGTAAAGGGTGACTCACTTTTTTCATGATCCTGTCGACATGGTCGACTAGTCCCTTCAATCACGTCAGGATACGCAATGCAGTAGCTGGTAGTAGGGCCTTGGTTATACACCAGTGTACTGGACGACTATTGTAGTCAAAATAATTGTTTCAATAGTGAAACACAATGCTTTATTTTTATTATAAATGCCAATAATATTGGCATTGAATAAAAATATTGCAAAGCTGAAACCATTGCAAACTGCATGCACTGAGTAATAATTTTTATTGTTCTTGTTGGTGTGTTTAAACAGTACGCACCATAATAAATAATAATAATTATGCACTCAGATGATGACATCATGCAGATTTCAAAATTTCCCGCGAGAAGAGTGAATGAAAAACGTGTTCGAGCACGTCTGTGTTTTGAATTTGTGTTGTGCAGCGAGTCTTTTTTGACTTCGAGTTTGAAATGCATCTTGCCAACGTTCCTTGCCATGATTCTGGAAACAGCTATGACTATGGGTCGAACATGTTCTTTGTTTACAGACCACCCTCGGCCTCGTCTGTGTTTGCAGGCCATTACTCTGTTATAAGTAAATATAACGCCAAAATTCCGAAATATCCTTTATCTGGTGGATTTGCTTGCACCCATGCTGCTCAGCCCACTGCAACATAGTCTTTTGTATCCGTGTGAGGAACGGATTCTACATTTCAACTGAGATCGTGTGGTTATCATTTATACCGCGATGTCTTCTGAGGTTCCGGACGGCTGGAAGACTGAAGTCATTGTGAGGAAGTCTGGGAAAACCCGAGGTCACTCTGACACATATTTCTACAGGTACGGTAACCATGACTAAACCGTAAACGCACGTCCATATGCATGTAGCACGGTTACATGACTTGTGTAGGCCCACCTAGCACCTGGGCTGAATATACCTTACTGGTATGATCGTATCGAACCTCCTGACATCAGTGACTGTGCAATAGGTTTCGACCTTAGCTGATGTAAATTGTACTGTCAGTCTTGATTACCTTTGTTACAAACCAGCCGGAGATAGATTGAATAAAAGCAGACCGAGGGGGGGGGGGGAGCACGAGCCACGGTACTAACATCATAGTACAGTCGTCCCTCTCTAATCCGGCACTTTATAATCCAGCACCCTCGATAAACCAGCACAATTTTCAGTAGCCAAAATGTCCTCTTCATGCACATTGCAGCAGTAAATCAGATTTGTTAATCCAGCACCCTCCTTAATCCAGCAGATTTTCGTGGCACAAATGGTGCCGGATTATAGAGGGACCACTGTAACATGTATAGGAAAAAGCACGCTATGAAACATTGGCACAGTATTCCAAGACATGACTACAATCTTGGGCTGTTGCGTGAACACACACATACACACACTCGCGCACGCACACAGTGACACACACTATGTACCACCATCCATGTGCCATGTACACACCCATTGCAAGAGATTCACGCGAATCTGCAAACGCACACACGGCGCACATGCACGCACCCCACAAACACACACACACACACGTACCATTACACATAAAATTGAGGTGCCGGCAGCCTACATATAGTGATAGGTTTGTGCAGTCGGTGAAAGATGAGTGGGATGATTACCGGTATGCTTTGTTCCCTGACTAGGTAATCCTAAATGATAACAATTAGAGTGTCCCCTTGCCAATATTGATGGCTTACACAACGCTACTACGGCAGTAGTACAAGGCAGCACACTTAGCTTGCTAGTTCCTGAACTCCAAGGTTTCCTTTCGTTTTGTGTTTGATGATATTCTGCAGCCCGTCAGGGAAGAAGTTTCGTTCACTGCGATCCGTTAGAGCCTACCTTGAATCGTTGCAGCATCCTGCTACATCTGGGCAAGCACTGCACGGTACTGATGGAGTAGAGCAGCATGCAAGTGTTGGTGGTACTGACTCCACACAGAAAAATGCCGCTTATGTGTCTGCTCTTACCATTCACAAGGAACCTGTTGTGCAGGTAGACGCGTCATCCCTCCCGGCGGGTAGTGCAGCTTTTACGCATGGTGGAGCTTCAGATAACCCTGCATTACCTTCTTGTGACGCTGTGCCAATTTCTGATGAAGCGTGCTGTGCTGTAGGATCAGAGGTTCACAGTTTGGCAGTGTCCGATATGACTACGGCTGCAGTTTCAGATGATCAGGATATACCATGTACTCCGCCACCTGCAACACAGTCAGACAATACATCAAGTGCGTTGCCATCCTCGGCTAGTAGCCCGTACTTTTCACAGTCATCGCGTGCAAGGAAGGCGAGCGGTGCTGCAGTACAGCCTCAGCTGACGTGCACCAAGACGTTTACTTTGAAGTATGTACCACCCCGCTCGCCATACAATCTTATCCAAGAAAGCTTGTTCCATGATCCATGGAAGCTACTCGTGGCTACCATCTTCCTGAACAAAACTAATGGTAAGAGTCAAAGCACATACCGGAGTTGTTTTGCTCACGCCGCAGGAGATGCTTCAGGAAATATAAATACATGCATTGTACTCTGGCAACTTCCGGATCTACCATTCCTGTTAGCTTGGCTACTTGGAGATGATACAGTTCTTTCTCATCGTTGCTTCAAGTACATGCATTTGATCTTGTAGGTCTTGTACTTGACATGTAATGGTTTACTCGCATCTCTCTCTCTCTCTCTCTCTCTCTCTCTCTCTCTCTCTCTTTCTCTCTCTCTCTCTCTCTCTCTCTCTCTCTCTCTCTCTCTCTCTCTTTCTATCTATCTACTCATATCTATCTTGTTTCTTCCAAAGGCAAACTTGCCATACCGAGAATGTGGGAGTACTTCAAGATGTGTTCCACACCACAGGAGGGATGTGTTGCTGATCGGAAAGCTGTTGAAGCATTGCTTGAACCGTTGGGCCTGTCAAAGAAACGAGCTGAAACCCTCGCTCGTTTTTCAAGTACGTAGAGATCTGTTCAGTGCACAGTGTCGTTGGTGTGATCTGCAGTACTTGTACTTCAAGTAGTCCAGTTTGTCGTGGTTCGTGTGTGTGTGCATGTATTTGCATATGTAGGTATGTGTGTGCATATGCGCACTCATGAGCGTATGTGTGTGTGTCTCTCTCTCTGTGTCTCTATCTGTGTCTCTACTCTCACTCTCTCTCTTTCTCTCTCCACCTGAGTCTAAACTCGAGTATATGCCTGTGATTGCAGTTTTCCGGGTGATCATTCCTTTATGGGGTATTCACACGGCAGGCACTTGCACGTTTTACAGGCAGTGACATACGAGAAAAGTGACTGTGTGGATTCACACAGCAGTCAGCTGCACTCGACGACAGGCATGTTTGCATTTTTGAATGCTTCACCGACCAGTACCCATGGGTATTTCAAATTTTCAAAACACACATACGATAATTATCATGCTCTAAAGAGCCGCGTAAAAAACCAAGTCTTGTTTCGCGCTTTTTGGTGTAAATGTACTCGTGCACGCCACGATTATCGTGAAAGTGGGCCCCCAGCTCGCTTTCACTTTTCAGCCACTTTCAGACACTTTTCTCGTTCACAGGTCAAATACCATAGCAACTTTCCGGTGCACGTGGATTTGCCTGTCGTGTGAATACCCCATTAGCATAGTGGAACTTGAGTTGATGTATTATCTTTGTGTTGCTGATGTTGGATACAGATGAATTCATCACCAAGACGTGGCATTATCCCAACGAACTTTATGGTATTGGCAAGTATGGAAACGATTCATACCGCATATTTTGCCTTGGAGAATGGAAACAGGTGAGTTCTCAGTACAAGTCTAGGAGGTTGGGTAAAAATGTTGAATTCTGGTTTTTCGCTTACAAGACGACTGCGAACCTGCCCCACGACATAGGCTTATACAGAAATACTCCCAAGTGACTATGTGTGCTTGGCATCGCATTGTGTGCTCGTATCTGTAATCTGGGTTTTGTTTCTCTGTGTCATGACATACGTGTGTGTGCAGGTGCAGCCACGTGATCACAAGCTGAATGACTACCATCGGTGGTTGTGTAAACAACATGGCTACACCCCTGACATGGCTCTGTGAGATGATATCAGCACATTCCTAGTAGAACTCTATACCATACCAGCAGTATGTGAACTGAAGTGATTTGTGAGAAGTTGAGAAGCACCGGCGGGGATGGACTGCCAGTGATCTTTTCGGAAAGTGTCCGTGTTCAGGTGATTCTACTCTCTCATGCATTCAGTGTTATAATTACTATCCAGCTCTGTCCGACTTGTGTTCAGTTGCCTGCATGCTCCAGTTTGTGTTTGTCTAGGATCTGCTGTGTGCGTTTCATCTCTCTGTTATGTCTGTAGTGATCTTGTGGCTTGGTGCCTGAGGCGCGCTTGCTGTCACGCATTCATGTATTCATGCTCTGATGTCTAGACTTTCACTTGCGCGTGCGCTGCGTGCGTGTGCCGGCTCTTTTCCCGTGTATCTATGCATTATGTTGCTACACTACAGTTCCGGCTTATAGTTCCGTTTTGAGTCGGACTTTTGACTTTAGTTTTCTCAGCTGTTGCTGTTGTTGTGCTTTTAGTTGTTTTCAAGTCAGATTCCTTTTTCCTTCTCTGTTGTTGCTCATGATTATCAAGACTGTAAAAGTATGGAAGTAAGACAATAACTCCAGTGTGAGTTTATGAGCTATTGTTGGTAGTTTGGGTGCTTGCATCCAAACATCTGGTCCTTCGAGCCGGATCAGTGGATCCGAATCGGTTCGAGAGTTGTCATTTCGTAGATCTACCAGTGCAGTGATTAGAGAAATGGCGGAACCTAGAAAAAGTAGCAGGAGCACGAAAGGTGTTCCCCCAGTAAGGTTCAGAGAGCCTGAGGCAGAGCTAGACGATACGAAGAGTAGTGTCTCTTCCCTGACATCGTCCGCTTCCTCTACTGCTTCCAGGCGTCGCAGAGCGGAGTTGAAGGCGGCGGTGCAGCTAGCAAAGCTGGAGCAGGAGTTTGAAGTCCAGCAGCTCAAGCGACAGAAAAGAATCCTGCAGCTGGAGCTAGACGCCGAGTTGGCTTCCATTGAAGGAGACGAACTAGAGTCAGAGGGACGTCCGGAGGAGACGGAGCCGTCCACTGACGCGTCATTTCAGACCTGCGCTGAGAGCCTGGCGTTGTTTGCGCGGAAGATGGCGGCGTCTGATGATGAGACTGACGATGACGACCAGGCAGTCACGGAGCGAAGCGTCTCCGCTGGTCCTCCCGCTGCAGGTTTTGTAGCTCAAGCGTTCAAAACCGACGACCGGTTGAACGGGGAGCTCAAGTCTGAGACTCTCCAGAGCCGTGGCGTTTCTCGCCTTGATGGAGATGGCTCCACCGCAGACAAAGCGACCGAACAGCAGGACAGCGTTCCTGCTGAAACACAAGTGTCCACCCCTGTCGGTGTTGACAGGACGCCAGCTCCGGTCGCTGTAGGGCTTGACAAGCCTAGTGGTAGTAGTATGGAGATTACTCCAGTAGTACAAGGTCATTTGGGAAGATCGTGGCCTCAGGCAGCTTCAGATACAGCACGTGGAAAAGCTGACAGAGTGAGCAGCTGGGTACAGGGCGTTCAGAGTGCACCCTTCAGTGGTATCAGCCAACATCAGATCCAGCCACTGGAACTACCCAAGTTTGATGGTTCACAGAAGAACTACATCAGGTGGAGGCAGAAGTTTCTGAGGCTGGTGGACGACGACCACATGGTCTCAGAAGATTACAAGATGGCCCGTCTAAGGGAAGCTCTAGAAGGTGGCACGGCAGATGACCTGATTGCGGATCTGCTGGATGGCCCTGGCGCATACAGCGCTGCGCTCAAGGAGCTAGATGAGTGGTATGGGAGTAATGACCGCGAGCTCGAGCGCCAACAGCAGGAACTTCTAGCACTTCCACGGATCACCTCAGAAAGGGACTCCGACAAGCTGCAGCAGTTGGCCGTCAGACTGCGGAATGTTCTGTTGAACATGTCAACTGCCAGTTTAACACCAGGCCGTGATCTTTACATCGCAATCACGCAGAAGCTTCCCCGCGGGATGTTGACGAGGTTTGTCGAGTCTCATGACGATTCTTTAACGAACGTGAAGACACTATCCACCTGGTTGATGAAGCGAGTGCACACCCTGCGTCAAGTTGATGCCAGGCTGACCGAGTCTGACCAAGATCAGAAGAAGCCTGCACTGTCCAAGCCACCGCAGCGTCCAGCTCAGAACCGACCATGGAACCCTAGGGGGCGGAGCGATCGTATGCTGCCGGTCCCCCCAAGCAGAGTGCACAGTGCCTGAAGTGCAGCGGCAGTCACCCCCTGGAGCGGTGTCCTGCCTTTGAGAAGATGTCTGTCCCTGATCGCTGGCAGCTAGTCAAGAGCAGTAGTCTGTGCATCTGCTGTTTCCGGCCCGGGCACAGAGCGTACAAGTGTGACACCGGCAAGTGTACGGTCTGTCAGAAGACGCATCATGCTATGCTGCACATAGAGCAAAAAGGGAGCGCTTCCAACACACGCACCACCGCAGGAGCGTCCGCCAACGGCACGCCTACAAGCGAGAAGGTGACCTACCATGCCAGTGCAGACTCAGTCCTGCACCCGTCTAGCAGCACAACGTTCATCGATGATGGGATCTCATTCATGACTGTGCCAGTATTGCTGAAGAACGAGGACCGAGTGGTCGAGTGTACTGCTCTCTTCGACTCTGGGTCGACAGCCAGCTACATCCAGAAGGACGTTGCAGATCTTCTTGGCATCCAGCCAGCATCGCAACCACTGAAGGTCCAGACGCTAGGAGGGAACAGCGTCAGCACAGATGCAACCCAGTCGACAGTCACCATCTCCAGCAGCGACGGGAGCTATGTTTCCTCATTGGACGCTTGGGTCTTGCCACAGGTAACTGGAGACTCCAACATCATCGAGTGGCACGCGCGCAAGAGTAGTTGGGACCACCTACGAGAGATCGACTTCCCAGTCTCCCATAGTAAGAAGATTGGTATCCTCATCGGCCTCAATGCTACGCCGCTCCACAAGGCTCTGGAGGAGAGATGTGGCCCACCCGGCAGTCCAGTGGCACGGCTCACCCCGCTCGGTTGGGTGTGCTACGGCCCGACATCAGCTCAGGCTGACCCAGCTCGTGTGGCCACCCATTGTGCTGTCCGTCTACCGAGTGACAGCGTGGAGCAGGCGGACGATCGCTTGGACGACCTGGTGAAAGACTTATGGAATGTCGAGAGTGTCGGTCTCGGAGTCAGCCCAACGTACCGAACGCCAGCCGAACAGGAAGCAGAAGCCATGACGACCGCGACCTTGTCGTATAGCGGTGGGCGGTACTGTGTCGGCATCCCATGGCGCAGCGCGGATGGCCCGAAGGTGCGGAACAACCGGCCAATGGCAGAGCGCCGTCTCCGTAGCCAAGAAAGAAGTCTTGAACAGAAGCCGCACATCGCGGCAGAGTACAACCGCGTCCTTGTATCGCACATGGCAAAAGGGTACATTAGGCAAGTGCCAGCAGAAGAGGTAGCTGCGGATGGAGAAGATCAGTGGTTCGTTCCGCACTTCCCCATCGTTCGCCAAGACAAGGTCACCACCAAGGTGCGGGTGGTGTTCGACGCGGCCGTCTCTTGGAGTGGATGTAACCTCAACGAGGAGATGCACGCAGGCCCACCACTGCAGAGCGACCTTGTACACATCCTGCTACGGTTTTGTATGGAGCCAGTGGCAATCGTCGCCGACATCAGCGAGATGTTCCTTCAAGTTGGCCTCCGGCCAGACGACAGGAAGTACACCAGATTCCTGTGGCGAAAGGACAACAACAGCGAGCCCGAAGTCTTTGAGTTCAACAGACTGGTTTTCGGGATGAAGGCATCGCCCTACCTCGCCACCAGAGCGTTGCGACAAACGGCGGAGGATTTCTCCAGCAGTGACCGAGACGACAGCATCGACATTCCAGCGCTGGTCAACAAGGCTTTCTACGTCGATGATCTTCTACACTCTACCCAGGATGAGTCCCAGGCAGTAGAGATTCAGCAGAAGTTGGACGCAACACTCAGCAAAGGCGGCTTCCACTTGCGCAAGTGGCACAGTAATTCAGCAGCCGTGCTCGACGCTATCCCACCAGCAGACAGAGCACCCCAAGCCCAGGTCATGTTAGAAGACGCGGCTTGCAACGCACCGCCTGTTTCCAAGACTCTTGGAGTGACCTGGATGGCAGACAAGGATCAGTTCACGTTTGTGTATAACGCGCCAGCCGAGGACTATGCCATCACGAAGAGATCGGTCCTGCGGAAGATGGCGACGATCTTTGACCCGCGCGGCCAGCTGCTACCGTTCACCATCAGAGCGCGGATCCTGTTTCAAGAGGCCTGTATTGCCGGCCATGGTTGGGATGACCCTCTCAGCACAACAGAGGTGAAGAAGTGGAAGACGTGGTTCGCGGAGCTACCGGACCTCACCTCAGTGTCAGTTGACCGTTGCTTCAAACTTGCAGGAGCACTCCCACAACCATGTGCCACTGAGGTTCACACCTTCACGGACGCGTCCGATGCAGCGTTCGCTGCGGCATCGTATGTGCGAGTCACCTACCCAGACGGACAAGTGAAGGTCACGCTGTGCATGGCAAAGAGTCGTCCAACGCCAATCAAGAAGATGTCAATTCCGAAGCTCGAGTTGAAGGCAGCGGCCCTGGGCGTACGTTTGAGCACGGAGGTCGCCACAGCTCTTGACATCCCAGTAGCGCACCACTTCTTCTGGACGGACAACATGAATGTTCTGTTCTGGGTGCGTTCTCACAGTCGCAAGTTCGCCACAGACGTCGGTGTGAAGATAGCGGAGATCCAGACAGTGACCTCTGGTAAGCAGTGGCAGCATGTGCCCGGCAAGTCAAACCCAGCAGACCTCCCAACACGCGGAATGACAGCTTCAAGTCTCGCAGCGTGTGACGAGTGGTGGCAAGGCCCGAGTTTCTTGCAAGCGCCGCCGTCAGAATGGCCGAACCGTGACATCGTTGTGCCGACGAATTTGCCTGGAGAAACCAAGCGCCACCAAGCATCGTCCCTGCTAGCCACCGGTCCGAGCATTGACCGCCTCCAACCAGATCGATACAGTTCCTGGATTCGCCTGAAGCGTGTCACTGCGTGGTGCAGAAGGTTCTTTCGGCACGCCAGCAAAGGGAAATGCTGCAGGCAGGACACACCGCAGACTGGAGGATCGGCAGCGGTGGAAGGCACCATGGTGTCCCTCGAATACCAGCGTACGAGAAAACCGCAGAAGTTTCTCGTGCAGCCCCTCACAGTTACTGAACTGGAGTCAGCTGAAGATGTGTGGTTCGCTAAGGCTCAGCAAGACGAGTTCAATGAGACGATTGAAGCGTGTAGAAGTCAGCGGCCCATCCCGGCGTCAAGTCCACTGCTACGCCTACAACCGGTTCTGGATGACAGCAACCCTCAGCTACTGCGGATGGACGGCAGGTTGAGCACGGCACATCACCTTCCCAGCAGCCTCCGTAGGCCCGTCATTCTGCCAACGAAGCATCCGGTCACAGCCCTTGTAATCGCTCATGAGGATGCGGCTCACAATCACACTGCTGGCGTCAACCACCTGTTGTCGACCCTGAACTCGAAGTTCTGGATTGTACATGGCCCAGCGGCAGTGAAAAGGCACCGGAGCCAGTGTACGGCCTGCAAGAAGATTTGGGCAAAGCCTGCTCAACAGCTGATGGCACCACTACCCGACTTCCGCACCGAGGAGCCTTTCCGAGCTTTCAGTCGGGTGGGCGTGGATTACGCCGGACCCTTTCTGACGAAGCAAGGGAGAGGAAGAAGTCGAGCAAAGCGCTATCTCTGCTTGATGACGTGTCTTCAGAGCAGAGCAGTTCATCTTGAGATGGCGTATGGCTTGGACACGGAGAGCTTTCTGCTGGCATTCACCAGGTTCGCGAAGAGAAGAGGTGTACCGGATCTCGTCGTGTCCGACAATGGTACCAACTTTGTGTCAGCCGAGCGTGAGCTACGAGAAGCCATCGAAAGCCTCAAGAACAGCCAGATTGCCGCTACCATGGCCTGCAAAGGCGTGGAGTGGAGGTTCAATCCGCCACGCTCACCGCATCACGGCGGGGTCTTCGAAGCAATGGTCAAGTGTGCCAAGAGAGCGTTGGTCGGCATCTTGCACAATGCTGTGTGTTCTGATGAGGAGCTCCAGACTGCCTTCACCACTGTTGAGGCTCAGCTCAATCGTCGACCTCTAACGGCCCAGAGTGGAGATGGACAAGACCCGGAGCCGCTAACACCCTCGCACTTTCTAGCGGGATCGACGACCGTGATGACCGCGGTCGAGGAAGATGGCCAGGCGTACCACCTCAAAGCCTGGAGGGTGTTGCAGAGCTGTTTAGCCGCGGTCTGGAAGCGCTGGCTACAAGAGATGGTCCCAAAGTTGAACATACGTCAACGATGGCAGAAGAGCCTTCCCAACATCCGGATTGGAGACGTGGTGCTTGTCCTGGACGCGCACACTCCTCGCGGCCAGTGGCCTCTCGGGAGGATCGAAGCGATCTACCCAGGCACCGACGGAAGAACACGTGTTGTCGACGTGAAGGTGAAAGGGAAGCAATACCGCCGACCTATCACTGTGCTCATCCCGATAGATGCGGTGCGCACTCCCTGAGCAGAAGAATTACGGCAGCTATTGCGTTTTGCACCACTCATTAGGTATGACAATCTGTGCTGTGTGCATAATACTTGTTAAGTCTGATAGAAGGCTATAGAACTAACTTTAGGGTCATTCTTATTCTGCGATAGAGAAGATTACGCTCTACCTCTCTTGTTTACGCTCTACTTCTTTGTTGCTTGTTCGTGAAGCTACAGACGATTAGTACATTGCGATTTAGAGTGTTTTCGTTCCCATTCTGCTTATGGTCCCTCAAGGAGGGGGTGATGTTCAGGTGATTCTACTCTCTCATGCATTCAGTGTTATAATTACTATCCAGCTCTGTCCGACTTGTGTTCAGTTGCCTGCATGCTCCAGTTTGTGTTTGTCTAGGATCTGCTGTGTGCGTTTCATCTCTCTGTTATGTCTGTAGTGATCTTGTGTCTTGGTGCCTGAGGCGCGCTTGCTGTCACGCATTCATGTATTCATGCTCTGATGTCTAGACTTTCACTTGCGCGTGCGCTGCGTGCGTGTGCCGGCTCTTTTCCCGTGTATCTATGCATTATGTTGCTACACTACAGTTCCGGCTTATAGTTCCGTTTTGAGTCGGACTTTTGACTTTAGTTTTCTCAGCTGTTGCTGTTGTTGTGCTTTTAGTTGTTTTCAAGTCAGATTCCTTTTTCCTTCTCTGTTGTTGCTCATGATTATCAAGACTGTAAAAGTATGGAAGTAAGACAATAACTCCAGTGTGAGTTTATGAGCTATTGTTGGTAGTTTGGGTGCTTGCATCCAAACAGTCCGACCTTGGACATGGTATGGTGTGGTGTTGTCCGTTTGCTGCTGGTTGACGACCAGCTTGCCTTGCTTGGTGTTTGGTTGTATTTCTTCTTTCAGTGAACAAACCTGAGTGGTAACGTTAAGCATGCCCTATTCTTCCAAGATGGCTGCATTTTACCCACATTATAGCACTTCGTATTAGAACCTTTACTTTGGACTTGTCATTTGCTCAGGACTTTGACCGGACATAGACGTAGACCATACACTCAGGTCCTTTCACAGTTTGTAGACTATTTTAAAGCCATTTTATCCAGCCCGCTAACAGCTATGTTTTTACTCACTTTTTAGGTTAGCACTTTCTCTAGTCTTAGAAGTTTTCTAGCGCTGTAGTAACAATTTGCTTCGCATCATTGAGTGTCTCCTTGAAATTGAACAGATCATCACGAATCATGTCTAAAAAATACTTTCAGGTCATGTGATTAGGTAGGTGTGTAGGTGTATACCATCTAGACTTATTTCATGTTGTTTGATTGCTGGGTGTACAATACAGTGCAATCCGGTATGTCCATGTCGCTGTGGTGGTATTGTTTGTGTAGCAATCTCGAACCACCATCACCACCGCCGCCATCATCAAACACTTCACCAGCATGGTGCATGTATTCAGATGCATATGCGTTCGTACACAGTCACCAGCACTGATCAACCGTGCACGCACGTGGAGGTGTCTCTACATTTGAAGCAATTCAAGGTTTGCAGTAAGTCACAGCATTCTTTTGCTCTTTATTTCACTTGGAATCAGAGCTGTCCGATACCTGCACCTGTACTGGACTATGCCCATCTGCTGAGACAATGGCGGAGGGAGTGGACACACTACACGAGCACGGATACAGCTGGAATACATGGTATTTCGCTTTTTAGTGTTCGGGGTGATGTGATAGGTCTACACGTCTTTCGTGTTATCCCTTTCTGGCACCTTTTGGTTTCGATACTTGATTTATTTTGGCTTCTCTCATCATCAAGTGTGGAGTGGTTGCTTCATAATATTATAGCATGATGAGCATTGACACAGCGCATTATGACGAACAATTTTCACAACAGCACCGGCAAGTAGCAATTTTACATGAACAGCCCTACAAAGGATAATTATTAAAAAATCATGGAATGATCATTCATTAGTTTGAGAGAAAAGGCGACGAGGAGACAACAACTTTATTAATGCGATTAATAGTATAAGTAATGTCCGCTTCACTTATACTATTAATCGCATTAAGGGAGCATCTCATAAGTTCGCATTTATTTTCTAAACGTAACGCATTTCGAAACCGGGGTAGGGGGGTAGCGCCCTTTTCGAATAGAAAAATGACAGTTCGCACATTTTCTGGATGTGTACTAGTACATACTGTGCATGCAGTGCATGACATTGTGCTAGATCGCTTCAGCAAAATAAGTGTGTTTTTTTTTTTGTTTTGTTTTGTTTTTTGTTTGTTTGTTTGTTTAGGTGTAGATCTACCTGTACTGCTGTGTTTGCAGATCAGCTAACCCTCTCAGCGGTGTCAAATGTCACACTAGTATCATCAAACTGTGTACAATGCATTGTGTACCTGGCCAGCTCAAAGTAACAGTTTACACTTTACAGTACAGTAGTTGTGGAGCAACTCTGTTTGTTTGCATGTACATGTCATTGATTGTACATGTCTACCTGCTGTACTCAAAAGGTGCCGTACTACTGACTGTTATGTATGCCATTCACCAACAAACCTCTTTGACATCCATGGCATGGGCCATGGATATGCACAGTGTAGTAATCAGTATTAGAAAATGTGCGATAAGACTTTCGGATAGAGGGGGGAGGTAGGGGGGTAAAGTCTATTCGAAATGCGTTACGTTTACAAAAAAAGTGTGAACTTATGAGATGCTCCCTAATAGTTTGAGAGAGTTGATCATTCTTCCGAGGAGGAAACTTTAAAAAGGAGTATGTTTTCAGCATGATAGCAAAGCATTTGGTGTGTTCAGTTTTTGCGAATGAAAATATAAATCCACGATAGACAGAAATGCATAGTTAGTTAGTCTCACTGACTCAAGCAGGGGAAAGAGAATTACGAAGGTTGTATTTGGATGTGAAGCCTGAATTCGCCACTGGCCTCGTCACTTGCACATTTGCTCAAACACAGCTAGTGTTCGCTTGATACTTTTGCTGAAGATTCAAAAACACGCAAGTACACACACACGCACACACGGGAGGCACAAAGGAGGTTTACAGAGTCCGTCGCAACTCCGTGTTTCTTGCACAATACAATCATAAATACATACACACCACACACACGTGTGTGTGTGCACGCGCATGCATGCGTACAAACACAAACATGGATGTTGCCAGCATGATTGGGCGGCCAGTTGCCGAAAAGGAATGCAGCTAGTTTGGTGAAGAACTAATTCCTATCGCAATACATGTATGTGCAGTGCGTTCTTAGTCCTAGGAAGCTTTGCCTTTGGGTACTAGAATACTATTACTACTAAACACCCTTCACTAGAACCTTTCTGCACTGGTTACCATCGCACTTCTACTAGTCCACATGCCAGCTTCATTCACTTGTGCTGAAGGGCACGGACACATCGACTTACATTTGATCGGCCAAGCTGTAGATGGGTTTCATGTCGTTGCTGATGGACTCACACTTTGCGATCAGCAAATACATGGACTAAAAGGAAACGACACAGCAGAATCAACACCAACCAGTAAGCCCTTGCAAGAACCACTTAGGAAAGACTCATAAAAAGCATGGGCTCTTGTGCAGTGCTTCAGCAATGTGTCCACGACACCAATAACACTTTAAAAAAGTTCATGAGCAATGTCCACCACTTTCTATTTTAGAACACCGGCACAAGTCACTTTATCACAACTGGGTTATACATCCAAGAAAGTCACATCTGGCAGCACAGGTGTAGGTGAGTGCCATCACAAGTAACACCATCAGACTGGCTACCTTGATACTCTCGTCCACGTTGACACCGAGATCATCGATAGATTCCCTGTACGCCTCCATACATCTTGACGAGACCGCCGACATCTGGAAGAAAGTAGAGAGCCACGATGCACGCATGTATTACTACTGCTAGCTGCGACATGACATCATTGGCATATGCAACACTACCGGTGACAGACCATCATGTACAGTCATGCACACGTATTGCCATAACTGGACAGATTTCACTACAGTGCATGTACACGTGTGCCAGCGTTCTATCAGATACTAGTAGCGTCAAGTAGGTCTCCCCTGCAGCAATGCTGTACTGCATGCCAGTTATCACTAGCAGAGCACGTTAACGACCCGGAGCCGTCAGGCATTGCATACAATCCAATGCATTGCTTGGTATTTAGCACTTTGATTGATCTGGTAAAAAAACCCTGCAGATAATCACCATCAAAAGTTGGATTGGAAAATGGAAAGCTGTGCTATCTAGGACAAACCAGAGAACTTTTCAGAGCCATAGCTGCCAGCCCTCAGTCTAGGATGGCACACGAATATACATGTATCATGATTGCACGCCACTGGCTCAAATCCGTGGGGAAACGTCGTCTTCTGTGTATGTGCATACGGTTGGAAGGATCAGACATAGTCATACATGCTCACACATACCGTAAAAGCCCCTGTATACGCCCACTCGAAATTACGCCCACCCTCCGTGTACACGCCCAGTCAGGGGAAGTCAAAACTTTTGTTTCGAAATAGCGCCCATGCCCATGTATACGCCCAGGTATGCCGGAAACACCAGTACATGTACCGGTACTGATACCCATTACTTACTGCTACCCCTATTCCCAGTATACGCCCGGTTCCAAAATAACGCCCGTGCCCTTGTATACGCCCAGGAAATCGAGGCTGCTATTCTATACGCCCGGGGCCTATGCACGGGCTTTTATGGTACGCTACTAGCTCTGACTCACCGCGTGAAGGTTCATTGACATATTGCCCATCAGATGCGTCAGATCGCCTGCCACGAAATGTGCGCGTCGCTCTAGATCGCGGAGTAATGCCGCGTCTACCGGTGATGAGGTGTCCTGCATAGTGGAACATACCGAACCGTACAAATGTATGATTGTGCTAACAAATGCATGGGTACACTTTCTTCCGTTCAGAATACAGAAACAACAGCTGTTGTCAATGTTATTTTAATATTCACTGAGTGATGCATTCAAAATATTCCATGGGCAGCTGAACCAAACATTCAAATATTAATTGATCTATTTGATCGAGTAGTCAAGCAAGTGCCTACTGTAAAAACGAATATTGAGCATAGAGCTAGTACAGTTGCAACGGTATAACCATACCTATCTATTAGATGTTCATAAAGTATGAACAGAAATAGAGGACTGTACACAACCTACACTCAGTACTTACAGTAGCGCTGGCTATTTGCGTTGTGATGTCCACCTCAGCCTCTGATAGCAGACATGTGAAAACAGTGCAATCACGGTCAGTATATAAGCGGCCAAAACATCATGCGTACAGGGTATGACTCATTGCTACGGGTGCCGGGTGGCCCCAGCCCTGCGAACACGGTGCAGTGCACATGAACACGGTTCTACTTTACTACCTTATGAACGGGGCAAAACATCACGGGCCAGAACTGTCGTGTACTATTTGAAGTGCGGGGTGAGAGGAAAACTGCGTTTCTTTCGTACAAATATTATCGGCTGGCGCACCCATTTAGTGAGTGCGTAGTAATCTACAATAGTCTCGAAACCTACACTTGTGCTCACATGCCCATCATCATGCTCACATACCACATACACACCTTCGTGCTCACACACTCAATAGAAACCCATTCCCCATGTCCACCCTTATGCTCACTATCATGCTTTTTAAACATTGGCATGCGCCGGTCAGAACTCACCATCAGCCGTATCTACATCTTCAGAAATATTATGCGATGACACATCGACTACTTCGCATGGAGTGGTCAGACCTTGTGCCAGCCAGCTAGCGCCAGAAGCGGTATTAGATGGGGTGTGCACGACAAGAGGTCGATCAAGTTTGAGAGGTGTATCCGTCGGTGTGGAGCAGGTTGGTGTTGCGTTGCTGTTACTCATTACTCTGTCCGGTGTTGGGGTCAGTTGATCCGCAGGATCACACATGGTACTGCTGCCTTTCTGGGTTGGTGTTGATTGCCTGTGCTGCGCATGAGACTGGTCTTGACCAGCACTACAAACACCAGCATCATGGGTAGTTGCAGTGATGGCTACTGGAGCAGAACCGACTCCAAGTGACTCGCGAGATGATGACAAGGACGTACCACTGACAGAACAATCTGCCCTCCCTTCATTGCCAGACACACTCCCTGCAGCAGCAGCAACTGTGCTCGAAGGTAGAGAGTCATGGGAAGAAATTGAGACTGCAGCTGCAGCAGAACTCTCTGACTCTTCACCGTCCCGCCTGTCAATACTTTCACTTGAGCCAGCATTCACAGGTAGACTGCCCTGTCCCGCCAAACCCTGTTGACGCTTATCGTGATCTGGATCCTGCTGTTCGTTCACAACTGGGCTAGTCTTTGCTGCAGGTTCTGTAGCACGTTTTCTCTTGCTATGATTTTTACGAGATCTTGGCACAAGCAGCTCCTCAGAATCGCTGGACGAGTCCTCACTGGCACTGTTTTTAGCCAGCACGGCAACATCAGGGCTTGAGCCAGTTGATTCGTGAGGTCGAAGCTCTCCGATTTCGGACGCTGACGTTACAAGAGCTGCAGAAGGGAGTCCACAGAGGAAGAATGCAAACCAATGCTCGAATTCGAAAAAAAACAGTGACAATGCGAGCGCCATACCCACCGTCTTCTCGATCCATATCAGGGAAACAGGGAAGAACTAGAGAATCCCGGTGCTGTTCAAACACGTATCGAAGCGTGAAGAATGATAGGCACGTTCCAAAGTTAGTCAGTGTTGCTGAAGAAGGTTTTCGTGATCATTCCGTCTCATCCAAGCATGCCATGGCATGGGTCACCTGCATTCAACCTCCTTTCTTTTCTTTCTTGTTGCGTGTCCCAGAGAGACCAGCACCGGCTTGCCGTAACGACGATTCTGAGATCGATCACGTCACCAGTCACGCGATGTACATGACAACCGCGCTTCGTTCCCATGGCAGCTAGCTATGGTGTCGCGTCATCGATCAGGCGAAAAACGCCGAAACTGCGAAAGTGAAAATATCTTTTGTTTTGTATTGGGTTTTTGTTTGTTGAGGCGATCGCGAGGAATTCATTCAACCTTGCCCGCTGTCGAGCTGTCCACAACCAGAACTGCATCATAACTAAGTTACTACTGGTGGGACGTGATGCGACCTACCTGCGAGTCGTAAAGAGAATGTGTTAGGGCGTTTGTCGTATTGGAGTGGAGTGGTAGAGATCAAAATTATCCCAGTGAAGAGTAATGCACAATGAAGATTTTCAAAACTCAGCATGTGTTCGAGTTAGTACATTTGCTTGGTAGATATCTACTTATGGCTTTAGATAATGCGTACGATGGGTGTATGTATGCGTCTGTACGCGTGATGTCATCTGCAGCTATAGTTGGGACGAAGTATCCCTTGCTGCCTATCGCAAGTACCCAAACGAACACTCTCCGAAAGTAACTGCTGTGGATGTTCTCAAACGCTATGTCGATAAGGAAGGGCGACTGCACAGTGTGAGGCTGATTGCATCATGCTTTTCAATGTGGTCAGCCGTACCGTTTGTCAAGGTCAGTGTGATCAATGGTATGGCTGGATTTCGATTACACCATTGTCATCATATGACTGCAGGGCAAATCCTATAAATATTTGGGAGACACCTCAAGACAGTTGTACATCTACATCATGTATGGAATATAGCTGGAGGGCAAAATCCGAACTCATGACGTGTATTCACCTATAAACCTCTCCCGGCCCCCATTCCCAGTAGTGTGCAGCTGTGCATATGAAAGCACCAGCAGCAAAGCTTCACATCATGTGGTCCACATCTGCTGCAAGTACGTTTTACACAACGTATGCCCGTGGGTAGTCTGGATCCGCCAGAGATTCTGTCCACTTTCTGCCAGGGACTGCTAATTTCCCTTCTCTATTCCTTGCTAAAGTGCAATGGACAGTAGAACGGTTTGAACGAGACCAGTACACCATGAGTATGATGTGACATGCTGCCATCGGCAAACCCCTTGCAGAGTTGCATGCTCTTGGGGATGGGTATACCATGGCATTCTCTTCGTATCATATTATTATGGAGTACAGTCAGACCTCGTTTATCCGGTCCTCTTTTATCCTGATCCCTCGCCATCCGGAAGAAAATAGCTGCCTTTACAGCATACGTGATGCATCCAACATAACCGGTGTTCGATTATCCGGTTCCCTCGCCTATCCGGATATTTTTTTGTGTTAAGCGAGGTCTGACTGTACTACACTTTGTTTGTGTTAAGCGAGGTCTGACTGTACTACACTGCAGTACTAGACTACTAGTACTGCAGTGCACAAAACTTAACAACTGAACAGGTTGTTATGCATGGTTTAGGGGTTCACCGGGACCATCTGGCATCATGGGTCATAGTTGTGCTTGAAGCAGATGCCCACAGATTTGAATGCTGTACCATCTGTAGTGCAGTGAGACATCATGACTGCCCTGCTGCTGTCAGCACATTGCTATCCCCATGTCGTCTTTGTTGGCCGGCAGTCTAGAAGTATAACTGTAGCGCAATGGAATACAGTGAGCTAAGCTGAAAAGAGACCAAGTGCTGCATGAGTAGCTGAGTACGCAGGTGCTGTCTGTGTGAGTATGTTATGAAGTTTGTTTTGTAATGTGTGTTAACACACTGTTGACAGAATCATGTGCTGTTGTTGATTTCTGCAGATGCTTGGTTTGGAAGGGTCAATGTTTGTGATTGAGAGATCAGTAGCTGATCCTGTTGAGAAGACCTTGACGTTACGGTCCCGGAATGTGAGTATTTTCAGTTTACAATTCAAAGAAAATACATGTAGTTTCGTTATTGGTATTGCTAAGGGCATCCTGTCTCGTGAGAGCGCCCCACCTAGATTTATGGCAAGGGAAAAAACCCGAATGGCTGAGTGCAACTACGTAGCTACTTCAAGTAAGACATCAGGTGTATGCATCTAAATGTACTACTTGTAGGATCACACATGGCCTTACACCGGTTCACTGTTTTTGCATGGAGCTCACTACACCTGCCGCTTGAAGGTGAAATGAGTACAGGTTCACTGCACAGCTGCAATGGTGGTGGGACGCACGTGTGATACTTGGCCCCACTCTATTCCATGCCAGCACCAAGTATTTGCAGAAACGATTAATTTTCACTACTTCCAGTGACCTAGTGTTCTGACCAGTCCATTATTTACATTCCTCGCACAAAAGTATGGTATTTGTCTACAATCCATACAGAACTGTGTCCACTTACATTCCTCACACAATGTCCATTACTTATTTCTCCATCGTGTGTTGTGTAATTCCTGCCTCTGTATAGATTTCCCTGGAAGGTCTGATTAATGTGTTTGAAGTATTGCAGTATCGCCGTGATCCTGTTGAACCATCAAAGTAAGCAATATTACAATGTTGTGCTGCATGTGCAATGCCCTACTATGCCCTATTTTTGACGATGACACCATGTTACAAGGCGGAGGACGCGCAGCAGTGCTCCTGGCTACAGCCATAAACCGGCTGGCAGAGTCCGCCCTGTAGCATGCTGTCATCATCAAAACATGTTAACCTATCAAGCAAGGCTTATGTATACTGTGCCCTACTTGTAAGGGGCACGTACAACACAAGCTTGCGGGTTGCGGCTAGCAGAGACTAGCAGGGACTTGCAGAGACTTGATTGGTACGCTGCCGTCCAAACCATGACAAATGCGTGCTAGCAGCTGCTGAGAGCGCTACAGTCAACTTCGCTAATAACGACTGCGGATATAACGACAATTCACGATTAACGACAGAATGTCCATACCCAGAGCAAAGTTCCATCCAACTGTAATACATATAATGAGACTTTGGGTATAACTATAACGACACTTCGCGAATAAGGACACTTTTTTTGATGCCCCGCCGAGTGTCGTTATAAGCGAAGTTGACTGTACATGAAACACTGGCGCATCCTGGCTCGCTTTCCAGGAGTTGCCTGCTCTGCTGCCATCATATTGGCCACCTCGTTGTATACAACAGCAGCAGCTGCATCCACTGGCATGGCCTATTGGTCATAGTAGCATTTACTGCCATTTAGGGCGGCATACCTATACTAGTTTCCGTATGCATATCGATGGCTTTGGTAGAACGCATCAGTTTGTAAGTACTGGGCTTGAAAAGGCACAGAAGAAGGAGATACTATAGACATGTTAATAGTAAGTGATGGTTGTGTCCTCCTGTTCTTTCTTCATGGCTGTGTTTCAGAACATTACTAATTCAGGAAGCATCAGTGACGGTCGCACCCTGCTTGATTTCAGGCTTCGTTGAGGGACGAATGATTGATGTTTTCAGCGAGTCGGCTCAAAACGTAAGTTCTCAATGGTAGCAGTGCACAATATCACACACTGACTTCAGATTTTATGTGGTATGGGTACCGTACCAGGTGCGGGGCCTAACGTTTGGTTTTTAGAACAATAGGTCATTCTTTGAAACGCACTGTGGACTAAATTACATGTTCAACTCACGGTAGCATGGCACACTTTAGCCCTTTGGAGGTGATCGTTCGAATTCGAACGATGCCAATGTCATGTGTGCAAGTGCACTCAACGAGTCACAACTAAGTCAAATCTCAACCGATTTCAACAATCGAAATACCTACGAGGTAGCAGAGAATCTAAGCTGTCGGCTCGAAAAACTCCGGGGTCGATACAAGCTAGTATAACAGAGCGGCAAGTGCTCGAACGTTCGCTCGATTTTTCATGCGTCAGCGAAGTGCAAATTTCGTTCAAAAGTGGGATTTTCCCTCTTCCTGCCCACGCAGCGTGTGACATCACTCCCAGCGCTTTTTGTCACGGCTTTTGTGAGTCTGTTAGAAAAAATTTGATTGATTTTGAGCTAGCACGAGTGAAATGGCGAGATAAGGACTATTCCCGGTTTGGATTTGGTATTCAGCTGGCGTTCCTGGCATTCAGTAGCAGACGGCAATCGCTCTCCTGAATGAGTTTGGGCGAGCTGTTATCCTCGTTCCAAGAGCTTTCCAACGAGCCCAAGATCGTCAAAATCGGTGAAGTAGAACCAGCGTTATGATGGAAATTGGAACGAATATACTTGCAATTGCAGCTATCTCCCGACGTCGTGTGATCAGTGCATTTCCAAAGGGTTAAGCGACAGAGTTGACAGTCACCTGGGTGTAGGGTATGCCATGAACTAGAAATGAGCTCGGAGTTATCATGTAATATGTTGCCTGATGATCGTAGTAATACGTGAAACTCAAGAGTTGTACCAAAGCTTCCAATCTCTCTCTTGTGTAATATGATTCTTTACTATTTCTTACTCTCGCAAAGCTTTATAGTTTATACTTTCTTAGCAGGAACCGGGGGTTTCCTCTGGTGAGAAGGTAGATTTTTTGTTGAGGGAAGTTGCGTTCTCTCTCTCTCTCCTGCTCCTCCACTTTGGAGCGGGAGAGTTCTGTATTTATTGGACATGACGACTGGCTAGGATACTGGGAATGGGCGGAAGAAAGCCGAAGCGCAGGCCGTTTATGACATTTTTCCAATGAGACCAATTTTATGACGCTCCATGTTACTGAAGGACTAACTTCGATCATTGGTTTTGTAGAGCCCCATTCTCTAGGAGCTGTCTACATCTGCTTTGTTTCAATGTCCAGCATAAGCGAACGTGTGGATCAAGCATAACTGCTTGGTTGACGCTGCCGCGGGAATGCGTATAATAATAATAGAAGGTAGATTTGCCTGTACTTCGTGCTAATTCAAATGCTAGTAAAGGAAGCAAACAAACTAGTCAGCCTACAACCCTCTGTGTCTAGTTGCTGTCATCATGAATGCGTAGGCTTTGCAATTTGACACGTATTTGAAACAGTTTTCCACTGATGTGTTGTATCTGTTTTGCTGTTTGCTTGTACAGGGGCGCAATGCTATTGTCAATGTATGCGAAAAAATACAGAAGGAACAACAGTCCACGGTATAATGTGGATTTGACTAAAATCACAATGTGAGCATAAAACATGATAGAGCTTACTCGTTCAGGAATATCCACTAGGAGCTCATGGTTGTAGGTTTTTACTTAGCTACAAATGAAGTTTTTGAATATGAAAACGTTTCTTACCTCCGTAGTCCCATACTTTCCCCTGGTTCAGTTGAGCTGACCTGCATAAAACCGACATCTTCTCATAGCTGATAATAGTAGTAGGTACAATGCTGTATCCTCTTGTGTGTTGTGACTGTGCTATCACCCATCACATGGCTTTATTCTGCAAATACATGGCATGCATAGCTGGCCTTAGCATGTCTTCCGATTTTCGTGCGCACACTACTAAACTGTACACTACGGTCCGTTCAGAAAATGATGATACTCTTGCTCTTGACCATAAATGGGTTAATAGTTTTAAACCTTTTTCTAAACTTGGTTTGCTGTGGAGCATGAAATGCTCTTCCAAATATGTTTTTCGTCTAATTCTTCAAAAAGTAGACCATTCAGCTGTTTTTGACTATTTCGTCTGGATTTAGCATTGATAGAAAGGGCCGGAGATTGTTTGTGACTGGACTGTACAATGTACCATACCAGTTCCAGTCAAAGCTTTGTCGATCAACCTTGTAAGAAGATTTTTTAAATTAATCCGCTCAATACAACTATGTTTTTGACATTGTAGGTTCTTGAAGCATTTTCCTCTTCTTCATTTTTTTCAATCAATTTCCACTCTGTGGCCTGCTTCTTTCTACTTTCCATCCCTAAGCCCTACTCTTTACTTTCTGCTTGCTAGTAGCTTGCCCTGTTAGCTACCTTCCACCATAATTATGACTACTTGTATTTATTTTGGTCCTTTGTGTGTGCTACACTTCATCAGAGCCTGTGCTATATACATACTCCTGTGGTGTTGGCATTTATACTGATCTCTGTTACGTACTCTGCTGTTGTGCGTGTACCAGTTTATACCATCTGGTCATGTCTGGGTTCCCCGATTTGCTTGCAAGTAATTGGTTGTGCCGGGTCATTTTCTGTCGGGGCAGGATGAAGTTAGCACTGGTCAATATCCAATGATAGTCCAGCATTCTGGGCACAATCTGTTTTTCAAGGGAAGAGAATGTATTTTAGGGCTTTGTGCTTCGATCATAGAATGGGTGCATGGCCATGTAGGCGGGCAGTGCAGCGATCAGGGAATTGTACAAATGGGCTACATGTCCTATACTACTGCCTGACATGGATATTCTGACCACTGTAGTAACATTACAAAAGTACGTATTGCTCAGTGTTATTTATTTCCCGGCGCGGTACAGCATGACATTGTGCAGTACTACAGTGCATTTCAAAACTATAGACGCGTAGGGTTTTTGAAATATTTCAAATTTGGCTGGAAACTTTTGAGAATAGTTTTCGGAATATTGCTCAGGATCGCTCCACAATTACTCTCATATAGTTTCTAAAGGATTGGATAACAGACGCCCAATTTGGAAAAAATTATGCACAAAGTGATCACAGATTTTATGTGGTATAGATGCTGGCATAACGGTTTTTGCCTAGGTACGCGTCTATAGTTTTGAAATGGACTGTAGTGTGCAGTACGAGGTGAATTTCTATTTCTGGACATTGTACATTTCTGGACATTTCGAGTAAAATAATTTTTCGTCGCGTGTAGAGTCAAGTCAGTCAGGTTGATGAAGTTTTTTCTTGTTGTAGTTGACAGCTGGGCTGTTGTAGTTTCTCCTCATGTCGGTGCCTTGTTGATAGCCTTTTCTTGGGAGGCATTTCAACGAGTTTTGTGGTACTATGTCGCATGAGAATTTTGAATTTTGAGTAAAATAAGAAGTAATGGACGAATCGTTGGCTTCCCCATGTGCACTTCACTTCAGACGCTGTATAGTCTTGGACCTGTTGGCTGGAAGTGTGAAGAGGCCAACTGCAGTCCACCAATAGAAAAAATAACAAAAATGGTGCAGTATAGGATGCCTATTAACGCTATTTTACTTTCATGTCCAGAATTCCATACACTGAAATTTAGGCCAAAAAATTGGCCTGTCGAAAACATCCTGCTATAAAGTCTCTGGGATCACAGCATGAGCAATTGTCACATATTTGGAAAGATGAAGGATTAGGCCATACAATAGATACAAAAAGATATGAAAAATGTAAAACACACAGCCAGTGGGCCTCTATTTAATTTTCATGTCCAGAAATTGCTATTCACCTCGTACTAGACTACAATGTAGTAGATTCTACTTGGAAACAATCATTTGAATGCGTTGAGTTCTTATCTTTAAGCTTTGTCCATTGTTGTTCTCACATTCTACTGATTGTAATCAGGTAATACCGGGTACATGTAAAAACTTTGTGTCAAGTAACGTTCGTTTCAAAGCTCATCCGGAATGGGATGAACGTAGCCATCGTGAAGATGCGCCCAAACGAACGCCTCGCCAGATGACGTCATGGGCATGTGTTTCAGATCATGAATTCAAAAACTGAAAAGACATTCAAAATCGTAAAATGCCAACATGTATTTTGCCTTGTGAAGTCAACTGCTACATGATGTACTGTATTGTAATTATTTGTATTCCAACTCAGCCCCAATGAGGTTGTCTCTATTACTGTGCTAGTAGGACTGGAAAGAAAGATGGAGCTTCTCACTCGTCTTGTCGCAACTTCACTAGATTCCACAAAGTGTCATTAGAGCTCTGCAATCAGTCTACATTTCTGTATCACGAGGAACACAATAAAACTGCTTCAAAACCAATGTTTATGCAACTGCTGCGCGGAGAATGGCACGAGTGTGCACGGAATGCGGCGCTGCAATTGGCGCTGTGAATCTCTACAGGGAATTTGCTGGTGGCGTCATAACCTTGACGAGATGTGTAAGTGGCGAGTTGTTATCGAGCAATACAATCATGTACTTCAGTATAGAATAATTAGGTACAATCATGTTCATATGTTTGATGGAGTGGAAGAAATTCTGGCGGAAAAAAAGATGAACTCAGATGGTGAGCCAAGGAAAATTTAGAGGAAAAAGAGGAAACCAGTGTCTCCCCTTTTTTTCTCTTTTTAATAAAAAGATATTATTTTCTTATTAACTGGTTTGAGGGAAAGAGACAAACGGGAAAAGTCTGAAGAAAAAATTGACTGTCACCACCAGGACCCGAACCAGGGACCTTCGCTTGTAGCCAGCGATGCTCTAACCACTGAGCTATGGTGTAGTCGTCATCCCAGCAGAGGCCGTTCAACATTTTCTTCAGACTTCGTAACTCACACGTCCTATGAATCCACACAGGCGGGTAGGACGCAGCCCTCACTGTAACCCACACACTTCACGTACAAACTAGGAGCCCCAAGTCATAAAATATTAACTGGTTTGAGGAAAAGAGACAAACGGGAAAAGTCTGAAGAAAAAATTGACTGTCACCACCAGGACTCGAACCAGGGACCTTCGCTTGTAGCCAGCGATGCTCTAACCACTGAGCTATGGTATTTTCTTTTTTGGCTATAAAGAGGAAAAAGGATGCCATCATATTGCCAAGATGATTTACACGATAGACATGGTTAGCATTTTACCGTTCACGCTAAATTCAACGGTACTCGTACCCAGGACCTGAAATGCCGTCGGTTTGGTATCGTTTCAACGATAAAAGGCTCTGTTTACCAGGAGAACGAAACGGTATGACTCCCAACTGGGGTGACATCACGAGCCAATCGTATCAGAAACCAAAATGCTAATCGTGTCTTGAAAACACACAGAAAAAGGTACAGGCCGACCGTGAAGTTTAATAGGGTGCTGTAAAATGCTAACCCATGTCTAGTATTGAAAAAGAACAGTGAACAGTAAGAATAATGCACTGCACTTGGTACCATGATGTAACAAGGTCGTTGAATGTCCGTACCACTTGTCGTTATAATGTGCTAACTGCTGCACTTTTGACTCACCAATATCTTGGTTATATTAGTTGTTGACAACAACGGACAACTCGTAAACCATTGGCTCACTATCTATTCATGATGTGCAGTGTAGGATGTTTGAAATAGAGGTGATAGGAGAAAGCTGACAGTACCCTTCGCCGGATTAAGGTGGCAATTCTCTTTTTCACGTGCATTGTCATCACCCACACCTTTGCTAATGGCTTTCTTCGCAGCGTATTGCATTGTGTAGTGACTTGCAGCTCACTGGTGAAAGAAACACAATGGATGAAAATGCAATACTAATTCACTGTTCACTGGTGCTGTTGGCACCTTAGCTGCCCGCTCTTCGAATATTGAACCCTGATTGACGCTGTGCTTTTGGCGTGAGAATCGACAGATTTTTGGTGGAACATTCTCCATATACCAGGTATAAGCTGCTCCTTGATAGCTTGATATCCTCATTCATTTTTTGTACCTGATGATGGCCAAGTGCCGCGACGTTGAACAGCGTGTTTGCTGATGGCACCACAAAGTATCTTGTTTATGCTCAGGAAAATAAGTTCATTGACATGAGCTGGACTGAGCCTGCACCTCATCTTATTTACCAGCAATCCAGCTGATGAGAATATGCGTTTCAAAGGAACAGGGCTGACTCCTCTGCCACCTTCCATTGACTTTCCTTCAAGAGGAATTCGCGATCGTCCTTCTTTGGAGTCAGTTTGACATCGTAGACCACACTAGTCTAAAGCCACTCTAGTACAGTGTATAAGGTCGAGGTGGCGCAACACGTAGTGAGAGCTGTTCCGGTGTGTAGCCACATCCTGTATTACTCTGACAGCCTGCTTGGACGGATTGAGTTGAAGCTGCTTGTTGGACAAAGCTTCCGTTGCACTACAAGAATGCTTGAAGTGCCTGACAAGGTAGAATTCCAGCATTCCACGAACAGTCCATAACACTCCAATAGTGTGCAACTCCACCTGGATTTGCTCTAGGGCACACTGGCCTAGGGCACACTGGCAGTGAAAAAACTCTCGCGTTTTGCAATGTTTTGCTAGCACATTCACCAACGTGTATGTTTCCTTTTTTCTTTCTTTCTTTTACTTATGCAGGAACTATGTGGCCTTCCAGCCGATAAATACATTGATCGAGACGCAGTTCTACTCTTTCAAGATATCCTCCTGCTCAAGATGCCAGCTTATCGTCATCTGCTGTTCAACGCCAGCATCCAACGATCGGTAAGTTTTTTCTTCTGAAACATGCTTGATTGCCGATAGCTTACACTCAACATGTATCCCTTTGGGATGGGATTGGCTCTGTTGAAGTATTAATGTAGGCCATGGCCAATATTTGATAACCGCAATCAGTAATACAAGCTGGATCGACATTTGTGTACACTGTATTCATGTATTGTAAAACTGTGGAGACAATGTGCAATAAAACGATGAAAAATGTGAAGAAATTGTGTAGAGAAAGAAAGGGATTCAAACAAGTTTTCGTACAACACTCATCAGGAATCTTCGTTGTACTAAAGGACACTGAAAACAAAATTGAACTATTATAGAAAATCTAAGTTAGAGAAATAACACTAAGAACAACAGCAGTGAAATTTACAAGTGTGAATTTTAACAATGAAAGCGAGAGCAATGATTCCTGATGAGTGTTGTACGAAAACTTGTTTGAATCCCTTTCTTTCTCTACACAATTTCTTCACATTTTTCATCGTTTTATTGCACATTGTCTCCACAGTTTTACAATACATGAATACAGTGTACACAAATGTCGATCCAGCTTGTATTACTGATTGCGGTTATCAAATTGTTGTCTCCTCGCCGTATGGCCAATATTGTCGATGTTTGTCATTCTAATTCAAGCATGACGTGTGGATGGCCTTCGTATGCGAGGTGAACAATTCCTTGTTCATAGGCATCACATCCTATAAATATGTCAACTCCGAGCGACTTTTCCAAACCCCACAGCACAGAAATGTAGTGGAGTTGCGTGTTCTTGGGTTTGTGTGCTCTTGTGAATATTAATGATCAGGGTATACACACGTGACAAAATTGTTTGTCTGTTTCATGTAATGTTCTAGCTTTAGGTGTGATCATAATAATTTTTTAAATACATGTGTTTGGGTTTTCTTCCTGTCTCTATTTGTTTCTGTTTCATAGGTTTACCTGAAGCTGGCCTTGATGACGTTGCTCTGCAATGCCTATATATCCCCTAGTCGTGTATTTTATTGAGCAGCTTTCTCTCTTCCCCTTTCTAGCTCCAGGTGTGCGTGCGTGTGTGCGAGAGAGAGAGAGAGAGAGAGAGAGAGAGAGAGAGAGAGAGAGAGTGAGAGAGAGAGAGAGAGAAAAGTACACGCATATTAGTAACTGTGGTATCAACCTTGACTATAAGTATGCTATGCACATCAAGCAAGAATCTGGATATCGACACCAAACTGAGACGGGTGACTTTACTCTGCTGGAGCTGCGCTTCTATGCGTCCTTGGCGGTTGCTGTCATTGGTAAGTAACTTAGTAAATACATGTATCCACCGATTTGATTGTGTAGCATATTCTTCCATTGTTCTTGTTGTTTGGCTTTATTTAGAGTGGAGTTCCAAAACAGGCCTAAACCTAATGACAATGGTCCCACTGTTTCTTTAGTACATACTGGGCTTTCGTTCACAGGCGGATGTTATGATGACTCTGCTTGTTTGCTCACCTTCCTGTCGTTCTCATTCAGTGTGTTCAATTGATCAGTGGAGCGGTTTTACACTCTGAATTTCAGAAACAGTTCTAGAAAACTTTTCTGCCAGTTTTTTTAGCCAATGCTTGGATGCGGGTGGGGTTTGCAATCCGAAAACTAACTTGTTTTCTACAATGAAGAAGCTGTCTCTTAAGTTAACCAAGCAAAGGTGAAACGGCGTAACACGTGCGTGCGTGTCCTTCCTGGGTTTGTGCACGTCTGTTATTCAGGTTTCATTGCGTACTTGGTGGTGGCCTCGGGACTGGTGAAAATGTTCAGCTCAGCGTCAAAGCTAACGTAAGTATACCTTTGATTCTGTAATTGAATCTGGAGAAAAGACATTACATGTATATGGTGCCAGTCATTTGAGGAATAATTGAGGGTTAATATCCAGAATGTTTCATATGACATTCTCCTGTGGAATATCGTCACTGATCAGTTACATGAAATAACATCCCGGTAGGATTATACTTCACACCCACACCCATGGTCAGTTTTCCTTTGGCCGCATGTTTGCCCATGGATTTGTGGCGGGAGAATTTCAAAATAGATCTGTACTGCATTTTTGTAGTACATTCTGTACTATGTTTTGCATTCGCCATACACGATTTTCCAATGGGCACTGTCTGATAATGCAGGCTGCGATGCACTCGTACAACTAGGGTTCAGAGTTCTCGCCAAAGACGGGATCTACGCATGCGCGTCTTATAGCCATGGGATTTTTCCCTTGACAAACGCCCTGTGGCCCACGGCCTTGCCAATTTTTTCCCGAGAGGTTCTTGCTTTCCCCAGCACCATGGTTTCCATAACAATTTTCCCACACCCATGGTTTTACCCGTGTGTGTGAATCCCCTATAAGGGTCCTTTCAGGACCTGCCATCATCTCCGGATGGGCATTATTGTATTGTATAAGGGATTTGCTTTGGCTGGGTTGGCAAGTATGAATTTGTACTTGTACTTGTATTTTATTATTGTGCTGTATCTGCAGGTATGGCAGGATTGTTGAAACACTGGTGTTGACTAGCTTTGCACAGCTCTTAGCTGTAGCTGCTGCTGTGTGGGGAAGAGATGCTGTGCAGCTGCTGAGATTCCTTGCGGAGTTACTGGGGATTGCTGCCAGCTCGCATGCAATACAAGGTACAGAGATGGACACTGATTGTGTGTTGTGTCGTATTTATACACGTATGTTTGTTAATGGTGCATGTTGAAAGTCACTTAGATCGACTGGACACACACAGGCTGACCTATATTTTTTTATGTGCCGAAATTTGCGCAACTTTCTCATATTTTCTCCATGTGTTTCCATGGGGATAGTGGTGTGCTTGGTCTAATGTTGCTGAGTTTTACTTGGAAGACTAAGAGGTGTTGTTTGGCCGATGTGCGTGTGTGTGTGTGTGTGCATGTCCTTGTTTTCTGACTTCAGCTCTGTCCCAATGTGGTCAGGTGACTGCATACGGTGTGATTGGAGTAGCATGGTTGATGCGCTTCACCATTGACTGGTACCTGCTGGCCACCTTTCAGGGATTTGTCTCATGAAACACAGTGCAGCACAAGCAATCGCTTTTGAGAGATAATATGTGAAAGTCCTACGCAAGTGCAGTTCTATGCTAAGACGCTGGTGTTATGCACTGCATGTGGTGCCCCAATCCACACAAGTACAGATTCTACGCTGAGACACTATACTGGGGCTATGGACTGTGGTGCCCCAATCTACACAAGTACAGATTCTGCACTGATCACTGGTGCTATGGCTTGTGTGACACTCCAATCCACCGAAGGACTGATTCTACACTAACTTATGCACTGGCGCACTGTGGAGTGTGGTACCCCAATCTACACACGTCTCTAGGCAGTAGCCATTGGATTGCAGAGTCAGTAACGGCAGATATCCAACCTACATACTCAAGACATTGAGTTTGTTAAGAGCTGCAGCTGCTGGCAGGATGTGGAGAGTTTCCACCCTGGCACATGCACAGGAACACTCACTGATCATCCTGGAGTGCAGCAGAATATCAAGGCTGAGCTAGAAAGGGCAATCGCACAACCGATCGTGGCCTTTCCCATGGTGGCACGATGCTACACCACATTCAGCGTCAACAATCACTAGCACTGTTTACCATGTTTACTGAACAGCTCTGAATTATTTATCGATCAACTCTTTTCTTGAACTTCCCCCCTCTCTCTCTCTCTCTCTGGTCCAACTCGCGACCCGTGCTTTATTAGAGATGTGTCTTTGCTCTTATTATTTTGCGTGCATTTTGTCACACGTACACGTGTATGCTCTTTTTTGAGTGGCTTCTGTGCACGTCTGCATGTGATTCTTGTGAAAAGAGAGGAGCATATGCCTTGTCAACCTTCTGCAAGCTTCATTTTACTGTCCCCTTGGACAGCGGCAAATTTCGCAGAAGTTGCCATCATCCGCGGAAATCACGGAATCCACACTGTAGGGCCTTCCCTATCAAAATAATAAATTCTACTACTACTACTACTACTACACTTTTGCCCGCGGAATCTGAATTTTTTAGGGTAAATTACTAAAATTACTACTCAGAAAGCAGCAGAAAAACTACTTTGCGATCTGTTTGAGCACATTTCTCTTGCCAGTGCATGTCTCTCCAAGATTCTTCACTCTTATTCAGTTTGTGACTGCAAAGGATAGTACGAAAAGTGCTCCTTCATGCGACTAGTTGTCATATCCTCTACGAGGAGGGTGAAAAACTTGCAGAAAGTGCCGCAGATTTTTGCTTTTACATCAGAAAATGCCGCAGAAAACCCCTCTTTTCCCCGCGGAATTTGCCGCAGATTTTTGAATTCATGGCCGCGTTTTTCCAAAGGGACAGATTTTAATTTTTTCAAGAGCTAAGATATGAGTACAATAAATGTAAATGTAGGATTTATTGCAAATACAATACTTGTATAAAAACCTAGGCGGATAAAACTTCATATAACTCTTCATAAGCCTGGCTTCTGTGGTGAATATGTACATGTATGTAGAAGGTAGACTTGAACAAAAAAATTTATAAAATAAATTCCAGGGCTCGTGTGAGACTTGTGCTCAGTCAGACGAGTTTTCCGCATCTGCAAGAAATTCTTAGAATGCAGCCACCCTCAAGGATCAAGGCACAAATGCAGCTCAAGCAGTGAATATCTAGATCCCGATGAAGGTAAACCTTGCGGCTTGAACAAGATTGAAGAAGCCGGACATTTGTAATCAACCCATGATGATATTCACATGCAATACATCAATTGCATCTATTTCATACAAGACGACTTATAGTCTACAGTATTTTATTTGGCTTTAGCCTTTTCTTGCAGCTTAGCACATGCATAAACATGATTGCATTTCCAAAATGAGCCTTGATCTTGGATTCACTCTATCTCGACAAGTTTCTTGCTCTTGATTACATGTAATCGATCGACGGAGGAGATTTGACACACAGCATGACTGTACTATAACGCCATCAGTAACTCAACTTTGTCGTGCTCCATGGCACTTCACTAAGGCCCAGTAAGGGAACCGTCAACGCCATGAAATATTATGTCGTCAATTCAAATTCATTAGAAATATTTACACACTACCATCCTGGTGGATCTACTTGAAAAGGCACACGAACTTATGAACAGGGCAAGGGAAGGATCTTGCAACAATGCTTCCACCAACACAAAATACTAGCACTAGTACTAGTAGCCGAATCGGATGTAACCGTGCAAAAACTCAATAACCAGGCCATGCATGGCCGGCCGTCTAGTCTCTGGACTGAACTGAGAAAATCCTTTTGGTAGTTTTGCAAGGCTACTCTTTTGCCGAAGTTCAAAGATTTTGCTTTGCGGGCGCCATATTGTCCTAAAAACCGCATGCGCAAAGTCTTTTTCTTCCTTCTCAACTAGGGTCAGCAGACCGAAGGGTCATAGATCTTCACAATGGTAAGTTTGTAGAGATTTCTTTCGCCATGGCTAGCCTTGGATGGATGCTGCTGCTGTTGCTGAAGTAGAGGAGTACCCTGCCCACTGGTATAATGGATTTTCGCTATCGTTTCGCTGCACTGTGCTTGTAGACGAAGGGAACTTCCAGCTTCGGTAAGCGTCACAACAAGACCCACACGCTCTGCAGGCGATGTGGCAGAAGCTCTTATCACATCCAGAAGAAGGTCTGCGGAGCTTGTGCCTACCCTGCTGCCCGCATGAGGCATTGTGAGTTGAAAATTTGCTGTGTTCTAATAATAATTGTGAAAAGAAGCTACACACGCCATGTACACAAATCCACACATGGATTCAAAATTTGTGTAAATAAATGTTTGGGGAGAGTGCGACTGACAATGTCTCTACTATTGGAAGTGTTCCTGGTTATAGTCTTCGAGGATTATACTGTTTTCCTTTTTGTATACTAGTAGTGTGTGGAATTGTAAGCTTTCAGAATGATTATTAGTATATTTGTGAGAAATCAATTTTTTGGCAAATTTGGTTGTGTTTGTAATAGGGCTGAGTCGGGTAGCATTTTTTTCGGGTACCGTATTATCTCTAATATAAGCACAGTCTCCAATAATAGAACACCTTGGGGCGGCATTCAAAAAATAAAGTGCTCAGTCTCCATTATAAGCACACTGTGTAAATTCATTATCTGTACCGGCGAAAAAACCCTGAAATGTGTGTGTCTGACATGAATTTGGCATGGCAACATGCCTCTGAAATGAGGTTGAAATAATAATGGAACAGTCTCCAATAAAGAAACGTCTCCATTAAAGAAACGTCTCCATTAATAGCACGGGGCGGAGGTACATTGAAAAAAATAAAGGACCGTGCTTATATTAGAGATAATACGGTATCGGGTTCGGGTAGTTTTCCACGGATATTCACGGTACCCGATCGGGTAATGTTTCCATGGTAACTCCACAGTGCCCCCTTTCCCTTACACACTGGGTAGACACGCGGAGTATCACATGAATTTACACACGTGTACTGTACATGATGTCACCTGCGACTTCAGGTTTCGGGTACAATTCTGTACCCGTCTACCCGAGGTCCTCACGAGTAGCACGGGTACCCGACTAACCGTGCACACCACTAGTTTGTAAAGGCATGGTGCCAGCACCATGTACCATGCTTCATTATTATTCATGTACCGAAACAAAGTGGGGCATTGTTTTCTGTTCAGTCGATATACATGCAGTACTATTCCAAACCTCCCGATATCCGTAGGTTGTGCCATCCCCTGGTCCTGATACTGTTTTGTATTGTAGAGATGCATCGCCTGTGTACCGACGTATGGGTTGTTGAATGCCACATTCTCACTGCTAATTCTGTGGCGGTTCTGCCATGACCGCATCAGAACAGGACGGTAAATGATGCTATTTGTCGTGCAGAGTGGTAGGATGAATGCAGTGCAGTGTACAGTTTGTGTAAAAGCAATAGTGCATTTCCCGGCAATATGCAGAGTGGACATGTCTCAGTTGTGCCCATGTTCCGGTACATGTTATTCGATTGCACATTGTAGGGCTTGAAAGTAAATAACCCCTGAAGTAACAAATACCACACTTGCACGATCAGTGCCCCAGGGCCATCGCAGACGGGGCTCTAATCGTTTTAGTACGGCAACAACTTATCTGACGCTAACGAAAATTCAGTCTGGCCACTTTGATGGTTGGTCTGATGTACTCGCCTCCCACCGTTTTGGAGCTGCATGTGCGCTTGCTTGGGTGGTGATGGTCATATGCTTGTACACTATTTTCCATAGCGGAATTGGGTCCACAGCCATTAGGTCCAAGTCCTACCAGTATTGGTGGATGTGTTACCCTGTTATGAAGAAACCACCCAATCGTCTACATGTATGGATCCAAGCGGGTACACAAGGTGTAATAATGAATCAGGATACATGTGTAGTTGGATTATCTATATCGTATCCTTTATTTCAGTCACACGTGTACTTGTAGGCACCGTGCAGATTGTAGGGCTTGTGCTTTTACCGTCACTGAGTTTTTCACGGTTGTCAGCTATATTAATTATTTCTTAATTGTAAGGTAACATCTGTGTGTTGCCTTGGAGGCCATGCTCCATATTGCACTGCCCACTATGCGAGCTGCACTCCCACCCTGCATCCCTTCTTTCTGGGTGTTGAATGTGGGCCAGCATACTTTGTCCCATCTGCACTTGCTTTTGTATGTAAATGCACTTGAGGTAGTGTTCACCTGGTTGTATGTCAAATGGACCCTGTGACTGTGTTGGCCCTTGCATCACTATGATAATTTCATCTGCAAGAGGTCGACACTATCAATTGTATTGCCGGTGTCAGAACATGTTATTGCAACCACTGTGTTTGGTACGTATATGCTGTTGTCATGCAGATAAGTGGGGCAAGAAGGCCATCCGCCGTCACACCACTGGTACCGGACGCATGTCTCACTTGCGCAAGGTCCACCGCCGTTTCCGCAATGGATTCAGAGAGGGTGAGGTCGCTAAGAGCATCAAGGCCACCAAGCCCGCCGCACCTGCAGCAGCTTCACAGTAAAAACTGACCCTTCAATAAACATTTGTGTAGACCAATTTATGTAGCTCCTGTGTGTGTAGGGAGGGAGTAAGAATGTCCATGCATGCTGCACGACCCTAATCTTGTGAGTATATAATAAACTCTGTGGTGATTGATGAGGGATGAGGTCTCGTGCCTTCATTTTTCAGTCCAACATTGAAAGTAAAAATTCTGGTGGACGTGGATAATGATGAATGAATAGCAGATAACGGAATTAGTATATTTATAGTAAAAATTAAAATTGGTGCGCAATTACGCATTTCTGCATAGGAAAGTGACAACCAAAGAAGGTGGCAAAAGTAAAGGTGATCATGAAATGCACCGTGCTGCAGGGACCCAAAACAGTTACAGATTGTGCTAGAATTGTCGTAGCATAAATGATAATGAAATAAAAAAGGTGCAAATAAGCCTGTTGCGAGTTGTACAGATGTACAAAGTTCAGTACTAGGGCGTAGGTGTGTACAGAACCGATTGGGGGTTCATTGTGTGCTATGCATGCGCATTTGACCAATTTTAGCCTCATAATTAATGGCAAACAATCCCTATTCCAGTTTCTTCACTTTGGTTGGAACTAAATAATGACCAGCTAGATCTTTGTCAGAAAAGGTTTTCGTTTGAAATGCCTTCAGGGCCCATTTCTTAGTGGAAATAGGGTCCTGCACATTCAACACCCATTAGGTTCTACGGGATTTCGTGCATCTGTACAACGCGCAAAAGGCTTATTGTTGTCCTTGTGACAGGACTTGTGATTA